CAGAATCACACTTTAAAATGAGTCACTTTTTTAAAAGCCTAGCCGTTCACAAGCATTTCCCTTTAGACATCTTTTCAACTTCTTTTTTTCAAAACTTTACAACTTTTAAAAGAATCTAAAAAGACTTTCAAAAGAAACCAAAAAAATTATGAGATTAGACTTATAGTTTTTGATTTAAAACCCCCTTTTATATCGCCGTATTTATTTGATCTGATTTTTTTGCTATAAAAACTCTTTTCCACTAAGTAGCATCCAGAATTTCAAAGCATATATGTATCTGTTGTGTCCGATTTAGATTTCCGTCCGATTTAGATTCAATCTAAATCTTATATAGATTGAACAATAATATAAACATGCTTAAGAACATATATTAAGCACGTTTATTATTGTTCGATCTGTATCGGACGTCCGATATAGACTGTAATCAATAAAAGACCTTTGAAAAATGCAGAAAACTACAGAAAACGCTTAAGAACATATATTAAGCATGTTTATATTATTGTTCAATCTATATAAGATTTAGATTGAATCTAAATCGGACGTCCGATATAGACTGTAATCTAAATCGGACGTCCGCGATAAGTTCAATCTAAATCGGACACAACATATATATATAAGACTTTTTCTTTACATTCAACTTTACCAAATATATCATAGCTTTTCTCCTTTTTCTCCTTTCAAAATTTCACCTGACTCTAAACAAAAAAGAATGCAAATTTGAAAGAAGCAGATGATTTTTGCGAGAAAATCCTTTCCTATTTTTGCAACATTTAATCGCTACCGTAATCCGGATTTTCTCAGAAGCGAAGCCTCAAAAAGTCTAAAAGAAAGAGCGATTATCTTTCCCTTTGAATTTGATACTTGATGAGATTTGGATTGAGAAAAGAGGGAAACGACTTAATCCGGTCTTTGATCGAACGATTATCTTGTGAAAGTGTTAATCTTTTACCGATGTCAAGAGGCAATCGAGCTTTTTCTCAACTTGACGAACGTCCGACTTGATTCAGGAATTTATCAAGTGTTCAATGAGTCCAGTAAAGTTATTTCTTTGGAAACATTTGCATAAATTTTCATCTCTTCGTCGCCTAAGAAGCTAAATTGGCGAAAATTTATGGCGAAAAGTTTTAGAGAAAGAAATCTGAGCTTTTCAAGGTCAAAAATTCATTGGATTTCTTATCGTAATCATAGCCCACTGAATAGTGAGTATATCAAGATATTAAAAGCAACTTTTAAAGTCTTTTTAAACCATTGATCTGGCTGAATGAGCTTGGCTAACTTGAACAACTCTGGAATTGATTGATAAGCATTGTTAAACATTGTTAAGCATTGTTAAGCATTGTTAAACATTGTTAAGCATTGTTAAACATTGTTAAACATTGTTAAACATTGTTAAACATTGTTAAACATTGTTAAAACGTGATGTAAGCAATGTAAAATTTGAGCTCAAAACTAAATTACAATCTTTTCTTGTTGAAAAAAAACAAATTAAAGGAAAAAGGAGATTTTTTGGATATAAGCCAAGAGCAAAAACTTCGATAAAATCATCCATCAATCCCTTTTTTTCTTTCATTCGTTTGCAATGCATTTTCCCGTCAAGAAATCATCGACTATAGAAAAAAAAGTAGCATATCGAAAGATATATTTTTGTTGTGCTGATTCCCGATTCCTTTTTTTTTCCTCGTTATCAAATGTTTCTGATTTCTTTTTTCACTTCCTCCTTGCTCAAATGAGGAATCACGTTTTAATAATACAAAAAAAAAAACGAACGGGATCAAAAATGACGTGCGATTTGGAGTCGCTTTTAAATAAAGAAAAGGAAATGAAAGTTTTGGAAACATTTGTGGGAAATGAGGAAATAGATTTATGATGGAAAGAGATTTAGAAAATACTCTATAAATTTTGAAATGATTATGTTTGTTTAACAATGTTTAACAATGTTTAGCAATGCTTAACAATGCTTAACAATGTTTAACAATGTTTAGCAATGTTTAACAATGCTTAACAAAGCTTGACAATGCTTAACAATGTTTAACAATGCTTGACAATGTTTAGCAATGTTTAACAATGTTTAACAATGCTTAGCAATGCTTAGCAATGCTTAACAATGCTTAAAAAAGCTTAACAATCAATTCCAGAGTTGTTCAAGTTAGCCAAGCTCATAATCAGCTCCAAAAATTCTCTTCGTCGAAAAAAAGGGATTGATGGATGATTTTATCGAAGTTTTTGCTCTTGGCTTATATCCAAAAAATCTCATTTTTCTGTTTAATTTGTTTTTTTTTCAACAAGAAAAGATTGTAATTTAGTTTTGAGCTCAAATTTTACATTGTTTACATCACATTTTACCATCATTTACACCCAAAAAAACTTTTTTTATCTATTTATTTGGACAATGCAATTTAAAAAAAACTATCAAATCAATTAAATCTTGAGACTGAACTTAAACAGGAAAACAGTCTGATAAAAACATTCACTATCAAGTTCACTTCTTGTTCTCAATTTTTCCCAAAAGATTACGGTAGAAAGCTCACGTTTTATCGATTTTCATAGCTTTTAAACGTTAAAGATGAATCTAAAGAGCAATTTCGTCATTAGATATCCTCAAACCGGTCCATTTAATTAAGAGAAAAATTCTTTTTACCCAATTTTCCAAACAAAAGCCTTTCTTTAGTTCTTTCTTTAGTTCTTTCTTTCTTTAGCTCTTTCTTTCTTTTTATGACTAAGCATTTCCGGTGATTTCTATTCTTTAAAAGAAAGGGGAAACCCCTCTAGATCTCCACTTTTCCCCAAAGTTTTCCCTAATTTGATCTCCCCCTCAAATTACGACGTCACGAGAGCAATAACTATCACCTTTCTCTTTACACTTTTTTCTATAATTTCCCCTCTCTCTATTTTTAGAAATTATCATCAAAATAATCTCTCTTTTCATTTCCGATACTCTTTGAAGAGATCTATGATTTTGGGAAAGTGCTTTGCCAAGTTTGATCAGGGGATCGATTCAAAAAAAAACTTCAACGATTTTGATTCACTTTTCTCATTTTCTAGAACTGTTTTATACCATAAACAAGCCGTCAATTTACATTTAGAAATAAAAACATTTAAAAAGTACAATAATCCTGCAGTATATCTTTTTCTTAAATCGATTACCGTATTTTCTCTAATAGTAGTGCACCCTGAGCGTCGCCTAAATTCCTCAAAATCTCGAGAACCGCTTATCAAAACTTATCGATGTGGGGTCGGGAAATGTAGCTGATGATGAGATCTTGTGAAGGATTAGAGTGTTGAGCTTCTGCAAAAGCTTTGAAACCGTAAAATAGTCACCAACTCGACTCGCCGGGGTGCACTACTATTAGAGAAAATACGGCAATTCAAGTATCAAAACTTAAACTCTCTACTTTACAATGTTAAAAATCCCCTTGACCTTAGAATTCCGATTCAAACTCCCTGGTTTCTCTTCAAAATCAAAAAGCTTAAAGAATCGATGTATTCTGGTAAAGTCGAAAGTCTAATTGAAAGAAGAGCTTCAATTTCTATTTGTCAATTTTGCTTGTCCTCTCCGAGCGAACGGCTTTTGAAAATCTCAAGAGGATTCTCACTTTACCCCTTTTCAAGTCAACCGAAAAAACCGAAAAGCCAGATTTCTATCTAGCGTATTCTCTCTAACATTAGTGCACCCTGAGCGTCGTCTAAATTGCTCGAAATCTCGAAAAGCGCTTATCAGAACCTATCGATGTGGGGTCGGAAAATGTAGCTGACGATGAGATCTTGTGAAGGATTAGAGTGTTGAGCTTCTGCAAAAGCTTTGAAACCGTAAAATAGTCACCAACTCGGCTCGCCGGGGTGCACTACTATTAGAGAAAAATACGGTATCAATTATAAGAAAATTTATATGCTAATTATCTATTCTCTAGTTTAAAATCTCGTTTATTACAGACAAGCAGGTTGGCAACAAGAATGAAACAAAAAAAACAAGAAAGATTTGAGGAGAATAATAGAAATTTCAAAAAATAACTTCAGAAATTATGATTTACATTATGCAGAAGGGAAAATATCAAAAAAAATAAAGAAAACAAGAAAATAGATAAAAATATATCACGGCAAGACATTGGTGAACCCGAAAAGTCAAAGGGAAATCACTTGTGTTTCCACAAAAAACAAAACTGAGCAAAGAAATGGGGATACTATTCTGTTATTCATCCGCAATTTTAACAACAAACCTTTTATCTACTTGTTTTATTAAGGAAAATGGGTAGTTAGGTTTTTTATTTGGTTTATAAGTTCCGCCTTTTTTTATGTACCTACTTTCATTCACTTCAAATTTGTTGCACAAGCTTTATTGTTAGGTATTTGACATAAAAATCCCCTAAATATTGAAGTCGATTAGTGTTGAGAGATCGATAAGATCGAGCTGCGGCTTGATATCGAGATCGAGCTGCTTATCGAGCTGCTTATCGAGCTGCTTATCGAGCTGCTTATCGAGCTGCTTATCGAGCTGCTTATCGAGCTGCTTATCGAGCTGCTTATCGAGCTGCTTATCGAGCTGCGGCTTATAATCTCTAAGTACCATCAGTAGTCTCTAAAATGTTTATCTAAAGTTCTAAAATTCTAACTTAAATAAAACTGACACTTAAAATATTCACCATTTTTCTGAAAAGATTTAGATAGAATGTATAACAGGATAGAAAATATTTTATAAGATTCAAATTGATTTAGAAGATAAAACACTTAGATAGAGTAATACCTTGATGAGCTTTCAGAAAGACGTACTGTAAGAGCTGTAGAGCATGAATAGGTAAAGGTATGGTTTTTCGTACTGTAAGAGCTGTAGAACATGAATAGGTAAAGTAAATAGGCCTTGTCAGTCTCATAATAAATCTAGATCCAATAGCCAATGTAACTCATATGTCTACAGTACTAAATTTCCGACGTGTACGTGATTGTATTCGAGATTTCTGAGCATCATCAAGGGAGATTTGGATTTACATAAAGCAAAAACCATTTTATAAACCCTCAAAAGTGGCGATTCGACGTTGCATCGAGCCGGATGCACTCTGCAAATTCTTCAATGAGTTTTTTTCTTTCTTTAAACATTAACTGATTAACACTACACGTTAACGAGATAAACATTGATTGGAGATTAAAAAAATCGAAGCTCATGCGAATCGAAGCTCATTTTTGTTCGCTTATTTTGTTATGCTTTAATCCGGGAACGTGTTTGATGCCTTTTGCTTAGCCGATAAAAATTTAAGCATAAATTTAGTTTAAAAGTTAAAAAGTTTAGTTTTTAAGCTATAAGATTAGCTAAACATTAACTAAACATTAGCTAATCATTATCAAATCATTAGCTAAACATTAGCTAATCATTAGCTAAACATTAGCTAAACATTAGCTAAACATTAGCTAAACATTAGCTAAACATTAGCTAAACATTAGCTAATCATTAAATCATTAGCTAAACATTAGCTAATCATTAGCTAATCATTAGCTAAACATTAGCTAAACATTAGCTAATCATTATCAAATCACTAGCTAATCATTATCAAACCATCTTCAAATCATTAGCTAATCATGTTTAGCTAATGATTTGATAATGTTTAGCTAATGTTTAGCTAATGACATTATCAAATAATCACTAGCTAATCATTATCAAATTAATGATTATCAAATGATTATCAAATCATTATCAAATCAATCATAGCTAACCATTATCAAATCATTAAAATCAGTTCTCTTGAAAGTTTGGCTCAAAAAATGTTCCCGAAATTTTTTTTGTTTGTTTGTTAAAAGAAAAAACTTCACAGCACATGTTTTGTTTTTGAATTTAGTAAACTTTTGCACTTCACTTTGATCAACAAGGCTTTCTTTTTTTCTTCTACAACCACGCACCAATACCACTCATGATCCGAGGAATCGAGAGAGCTCACGCTTTTCGATCGTGGCTACAAAAAAGAGTTCAACTTACCGATTTTTAACTTAACAACAGCTTAACAACCGTCTAGAATCTATTCATCTTCTATATGATTATAGATATTTTTGAATTTTATCTACCATTCGAAGCGTGTCGCCTCGATCACGACCAAGATTGGCGGCATGAGCTCGATCGAGTTCTGTCACTCGCTCCTCGCGCTTCAACCCTTCTAAAATGTTTCCAGAATTGATGAATCTATTATTTTATTACTTAAGCCAATAGATAACTAGATAGATAACTTTAGTTTCTAGACTATATAATGTAAAAGTTGTAACAGATTTACTAAGTAGTTAGTATAAAACACAAAAAGACTAAACGAGCAATTTTTCAGCTTTTTTTTTGCCACTTTTCAATGATGTTTTTCTAAGTGTTGGTTAATGCTAAAGATTTCTTTTATATCTCAAAAAATCAACCATTTTCTCTACTTTAATTTGATATCTAAACGTGTAGAAACAAACGTACTGGTGTCAAGATATGAGCGTTTATTTGAGAGTAAACTTAGGCTACGCGACGATTCTATTTGAGAGTAAACTTAGGCTACGCGACGCTCCTCAACGCAAGGGAGGGATTTTATTAGAGTATTTACGGTCTAGTCTTTTAAGATTTCTACTATATTCCATACCAAGCTCAGTACGAAATTCTTGGAGTGTCGCCTTGAAGTGCTTCGTTCGATTGTTGTAGTCCAATCTGAAGAGTTCAAAAATCATTAATAACTAATCATTAGCAACAAAATTTATAACCATAAAAAGCAATTCAAATTCCCATACTTGCTCTTATCTAATGTATTCTTGAGTTGAGCGATCTCGTTTGGTAGATTTCCGACATCGAAAGCTGATGGATCGGGTGGTGGTGGGCCTGGAAAAGAATTTGATCTTAAAACTTTTCCAATCAAGCCAAAAAAAAAAATCACCCTCTAAACAAGAGCATAAAAATCGTGAAAAGCGAAAAGACAAAAGAAAGCTACTCTACTCAAAAAGCTAAAAAAAGCCTAAGCTACTCTTTTCATGCACCAAAAAAAAAGAATCGAGAGAATCGGAAACAAAGCAGCATCGAAAAGAAAAAAGCGAATCTATTTTATCGGGAATCGTTTGAGAAAAATACTAGTAGTTTATATAAGAACTAACCATTTCGCGTTAAAATAAAACGCAACAAATTGTGCTCAGACTCTTGAGGCATTTTTGTTTTTGCTTTGTTTCGGCGGCGCACTGAATACGAAAAGTTTACAGGCCAAAGAAGAGATCTTTTAACACGTTGACGACATTGTCACCTGATGCTGTCTGACACATATTCGTTCGCCTGGGACATTGTCACCTGATGTCAGGTGACAGTACCAAAATTTGATTTTTTTTTTTGTGCATATTTATGTTTGCTGATGATGGATTAATATCCATCATCAATAAGCATTCAATAAGCAGTATCAATAGCATCAATAAGCAAGTAGGGTAGTATCTACACTACTGGACAATGAAATATCATATTTGAAAAAATATCGTCACTTTCGCGCGTCTGTAACTCCCTTGTCTTTACCATATTTCTAAATATTAATATTACCATTGTGTAGCCCTTGAAAAGAGCTTTCAGAAAATGTATAACACTAATAGTTTAAACTCAAAGACAAAGAAGTTACAGACGTGCGAACGTGACGATCATTTTTCAAATATGATATTTCATTGTCCAGTACTGTATATTCGACTTGATCCCGGAAAATGTCGATGTTAACCGTTGATTATCCAACTCTGTGGGACATTGTCACCTGATGTCAGGTGACATTTTTTGTCGAAAAAAAACAACGTTGTCCCATGCGATTGTTTGTGCAAAAACGTCATTGTCGTCAACGTGTTAAAAAAAAAGTGCTAGCAAAATACAGTGAAAGAGAAAGATGAAGAGAATCCAATTTGTGCAATTCTTGTTTTCAACTCGAAAACTTTCAACCCAGCTTACCGACGGGTGGTAGATGTTTGAGGGAGAAAGGTGATTGTTGTGAAGGTAGGGGTGGGGTGGGGGCAGTTGAATCATTTGAGGAGGTGGTGGGAGTTGTTGCTGTTGCTGGTGTTGTTGCTGTTGCTGTTGCTGGTGCTGCAGTTGTTGTTGAATCATAGCTAAAGTTAAGTACTATAGTCTTTGAATCCGTAAACAAGGCCTGTAAGCCAGATCAGGCCAGACAAGACCGAGCCAGACTAGAAGCCAGAACTTGGCTTCTAGTTTGGCCTTACTTGCTCTGGATCGGAAAAACTAATAGAGAGGGCTTCAATTTAAATACGGTACTTTCGAAAAACCTATACCTATTGGATGACCTGAATGCTGACCATTTTGAGAGCCAACAATATAAGGTGGTGGTGAACGGGGAGTCGAATTCGGCATGATCTGGAAGCAAGATTTGAATGATTTCATTTGATTGAAACGGTCCAGATCGACATTTTCCCTTGTGTTTACGTCTTTCTCTAGCAGGTTAGGGTACCGAATAGCTCAGTGTTTAGAGCAATAGTCCGGAAAGCGAGGGTTGAAGGTTCAATCTCGGGGATTTTAGACTTTAGCATTTTTAGATGCATATTTGTCCGGGGTTCAATCCCGTTCAATACTTTTTCTTGTCTATTCCTTCACTTCTTTAACTTCTTTATAAGACTTCTGTCAGCGCTTTTACCAAACAAAAAAAGCAATCATCCTGGGGCACCAGATTTTCTCCCTTACACTTGATAATCGCTTTATACTTTGTACTTGGTAACAATTTTGATACCTAGATCTCTAAATCTGCCAGAAACTCGTTTTCAAATTGACAAGTACCTGTGGAGTATGAACAAGCATTGGCTGCGTGCTTGCAGATCGTTGTGCTCGTTGCAACTCGTCCCATTGTCGCGCCGCTTCTCGCTCTTCATCAGCACTCGATGTGTTCGACATGACATCGTGATGGGAATTCGACATCGGCTGATTCCCATTGTGCATCATCCATCCATTCTCTTGTCCCATCATCGCTTGACTCGCGAAATGGGTTGCTTGTCTGGGTTGTTGCCAGTTTTGCATCGACATGTCCCCAATCGACATCGACATTCTCTGCATGGCGAGCTCTTTTTCGCGAATCTCCTCCTCCATCATTCGTCGCATTCCGTCACACTAAGTTTTTCTTCTTTTAAAGCCCAACTTTTCCTTTACCTGTAAATAAGTGATCTTCATCCTTTGCGTCTCTTTCTCAGCATCCTCAGCTCGTTTCAAGAGTTCCCTAAAACAGATGATCAAAAATAATAACTACCGTAAATACTGTAATAGTATCCCACCGCCCCCTTGTACAGTCGCGTAGTCGCAAAAGTTTTTTAGTATTTCATTTTTTTCAAAGCGCCCGTACTTTCAAAAAAATGCGTCTTTGGTATCAAAAAATAGCTGAAAATCAAGGCTATTTTTTGATAATTGTATTGCTATTTTAGCATAAACCAGTGTCGAGAAAAACGCGTTCAAAGCTAGACTACGCAACACTCCGCACGGTCATTATACGGCTGGGGTACTATTACAGTATTTACGGTATGTATAATGAGTCTTTTTCTGAAGAACTGCTAAAATAAAGTTATCAAATATCAAATTTCAAAAGCTAACTTTATCTCATCTTCAGCTGTTCGAGCTTTCGTTGAGAAAATCGTCGCATTTTCGTCGGATTTTCGTGCTTGTTCCTAAAAAAAATCGACATAGCCGTTGGCAATCTAACTTTAAACTCAAATTTCTTAGTGTAGTACTTTTTAATTTAAATAGTTTTTATATCAATCGATAGATAAAGACTTAACGCATCTAATGATATAAAAAAAATATTTAAATTGAACAACTCAACACTAAGAAATTTAAGCTTAAAGTTGGATTGGGAAAAGGGTAAAATGTCCGATAACTTCCCTAGGGTTTATCTTTTCTTATACTCTTAAAAATCGATCTGCTTTATTATCTACTTTATTATCTACTTTATTATCTACTTTATTATCTACTTTATTATCTACTTCATTATCTACTTCATTATCTACTTTCATCTTGTTTAGGACAACATTTTACCTGAGCAAGGTGTAGCTGTTCGTTCAGAGTTTGCATGTCATTCCTCAACTGATTCCTTTCAGTTTCAGCTTGCATGCGCTCTTCTCGTTCTTTTTGTAAACGATTTTGCTCATCCTTAAACAATTTTTATTGCCAAATTCACCTAGCACACATTAAAATACGCCAAAAAAAATTTCCAACAAACAAAACAAATCTTCAAACTCTTTGAGATTTAGTCTTTTGACTTTAGCATTTTTAGATGCATATTTGAATTCTTAAATTCAACTTAAACAATACCTGTTTTCGTATTCTTTCCTCTTTTGCTTGTGCTTTCATTTGTTGCACTTCGAGAATATCGGGTTGCCTTCTCCGTAAATACAAATTATGAGTGCCTAGAAAATGAATGAAAATCTTTAAAAATTCTCTAAAACATTGCTAATACCAATGCACAATTCGAGAATCGACATGTTGATTGAATGATCTTTTGCTTGAAAAGAGATTGTCGATTTGTCCACCGTTTTCATGTTGAACTGAATGATTTTTGATTGTGAAATTGTGAAATTGAGTATTTTATTTTATTATCTACTTCATTATCTACTTTATTATCTACTTTATTATCTACTTTCATCTTGTTTAGGACAACATTTTACCTGAGCAAGGTGTAGCTGTTCGTTCAGAGTTTATAGAAATATTACACCCATATCTATTTCCTATACCTTAACGATTGAGGAGTAAATGGAAACAAACAAAATAATGTTTCTCTGACTCTGACCAGTAGATCAAAAGTTTTAGACTCAAATCGTGTCTCATTACTTTTTCCAAACGTTTTTGAACTCCCATTCGAGATTTCCTAACATTCCCTCTCTGTAGAATGAAAAAAATACAATCCATTTTATCAATAAGTACCTGTTTATTTTTGAATGAAATATTTCGAATTTCACTCCAACTGAAGAATGGTCGAGGGGTGATCCGATTGGCGCCTTTATAGATGCCGATTCCCTGCGCCGAGACCCCGAGTTGAAGATCGGTTTCTTTTTTATTCTATAAAGTTTTATGTTTAGGCAAAGATTGTTCTATAAAGGTTTTAATCTATCTATCTCTATCTTTCTCTATCTTTCTCTATCTTCCTCTATCTTCCTCTATCTTTCTCTATCTTTCTTACCTGAATTGGATAATACTGTATGCCGTACATTTCAAGATCTTGCGCCACTCGAAGATACTCCATCTCCGCGTCTTCTCTAAACCATTTTCCCATTTACAGTTGATCACTATACGCTTAAGAGCTACTAAAACTTTTTAAGAAAATACTAGTGATTTTCAATCTTTACTATAAACTCATTGTTAGCTATGTTAATAAGATTCTTGCCTCGATTGCCCAGCGTTATGTGTCCACCATCTTCGAATCCTTTCTTGCCACATATCCACCGTCATATCATACTGTGAAGTGACATTAGCAGGCAGATATTTTGCTACGTCAACCGGGGCATCTTCAGCGCAATCACCATGCTGAAATCAAAAAGAAATTTTTGTCTTAATCATTTACAATAAAGCACTTACAATAAAGCATTTATAATAAAGCAGTTAAAATACTTATACTCAATAAAGCACTTACAATTGCTTGAACGCCATAAGAGGCAAGAAGCACCGCTGCTTCGGCCGAACAATAGAGATCTTGAGTGAGGATTGCCTAGATTTGTAATTGCTTAAAGTTATAAGTAATCGAAACTATTTAAACTTTAAAGAAAACCTGTTTGATTTGAACAAAGAAAAGATGTCGAGTGAGGTCTTGAATGAGCTCTTCTTCCACATCTTCAGGGTAAAATTTGACAAGAAAAAGAAAATGCAAATGACCGTCGACTCCTTTTGGCACATCTTGTTTAGAGATCTTGAAAAGATCAAGTTTTTCTTTATCTTTATCTTTAGCTTTAGCTTTATATTTATATTTATATTTAAACTTTCCCCAACCTTTTTATCCATTTGAAGCCAACAAGAGATATTTTTCTTGTTCTCATACTGTAGACCGAAAAACCAAAACTCTCGAAGTCCAATGATACGACAAACCAAATCAAAAAGATCTCTACCCGTCCAATCGGGCTAAAATGTTTCTTAAGATTTTATTGGATTCGTGAATTGAAAACTGCGGGCTCTTGTCATAAGTCACTATTTGAGCACTTTTTTCAAAAGAAACCCATTTTGGTGTGAATGGAAAAGTTGTAGAGAATCAAAAATCAAGCTTATATCCAAATTGTCAGAACGATTCAAAATTCAAGAAATGCCAAATTTACGAATTTTCACAAAACTTGCATTTTAAGCGAAACTACTAAGTGTATCTTTTTGGAAATTTGGCTATAAGCCTCATTTTTGATTCTCTACAACTTTTCTATTGACACCAAAATGGGTTTCTTTTGAAGAAAGTGCTCAAACTGGGACATCTCCAGTCCTCCATTTTTGAGTCTCACACTTGTCTCACACACAAACCAAAATCCTACCACGAAAGAGGAATCCTCAAATTGCCTGTAAAATGGGCAAAAGTCGTCAATAATAATGGAAATTATTTGGAATGAATTCATGGTTTTATGTTGAATAAATTTTAGTTTAAAGTCCGGCAGTTTTCAATTGACCAACCCAATAATTGACTTATATCACTTAACAAGATCAACTCAATAACTAGACTTGAATTAAATAAAGTTAAATAAAGTTAAATAAATAACTAGTTAAATAAAGATTGAGTTAAATAAAGATTATTTCATTTTTTCAAAGTCCCGCAGTTTTCAATTCACGAACCCAATAAATTCAGTTGTATTCATTTTGAAATCTCAATGAAAATTGTAAAAGATAGAAGAATCGTAAATCAAAATTGTAAATCAAATCGTTTTTTGTCTCTAACATTCTCAATTCCTACCTCCAGCGTCAATTCGGAAAGTTTATCGCGTTGAAACTCAAAAATTTGTTTTAGTTATAGATAAAAGAAAAGGAATTATAATATATTGTTGTTGAATTGTTAAACTAAACAGGATATTAGTTAGATCTTCGATAAAAATTCAGATTTAGACTATGAATGAAAGCCTTCAACAAAGCCTTCAACAAAGCCTTCAACAAAGCCTTCAACAAGGCCTTCAACAAAGCCTTCAACAAAGCCTTCAACAAAGCCTTCAACAAGGCCTTCAACAAGGCCAATAGATGCTAATTTAGCTTTCTATTAGGTTGGTAAAAAAAAAATGAGCGTCGTGTTTGTTGATTTGTATTTTATTCACAGTAAAAGATATTGTTATCTTGTTTTTATAATAAAATAAACTTTTAACGAAAACGCGCATTTCTTTTTTACCAACCTAATAGCATTTCGAATAAAACTCAATTATAGTTTTCTTTTATTTACCACAATTGGAATACTCTCAAGATCGGCATCCATTGTAGTCACTTTGGCGACAAGTTGTTTACCGCCGAGATTGCCCCCGAGCAACCCACTCAGCAGCCCCATTGTTCGATCAGAAGAGATCGATTCGCTGAAGTTTCATCTTTTGTTTTAAAGATTTCTTTTCTTGATTTACTGTTAGAATACTTTCCCATTATAACCCCACATTTTATAAAATTAACATTTAACAAAAAGACAACAAAAACAACAAAATTTCATTTGTATCAATCTCATTATATCCCCATAAATAGCAGATTTAAAAAAAAGATTTTCTAACTACAATCCACAAATATAACTACAATTCATATCCTAACTACAATCATATCCTAACTACAATTCATATCCTAACTACAATCCATATCCTAACTACAATCCATATCCTAACTACAATTCATATCCTAACTACAATCATATCCTAACTACAATTCATATCCTAACTACAATTCATATCCTAACTACAATTCATATCCTAACCACAATTCATATCCTAACTACAATCCATATCCTAACTACAATCCATATCCTAACTACAATTCATATCCTAACTACAATTCATATCCTAACTACAATTCATATCCTAACTACAATCCATATCCTAACTACAATTCATATCCTAACTACAATCCATATCCTAACTACAATTCATATCCTAACTACAATTCATATCCTCTGTGGTGGGTAAAGAAAACATTAAACCCGGTAGAAAATGAGAGAAAAACAGCATCCAGATAAATGCTAATTTTTGGCATGCTAATTTTTTTAAAATCTAGGAGTATAACGGGAATGATTCGTGTGTGGGTATAATGGGATTGAGGCTGGAGGGTGTGTATACATTGTTAATGGGCGAGTACACACTGTTAGTGTTTAAAAATGAACTTACAATTAAAAATTGGAGATTTTATGATATAAATACATATTAAGATAGGAAAAATCGTGGAATGTGGAAGAAAGATGTGAAGAAAAGAAGAGGAAATCGAGAAAGAAAGAAGAAACGACAAGGTGAGAGGGGATAACACACCAGGGTCAATCGATCGATCAGTCGCCCTCTTTCTTAGCCTTGTGCACATTTCTCTTTGAATGCTCCACACATAAGAAGAAGGAGAAAAAGAAGAAGACGGAGAAGGAGAAGGAGAAGAAGAAGAAGAAGGAGAAGAAGGAGAAGAAGGAGAAGAAGGAGAAGAAGAAGCAACTTGCAAGCAATATGAAGAGAAAGAACCACAAGATCTAAGCAGAGACCCTTCACCCTCCCTTCCCCTTTCTTCCTCTTCCCCTCCCTTCCCCTCACTAATGCCAACCCTCATCCACTATTCCCCTTTCTCTTCATCCTATAAGTTTCCGATTTCCTCAGTTCCCAGGCTACAAATATCACCATAAGCTTTTAATATGATTGTTTGTAAATCTTGTACCTGTTTTGAATCTTTTACAGTACAGAGATCTATCTTTCTTTCTTTTTTCTTTCTTTCTTTCTTTTTTATGACTAAGCATTTCCGGTGATTTCTATTCTTTAAAAGAAAGTGGAAACCCCTCTAGATCTCCACTTTTCCCCAAAGTTTCCCCTAATTTGATCTCCCTCTCAAATTACGACGTCACGTGAGCAATAACTAACTAACTTTCTTTCTTAGTTTTCTTAGTTTTCTTAAACCACCCAGTTTTCAACTTCAACTATGCTATGAAAACATTGACAATTCAAAAACTCTCTTTCAATCTTTTCAAAACCCACCTCTGACTCAAATTTTGTGATTTTTGTGACTCTTCCTTTAAAGAAAGCTTTGAACAAATTGTATCTACCAAAATGTCTTATCTCTTTCTTACTCAGCTCACTTTCTTAGAAGACTAATTCACAGAATTTGAAGTATTCCTAGAAATCAAAAATGACCAAAATAACTCAAAAGTTTCACAACAAGGAAAAAGAGGGTGAAAAGGGTGAAAAGGCCTAGAAAAAAAGCTGATCTCCAGAATTTCCTCGCCTTCATTTTCACTTTCCTCATGCGTTCTCTTTTTGCTCTTTCCATAAATGCAAAAGCTTTACGTTTCGACAATAGACTTGATTCTATTTTAAAATTTCTCTCTTTTTGCGAAATTTTTGTTTAATAATGTTTAATAATGTTTAATAATGTTTAATAATGTTTAAAAATGTTTAGTAATGTTTAGTAATTGTTTAATAATTGTTTAGTAATGTTTAGTAATGTTTAGTAATGTTTAGTAATGTTTAGTAATGTTTAGTAATGTTTAGTAATGTTTAGTAATGTTTAGTAATGTTTAATAATGTTTAATAATGTTTAATAATTGTTTAATAATGTTTAATAATGTTTAGTAATGTTTAATAATGTTTAGTAATGTTTAGTAATGTTTAGTAATGTTTAGTAATGTTTAGTAATGTTTAGTAATGTTTATAATGTTTATATGTTTAATAATTGTTTAATAATGTTTAATAATGTTTAGTAATGTTTAATAATGTTTAGTAATGTTTAGTAATGTTTAGTAATGTTTAGTAATGTTTAGTAATGTTTAATAATGTTTAATAATGTTTAAAAATGTTTAATAATGTTTAGTAATGTTTAGTAATGTTTAATAATTGTTTAATAATTGTTTAATAATGTTTAATAATGTTTAATAATGTTTAATAATGTTTAACAATGCTTAACAATGCTTAACAATGTTTAATAATGTTTAATAATGAGTCAATATTAAACATTATTAAACAAAAATTTCGCAAAAAGAGAGAGATTTTAAAATAGAATCAATTCTATTGTAATGTTTAATAATGTTTAATAATGAGTCAAGAAGAGTCAACAAAAGTTAACACTTTTTTTTTCCGTTTTTCTTTTTTATTTCTAAAAACTTGATCAACAAAACTAAAAACTTTTTGAGAAAAACATTTAAAAGATGAGGAATCTTTTTTTAAAGGCCAAAAATTCTTTTATATTGTAAAATATTAATCAAATTTTCAACTCTTACTTTAGCAAAGATGCGTCTGATCGCCGTTCATCCATCACTTGGCTCTCGACGTTTAACGAAAATCGCTATTGATGGCATTTATTTATTTCTAAAAGCTCATCGAAAATCACATAATAAAGTAGAAAAAAAAAAGAAAACTATTAGCTTTTAAAAAAAAAAAAAAAGAATAATTTTAGGTTCAAATTTGGAAAGTCAATACATTAGTGCCATCGGATTGGGAATGTATCTTCGAATTGCAATTGAAAGAACTCATTTACTCAATCCCTGCTTATGACTATAAAGAGAAAGTCATCTTTCTTCTTGTAGCTGCTGTTTTTGTAAGCTTTTTTTTAGATAAATATTTTGATTTCTATTTATTTTAGGAAAATGAAGAGAACTTTCGGATTACTTTGTTTCGAATTGATGATGAGAAGAGAGAGGAATGGTCGATTATTGATGAAAATGGAGAGATTTGGGTAACATTACTTTGAAAATAAAGAACAATTCAAATGCTTAAAACAATTTAAATAAGTCATTTAAACAAGTCATTTAAAGATTAAACAACAATTTAAACAACAACAAGTCATCGATTATCGATCAAAATGGAGAGATTTGGGTAGACTTCGGAAAACAAAACAAAACAAAACTTAACCAAAACCAAAACAGACCAAAACCAAAAGCACCAAAAACAAACCAAAACCAAAGCCAAAACTAACCAAAACTCGCCAATATCTCGCGACTGGGAGGAGCTAGCGAAAATCTGTTTGCAGATTTGAAATCAGCATCCAAAAATCTATCCCATAGGCTATTTTTTGTTTCGAAATTTCGAGGTCGTGTTTTGGTCCTTTTTTTTGGGCCGCGAGTTTTTGTGGAGTGAGAAAAAGTGAAAGGCTAATTTGCATTTTACAATTTTAAATTTACATGTTAATTTATATGCAAATTGAGTTTTGGTCTTTTTTGGTTTTGGTTTTTTTTTTACCGAACTCTAGATTTGGGTAACACTACTTTGAAAATAAAGAACAATTCAAATGCTTAAAACAATTTCAACAATTCATTAGACAATTCATTAAACAAGTCATTCGACAATTAAATATTAAATATATATTAAATTTAAATTTTCAGCAGGTTCCCCTTGAGAATGTGGCAATGGGAGTTGGTGGAAAAGAAATGTCAACAAACTCTCGACCGACTCTTCATCTTTATGATCGATCTATTGTTCAAGGCCCAATACCTTTCTGGTATCTTCATCTTACAAAAGTATACTTTAACTATATTTCTTTCTTTAAATCAAATCTTTAGACTAATTTCTATTTGGAAAAACGTTTCTTAGAAGATATTGAAGATGTGAAATGTCATCGATTTGCTTTCTGTTTAGATGGAGATTCAAGAAGGTGAGTTCGAGTTTAAAAAGAATTAAATTTATATTAGAATAAGAAGAATTATTATATAATATTAGCTTTTAATCATAGATTTACTAGTTAGCCAAAAGCATTGTTAATTGGTGAATTTGTTATTATTTCAAAAAACTATTTCAAATTATTTCAATCATTTCGATGATGATGATACGTTTTAGGCACTTTAAGCTAAAAAAAACCTATCTTCGTGTGTAATGGGTAAAAGGTAGAGCATAAAAAGTTTAATATATAGGTAAATTTACAGGGAAATTCATTCAGTCAATTTCTTCGTAGAGGTTTTTCTAGATTTTTTTTTCTAGAAAAACACGAATTTGCTTGAAGAAAGTGAAATGAAATTTGCTTAAAAAGATGAAAATTGAAACAAAATTTGCTTAAAAAGATTTAAATTAAAACAAAGTTCACTTAGAAAGATGGAAAATTACTCAATAAATACTTTTTTTCAAAAAAAGAAACCATTGTTAATTGGTGAATTTGTTATTATTTCAAAAGAAAGTACGAAAAGAAGCAAAAAAAGACTTTCTGGAGAGTCTATTAGCTTTTAAAACTCTAAGATTGGTTTGGCTTACGATTTGTTTAAAGATTAGATTAAAGATTAGATTAAAGATTAGATTAAAGATTAGATTAAAGATTAGTTTAAAGATTCGATACTATATCTAGATTTTTCTAGATTTGCGCGGCTTCGTGAAGACAATGGGATTGCCGTTTACGATGGAGAAGCCGAGCGATGGGTCCACTATGAGCAAGACGCTGACTCGGATTTCGATGTAATTTACATTTAAAACCAACAAAATCTCTAACTATATGGTTTACTATTAGATTAAATTACAATTTTTGCTTTTAGTTACACATTTTGTCGGCGGTGAACGATTTAAGGGAGACTTTCGGTCGAGCTGGTAGAAGAGTGGCCGCTGTTGAGTCTCCGCTCACAATTCACACTGATGCTGGGGTGAACTTTTAAAAGATAATCAATTTAGCACAAATTCCAACCCATTCAATTCTCTATTCTTTTAAAAAGGCTTTTGAACTTGAGTTTTAATTTCATTTTGAACTTGAATTTGTATTTGAATTTGAGTTTGAATTTGAGTTTGAATTTGAATTTGAATTTGAGTTTGAATAAAAAGAATTTCTTGTATTCAGATTTGCGTGGCGAAACGGGTCACTAGCAACAGCATTCACGAGTTTTACCGTATCGATTTTGATCACCAGCGACGGAGTTACTCGTTGAGGTTTTAGATTTTAGATTTTAGATTTTAAAAATAAACATTTAAAGCTTAATGTTTATGTTTTCAAAATCCTATCTAACTTTTGAAAACAATAAAACTTTCAGGAGCAGAGGCGCCGCTAATTTGAAGGAAGTGGCTACAATGTATTACGTGTTGGTCAGCGAAGAGCTAGCTGCGGTCGTTGGGCTCAGTTGTGTGGCGGTTGGTCAAATTCTTGCACTAAACAAATATTTATTATATCTACTATAGATAAAGGGCCTAAGACGTCTGTCTGTCTGTCTGTCTGTCTGTTCGTCTGTGCGCCTGTTTGTGCGCCTGTCTGTCTGTGCGCACTACTCTTCTGCGCCCAGTGGGCCGTTTCCAATGGTTTTTGTGCCGCCGTTGAATCGGGAATTACATGTATTATGCAATGTGCTTTTGGATTTTTTAAAAAGCACAATTCGGGTCGCACATGGAGGTCGAACACGGATCGTATGGGCGACGCTGGCGCTGGCGGCTGGCGCTAGGCTGGCGCACTATCCACTGCTCCACGGCGACAAAAGCTGGCCGTCCCCAAGAAATTGAGAAAAACCCGCCGTTAAACGAGTTTCTCGACTGGTTATATTATATTATAAGACAATCTGTGCAGCATATTAGGCTGAAAGTCTTTTCGTTTCTTTTCTTTCCATTTAAAACCAACAAATGCGCCAATTGAACTTGTTTTCTTTTCATTAGAAAGCCCAATTCTTTTTCTGCAGAATCACATTAAAACGGGTTTAAAATGACTTAAGTCTAGATGTTTTTTTAAGAGCTTGAAGTCGGGTCGTCAAAAAGCGGGACGGCTCGATGATGATGATACGTTTTAGGCACTTTAAGCTAAGAAAACCTATCTTCGTGTGCAATGGGTAAAAGATAGAGCATAAAAAGTTTGATATATAGGTAAATTTACAGGGAAATTCATTCAGTCAATTTCTTCGTAAAAGTTTTTCTAGATTTTTTTACGAAAAACACGAATTTGCTTGAAGAAAGTGAAATGAAATTCACTTAACAAGATGAAAATTAAAACAATTATCACTTAAAAGATGAAAATTAAAACAAAATTCACTTAAAAAGATGAAAATTGACATAAAACTCACTTAAAAAGATGGAAAACTACTCAATAAATACTTTTTTTTTTTTTTTTTTTTTTTTTTTTATAAAAAAAAAAAAAAAAAAAAAAAAAAAACCTTCTGGAGGCTTTTTTTATAAAACCCCCAGTTGGGTTTGTTTTTTTTTAAAATTAAATAAAATAATAAGTAGTTTAAAGATTAGTTTAAAGATTTGTTTAAAGATTAGATTAAAGATTCGATACTAGATTTGTATTTTTGCATTTACAAAACGAATTTCCAGATCATCCCCCTTCAACCACCGCCACTTTCCCATCTTGCTGTGTGGGCTGTACAAAAAGAAACGGCAAATCGCGATGAGCGCGGCGCTTTACATGACGGTCTTACCTATCCACAAATTCATCATCTTCTCACAAATCTTGCAAATCTATCCATCTAATCTATTTTCTTATTTTGTTTTTTTTTTCTTTTATTGTTTTAATTGTGCCTTCTAAGTCAAGCCTTAACCTTTAACTTCTAGTCTTTGTTTTTGTTTTTTTGCCTAAAAGGTATCATCATCATCGAGCCGTCCCGCTTTTTGATGACCCGACTTCAAGCTCTTAAAAAAACATCTAAACTTCAGTCATTTTAAACCCGTCTTTGTCTTTCACATTTGTTACTGAAATAAATTCTTTGTGCAAAGTCGAGCTCGAATTTGCATCTGATCTACCGTACCCCCAGCGGTCAAATGGTCACCGAAACGTGGATTCCAATTGCTAATTGAAATTCAAAAAAAGATTAAGCTTAACTGGTTTTTGTTTAATAAGTAAACGCTTTTAAATTATCATTTTTTGGATATTTCCAAAAAGTTATCTAACTTTTCTTGTAATTTAAGTAAATTATAATGAAAATTACTTATTTAGTACTTTGAATTTGTAAAATAGTACTAGTATTGTTGTAAATTGTTCAGAAAACAATTTAGCTCAAAAAAAGACTAGCAAAAAGCTTCTTTATGGATTTTCTTAGCGCATCGTCGTCTTTCATGAATGTTTCTTTGTCTTTATCGAATTTCGCCATCTATTTTCTCTTTTTTTTTCTTTTCTTTAATGGCATTTCATTCATTGAATGGCAAAAAAAAGAAATAGTTCATTGAGTTTCATTGAAAACTATATTCACAATGAATTCTGAGAAATCTAGACCACCGATCGCAGAAGAGATTCTCACTCCGACGAATCTAGCAAGTATGCAAAAGTTTAATCTCTATTTACTTGAGTAGATCTTTCAGCTTCGTAAAATCTTCCTTACTTGTTTTCAGATTTATCTCAATTTTTAGTCTTTCATCTTTATATAGAGTTTATTTGTCGAAACACTTTCCCAGCTATGCATTCTGTTGGCTTAGGCGTTTCCCCCCTGCCGATTTCAACCCAAAGCCAAAGTTTCAAATCTAACTAACCTAACTAATTCTCATTAATCTTAATAAGCTTAATAAAAGGGATTATGGACTTAAAAATCTAATTTCCAAATGAAATTTCATGCCTAATGGACCCTGAGACTTTGGAAATTTGATTATTCAACCCAAGCTTTGAAGACTATACGATAAATTACTATAATCAAATCCTACAAATCCTACAAATCCTACTGTACTTAATCATTAGCTTTTTATAGCTCAGTTTCTTTTTGATGGATGAATGAATGGATTTTTTTGGAGATTTTTGGATGAATGTTTTCTGAAAGTTGAAAATCTTTTCCCTTTCCCATCAATTCATCGATTTCTCTGCTGTAAATGATTTGCGAAAGAGTTTTGTGTGAAATCTTTTACAATTCCAGAAAATCTCTCAGTGGACTTTGAGGGAGAAGCGGATCAAGAGAAGAAAAAACAAGAATTTGGGGAGATCGAGGAGAAGAGATTCGTCCAATCGATGCTCCCCACCCATCACTCGAAGAAGGGAAATCCCTCGTCTCATATTCATTTACTTGGCTTTAACATCACATATTAGTAGGTTTTAAAATAAAGATTAAAGGTTAAAGATTAAAGATTAAAGATATATTATCTTATTTTTACAAAAAAAAAAAAAGACCTTTTAGCCCACAATGGCTTCAGTTTTCTTTGTTGAGCGCCGCGATTTTCGTCTTCTACCTTGGATACGGTTATATGCAGGCAAATCAATTATTCAATTATTCTATTCACTTTTAAATTTCAAATCTATTCAAATCTATTTCAATCTATTCAATAAGATCCAATTCAACAATTAAATAACTAATCTTCTTTTAGGAGCTAATATTTCGATTTGATGGAATGCAACCATTTGGATGGTATCTCACACTCATCCAATTTCTCATTTACAGCGCTTGTGGCTATGGGGAAAGTCTCGTTTGGCATGATACGCATCGAAGGTTTGTACGCATTTTCTCGGCTGTGTTTTGTCCAATAAAGCTAAAACTTCTTTAGAAAATCTTAGAATATATTGTAGTTGAGCCATTTAAAATGAAAAATCAAATTTTGAAAAGCAGAAGCTGTTTGGAAGACCCGGGAATCGAACCTGGGTCGTAGACCGTCCACGGCGTGTGGTAGAACATCGCGCTCCCGACTGCGCCACGGTGACACCGAGTGACTAGCCAGAAAAATCCCATATTAAGCGGGCTTTTCGGCTGATAAGAAATATCTTAAATCTATTAAAATTCTCGATTTTTATCCCATAAAACGATTCTAGAATGCCCCTCAAAATCTATACGCTCATCGCTTTTCTCACAATGGCCACAATGGGTCTTTCGAATGCTTCTGTCGGCTATCTCAACTATCCAACTCAAGTAAATCAAAATATACCCTAAAAACGCGAAAAAACTATAGAAAACATAATTTAGGTGATTTTCAAATGCTGCAAACTGATCCCAGTGCTCATTGGCGGGATTATTATTCAAGGAAAACGCTACGGACTTATCGACGTCTCCGCGGCAATCCTCATGAGTTTAGGTTAGTAAAATTTCGTTTTTAACTTCTCAGATTTTAAATTCATTCTTTTTTTTTGATTATCTTTGATCTTTTTTAATTTAATCCAAAATTTATCCATTTACCTCAGAACTTTTTGACTTTTCAGGTTTAATCCTTTTTACTCTCGCTGATAGCCGCGTGGCTCCAATCTTCGAGCCACGAGGATACATAATGATTAGGTAAACAAAAACAAGAGTCATTTCTCTAGATTGAGAGGATTTTTATCTAAATAAAATCTAGATTATGTTTATATTTGTAAGAAAATCTCGATGAAACACTTCAGCGGAGCTCTTCTCGCCGACGCGGTCATCGGGAATGTGCAGGAGAAAAACATGAAAAAGTATGGCGCCTCGTCGAATGAAATGGTGAGATTTATTTGAGAAAAAGAATTCAAAAGACTAAAGTTATGGATTGGTTATGGATTGGTTAAGGATTGGTTAAGGATTGGTTATGGATTGGTTATGGATTGGTTAAGGATTGGTTAAGGATTGGTTAAGGATTGGTTAAGGATTGGTTAAGGATTGATGAAGGATTGGTTATGGATTGGTTATGGATTGGTTAAAGATTGGCTATGGATTGGTTAAGGATTCGTTAAGGATTCGTTATGGATTGGTTATGGATTGGTTAAGGATTGGTTAAGAATTGGTTAAGGTTTTCTACTCGTACTCAATCGGAAGCGTGTATATTTTCGTGTACACAGTGCTAAGCGGCGAGTTCTTCTCGGCGTTTGCCTTCTTCTGGGAGGTTTGTTTTAAAAAAAAAAAAACATAAAGACATTGAATAATTTTATGTAAAAACTCGAATTGTACTAATTTTCAACATCTTTTCTTTTAGAATCCTTATGAAACCTATGGCTACGGATTAATCTTTGGACTACTTGGATATTTGGGAGTGAATGTAGTGCTGACACTTGTCAAGGTGAGAAATTTTTGATTTAGAAGACTTTGAAAAGCAAAATTTCTTGTAAAGTGTTGTATTTTGATATTGTAAAGTCTTAATCAGTTATAGTACAAAATATAGAACTTATAGAAGAGTTCTAGAGACAGAATAAAACCAAATACCCTTGCTCTTCTTTATTAGCAGGAATATTTTTCGATTTTGATAACTAGTAAAAGCATACGGTAAGACAGATAGAAAGTAAGACAGACATACAGTAAGACAGATATACAGTAAGACAGGTATACAGTAAGAAAAGACAAAACAAATAGCTGTTTAATTTCCAGGTGAGCGGAGCGCTGGTCGCGGTAACGGTGACGACTTTCCGAAAAGCGCTCACCATCGCTCTCTCATTTCTTCTTTTCTCAAAGCCTTTCACGGTAAATCTAGCTAAGAGTTAACATTATTAAATATTAGATTTTAGCTTTTAAATATTAGATAAGATCTATTTTAGATATATTAGATCTATTTTCTTGATCTTAAATCGAATCCTTATTTAGCTGGACTATCTCTGGGCCGGTGTGATCATCCTGCTCGCCATCTATCTCAATCTCTACAGCAAAGTGAGTTGTGATATCTAGAATTTAAGAAAACAACCTATTAACTGAATATTCTATTTGTTAAGCTATTATTTTTGGTGTGCTTTTAGAATAAAGCACACTGGGATGGGATGCTGAGGCGTTTTTTGCGGCAGTATCTTCACAAATCGAAACACCACGAAGTGGATATGGTTTAAAATTGGTTTCAAATTGTTTTTTGAAATCATTTAGCATTTATTCACTTGAATATCTTGAATTAAATTAATTAAAGCTTTGAGATTCTTTATTTATTTGCATAATTTATTAGCTTTTTAATCGATTTCTTTGTCATTTACGTTTTAGGATAGAGTGTGTGTGCCTGGCGAGTAAGTAATTACTCGAGTAAAAGGTTGCATGAGTGAAATTTTTCCTCGATTAATCGACGTTTTTTTTTCGCGTCGAGTAACTACGAGTAAATCCTATTTACACGTCGAGTAAATTGAATATCTTTACTTGTGACGGGGAATTTGCCACCAAAATCAGCTAAACAGCTGAATATCTTTACATTTGGCGGGAAATTCTTTTCAAGTGTAAAGATATTCAGCCGTTTAACTGATTTGGTGGGAAATCGGGGTAGGCTGCTTAGCTCCAAATTTTTTGCTCAACTGGGTCATTTGCGCAACTCACCATAACTTCCTTCTAAGTAAGCCAATCTTTATGATGTTGGTGTCATTTTGTTGCACTTATTGAGATCTACAAAATGAAACCAAAAATGATAAAGATTGGCCGACTTAGAAGAAAGTTATGGCGAGTTGCGCAAATAAAATGGCGGAAATTAGCCTACCCCCACACTCTACTTTACGACGATACGTCTTTGAAAAATTTGACTCTTCTTTTAGGAATTTTTGAAATTTTCTCAAATCTTCAACTGCAGTTACAAATTCTTTAAGCATTTCTACGAGTTTTTAAATTTTATTTGTGATACATTTTTTTGTTTTTCAATCAATCTGTGATATAATTTGCTGATATTACTGTGTGCCTTGGTAGTTTTCAAAAAAGAAAATTTTTCAATCATTTACATCAACATCAACAAAATTCGTTTCATGAGAAAGAAAACCGGCAAAAAAAAAAATCATAAAAAGAAATAATTATATATTTATGAGAGAGAGGGAAAATATTGCGTATCGAATGAGAGGGAAGGGAAACGAAAGGGAAATAAAGAAAAATTTTTGTAAAGAAAAAAAAAAGCGGGGCCGCGCGAGACTAGCACAAAGTGAATACCGTATTCAGTATTTAGTAAATGTGATTTCTTTTAGACATTTAAAAATACTGTAGTTTTAAAATATTGTCTTTACCAGCTTTCAATCAATTGGAACTAAAGATATCGATCTTGTCAACTGAATACTTTTATACTGGATCGCTTAAGCTATAGGATTCGTAAGTTACAGTACATTGCAGAAGACAAGGACTACAGTATTCTTAGGTTACGGACGTTACGGTAAGACAGGACTACTGTATCCTTAGATTACGGTACATTACGGTAAGACAGGACTACAGTATTCTTAGGTTACAGTACATTGCAGTAAAAAAGGACTACAGTATATTACAGTAAGACAGGACTACAGTATCCTTACAATTATAGTAAGCATACTGTAGCTTTCAATCAATTGGAACTAAAGATATCGATCTTGTCGACTGAATACTTTTATACTGGATCGCTTAAGCTATATGATTCGTAAGTTACGGACACTACAGTACAACAGGACTACAGTATTCTTAGGTTACGGACATTAAAGAAGACAAGGACTACAGTATCCTTAAGTTACAGCAAATTACAGTAAGACAGGACTACAGTATCCTTACAATTATAGTAAGCATACTGTAGTCTAGTGTCTTAGCCTCATCAGTTGAATACGATATTCGAAAATTCAGCACACGATGAAAGGATATTTTCAGAAAAACGAATAGATTACACTTTTTGGCATTTTTCGTATTGGCAAGGGGAAAAGCTTTGCGAATCTCATAGCATATTGAAAAAAGAACTGTTTAACAATGTTTAACAATGTTCACAAAAATTTGTACACGCTAGAAAAAGTTAGAATCGCAAGCAATTGTAGGGGTATAGTGTGAGAGGTTGATGATGAAAGGGCTAAAATATACTGTAAACATTACAGTATGCTGAGTGTCTTTATCGCAACTTTTAGTAAAGACTGTGCACTTCCAGTGTCCATCGACAGAGCATCAAATCTTGAAAGCCTTTTACAGAAAGCCTGTCACCATCACCACCTGCCAATAAATCTTAAGCTCAAAAAGACTTTGAGATAGATGTGTGAAATCAATTTGTTTCGAGAGGTTCAATCGGCTCTTCGCCATCATTTGGTGTACCCGGTCTAGGTGTGCGCGGCATTTCGATCTTTGATGGCGCATCTAACGGCGTCTCACAAGGTGACACGATTATCGACGGCGCTCCCGTGTCCCCAGAGTCGTGCACTTTATATCTGAAATTTCTGAAATCATACCATTTCAATATTCAATATTGTTATTGAATTACAATTGAATATCATATTCTATTCAATATCATAAGCTATAGCATCAAGCCAAGTTCCTGGGGTAGGCTAATTTCCGCAACTTTTTTTGCGCAACAGGATCATTTGTGCAACTCGCCATAACTTTCTTCTAAGTCGAGCAATCTTTATGATTTTTGGTTTCATTTTGTTTCACTTATTGAGATCTACAAAATGACACAAAAATCATAAAGATTGGTCGACTTAGAAGAAAGTTATGGCGAGTTGCACAAATGATCCTGTTGCGCAAAAAAATCATAAAGGTTGGCTTACTTAGAAGAAAGTTATGGCGAGTTGGGTAAACGACCCAGTTGCGCAAAAAAAGTTGCGGAAATTAGCCTACCCCAAGTTCCTGGAAAGAAAGTGAAACTTTTAAAAGAAAAGAAATTTAAAAGTATTTACGGTAGGTAGTAATGATAATAATGTTGATAATAAAAATAATAATAATAATAATAATCATCATCATCATCATCATCATCATCATGGTCATAATTTCCAATAGATAAGATTATCATTTCTAACAAGCGCTTACTCTTCATCGACGGCGAAAGCAGCTAAACGGGCCATTAAATCAAAGGAGCAGACAACGGGCGCCATTTCCTAGAAATTCATATATACTTAAAGAAGAATTCTATTTTTACCAACCCTCATTTGTTCCCATCCAACCGGTGGCGAGCACGGTGGACTGATCAGGAATTGTTTCTCGAGAGGTGGTGGCTGAAGTAAAGCCCCGGACGATGATCGCAACAATACTCTCTGAAAAAAAGCTTTATCAGAAAAATCCTTTTAACAGAAGGATAGCATAGGATTTAACTATCCAATGCTATTCTTTCTTGTTTTTATTCTTTTATTATTCACTGATTCAAACCTGTCCAAAGTAGGCTTTCAATTGAATTCCTTTGAAAGAGAAATGCTCGACTCGACATTTGCCTGTTGTTGCATTTTCTGGGGTACTGAAAAGAATTTTGTTTTTTTTGATTTTCCCTAGCTTTTTTGAATAAACCTGAAAATGATTCGTATTCGCCGAAAGCTTTTCAAAAAATCGAAATGAATATTCTCATCAATGTCATTGAACATTTCGCAAAAATTTCGTTTCTCGACAGGATTATTGAATACCTGGAAAGATTGATTTAAAGATTTTTCATTGGGAAATGTTTTTTTTTTTAAATTTATTCTTTAATTCTTTAAACCTCATCAGGGACTTGTGTGATAATGATTGAATTTGGCAGTTCATCTTTCGACGAAACAGTTTTTATCGTTCCAGGTCCAGCCTCGTTTCCGTTCTCCGTGTCCGACTCGTGCATTCTACAAAACAATACTACTGTCGATAAATCTTTCGCAAAAAGCAAAAAGCAAAAAGCACTTAAAATTGTAGTCATGACAATTACGAAATTGTAGTGTAAACAAAAAAAAAAGAAGAATTTTTCAAAGACGGTAAAAAATTTCGATTAATCAACTTCGAGCTTAAAGAGGCATATTTTGAGGAAGAGAAATATGTGAAGAAGAAGAAAAACGACAAGAAAAGTCGACAAGAAATCCAAGAATCTCATGCACATGGGCGAATTTGAGGTGAATGTTATTGGTGGGGAGGGGGGAAGCTGCGAAGAAAAGAGAGTAGAGCGAGAAGAGATGTGAAAGAAAGACTGCTTGCCCTCTTTCGGCCGGCTGCCCCGGGGACTTGGATCGATACTGTAGATGGGACACCACATAGCACCCACAACATATACACTTCTTCTTTCATTTCCACTCGTCTCATCTCAATGTTTATCATCACGTAATTACGAATCGAATGCTTTGGGGCGGGGGGAAACCTAACATTGCAAAGTTTTTGCGCCGAAATTACTTAAAAAGTTTGATGAGATTTTTCATCAAAGTAGAGAATCGTCAAAGAGATTAAAATCCTCTCAAAAAAATGGGATAAAAATTGGAAATGCTAAACAAAGAAGCCATATTGGAAAATGAGATTTGATGATTCCCATTTCTACGTTTTAAAGAACCCAGAAATTGAATTAGATATCGATTGTTTTTTTTTATGTAAATTAAGTTCTTCTTGAAAAAAATTATGATTGCGACGATAACAGACAAGCAACTTTCACTAATAAACAATTGCAGAAAAAAAAAGTTTCCAAGTATTAACAGATTCCCAAGAGTATTCGCATTGTGTAGGGGAGAAATTTTAATTGGAATTATCAGTGCCAAAGGTTGTTGAAGTGGGGAAGAGAAAAAAAAATCTAGTTAAAGGGTTTAGATTGGCGGGAATGAAGGGATGTTCGACGAGAAGAGGGGCCCCGCAACGAGGGACGACGGGAGGAGACCCCGGGCCTTCCCCCAAAGTGCCAATTATTTATTTCAGAGCTGAGCGTCTTTGTCGAGCTGAGGAGGAGCGAAGGGGGAAGGAAGGGACGGGGGGCTTCCTTGTGTTTACTCTGCCGACCCCCATGAAGGCAACGTCCACATTGGTTATGAGATCCTGCTTGGGCGTCGGTCTCGATTTTTTTTTCTTCGTAATCCCCTTCCTTGGTTTAAATTTGGAAAGTTTTATTCAAAAAACAACAATCAATTCTCGATAAAGGCACTAGATGATAAATCAACAAAAACAATAAGGCTTCCCTTTTTTAGAAGCGAGCTTTTCTTTTTCGGCCGCTGTATTTTGATTCAGTGAAATCCCTAGATTGTATTATATATTTTTATCAAAAAACAACTAACCTTCCCCGTTTTTTCGCCGCTTCCACTTTTTGCGTAATCCATGCTTTTGATCCTTTAGCCGCTCGCTTGTTCTGCTTTCGATCAACGACAAAATTTCTAGAGTAAATTTTAAAAATAGCCTTTGAAAGCAATTACCGTCTTTGCGTACATTCAGCTTGTCTTTTCTCGTCAACCTCTTCTCCTGTTAGGGCACTTGGTAATTTCTGCATTCCACCAGTCATCAACACAAGGTAGATCCTAAATAAAGACTTTTAAACGAATATCTTTACAAAAACTTGAAGATTAAATCTAACTTACTTTTTAGCTTTAGCACTATGTGGATAATCAACGACTAAACCACCATCAAAGCCAGCTTTTTGAGCCTAAAGATTAGTTAAGGTATGGTAAAAGAAATAACCCTCACCATAGACATAATCATTTCCGTTTGTCGATCATCTTCAGGGTAAAATTGAAAGACGGCTCGAGCGCCACGACTCTGAAAGAGAATCATGATTACTATATTTTCACGCATATGCCTAGCAATATATTAATCAAACAAAGTTCACAAAAACTTACCAGGCAAGAATATAGCGATTGGAAGAAGCGATGAAGTCGTCGACTCGGAATCTCACTCGACGTATTTGCATGGCATAACCATTGTATAGCCGAAATACTAAAAAAAGACAATTTGAAAATGAAAAAAACTGCTTTAAATTAAGAGAACTTAAACAACCTGATGCAGCCATCGAAAACTCCTGGGCGAAACGGCAATCCCGTGCCCATGTCTTTGTGAATCAAATCTCCCTCAAAATCCTCGTCATCTTTGCACAACACTAAATTAGAACTACGATAGGAATAAAAATGAAGCGCTCACTTAACATAGGTCTGCTTATATCTAGACCAATCCATTGATGTCCCGACGAAGAAATCACAGAACCGCTAATACCCGATCCGCATCCTAAATAAAAAAATAAAAACAATAAAAACAATAAAAACAACGAAAAATCTATTTTAAAGTCTCTTATAGAACCTTTTTATGATACCTTTATCGATTTTACTTTAATAAGCTGAGAAAAGCCTACCAATGTCAAGTAACATGCACGTTTTGTCCTCGGGCAACACGAGAAGCTCCACGGCTCGTTCCGACATATCCGTTTGTATCGAAACGATGTGTGAACTAAATATATACCAGATTAAACGTCAAACTTGTATCAAACTTTAATCAATACTAAGAACTTCAATCAAGTCTACAGAAATAGGGCAAAGTTTATGTTTTATATTAAAAAAAGAATAACCAAACGCACTTCATCGTATATTTAGCCGCTTCTTCCTCATTGTAGTACTGAAATTGACAAAGTTTAAAGAAAATTTGCTGAAAGCTTACCAAATCCGGCGGCAAAACCCGCTCGGGTCGATCCCGTTTGTTCATTTTCGGGAACTAAAGTTGAAAAAGGTCAAATACAGAGTGCGGCATATATAGTGTTACGCATAATGCATCTTTTTGGCTTTTTAAGAGCCTATAAAAGCCTTTGATTCTGCATATATAGGCTTTCTAAGAAAATACCTTAACCTAAACTGAAAAGCAACAATTAACCATAAAAGCTACGCGTAATTTTACAAAGAATAGAAGAACCGTAACATTTTTAATGACTTTGACAACCCTAGTCGAGCAATACAAGAAATGCTATGGGGCACGATGCTGAAAAACAGTTAAATTCGAGTTTGGAGTCTCTAAAAAAACTGTCTTTTTCTAAATTAATACTTTTTTAAAGTTAATTACTATAAAAGTAGTGCTTTTTGAGCTCCATTATTGCAAATGCGAGATTGCCTTGGCTAACACTTTTTTTCTTTTCTTTTTTCTTTTTTTCGGCAGCAATCACGTTTAAAGTCTTATATGAAACGAACTAAGTTTAAAAGTTTTACAAAAGCTCATGAATCTAGTGAAAAAATGTAGATTTTAAATATCTAAACGAAAAAACTGTCAACTTTTTTGATTTTTGAGAAAATTCTCCTTTTCTAAAGCGCAACACTATGCATGCCGTATCGTGTAAACAAATGAAAACAAGAGAAAATATAGAAATCAAGTGGTAAACTTTGCTAAACGTTTCGCTTCGTGGGGAAACTTTTTATTTTACAATACCCGATCACAGAAAATAAATAAATAAATAAATAAGATTTGGGAATAGAATTTCCAATATTCGATACGTGGTTTTATCACAATTTCAACAATGTTCGGGAATCTTTTCGACGAAGATAAGTTGGTATTTTTAGAAGCAAAAATGTTGTAAAAAGAAAACAGGATTTTGAGTTGATCAGTGAACAAAAAAAGATTATGTTTTAACAATCGAAAAATAATTTAAAAGTTTTCAACTGAAAAATAAGGGAGTGGGACAAATGCTACCTTTTTTTTGCGCACCCGGACATTTGCGCACCTTTTTTTCCGCACCTTGCCCATTAGCGCACCTTTTTTCGCGTTTTAAAAAAGCTCTAAAAAGCCAATATTAACCAATTTCTATTCCAAAAGTTGTTTTTCTAGGTAATTTTAGGGCGTAGAATCGAAATTTTGGCATATCAGAGCTTGTGGAAGCGAACGGGCGGAGTTATACAAAGAGAAAGATCGACAATTTTCTGTAATTTGATCTAGCCGTTTTGTCTTTCAAGTCTTGGTTCCACAAGCTCTGATATGTCAAAATTTCGATTCTACGCCCTAAAATTACCTAGAAAAACAACTTTTGGAATAGAAATTGGTTAATATTAGCTTTTTAGAGCTTTTTTAAAACGCGAAAAAAGGTGCACAAATGTCCGGGTGCGCAAAAAAAAGGTCGCATTTGTCCCACTCCCAAAAATAAAAGTTTCGGATACAAAGAACAAAATTTATATTTGATTCGAAAGCAAAATTCGTACTTATTTTGGGTGCAGATTATGATACTTTCCAGGTTTCGAAATAATAAATTAGGCTTTGCGATGCTTTTTATTGGTTTTTTTTAACTTTTTGCATAAATTGTAATACAATTTCAAAAAGCAACCGGTTCAACCCTCGAATAGATTCGTTGATATGTAATCTTTGAGTTTTTATAGACAGGTTTCGCCTCAGCTCACCTTCAATCTTAGTCACCATTCGGAAATGCATTTTAGTGGTGAGTAAAATGTAAAACCTGTCATTTCTAAATAAATCCTAGTTGTTGGGTTGATGATGATAGTGATGAAGAACGGTGATCGGATGCGAGAGAACAATTCCCGCCAACTGTTGCACCAAGTGAGCCATGACGATTGCCGAGTGAACAACGCATTTTGTTGTTTCGTCCACTCGGGCCGCCTCTCTTGATTCGACCACTTTATGAGAGTGATATCTCAAATTGAAAGATTTTGAAAGCTTCAAGTACAGGAGTCCGGTTACTACCGGATTTTCTCTAATAGTAGTGCACCCTGAGCGTCGCCTAAATTCCTCGAAATCTCGAGAACCGCTGCTTATCAGAACCTATCGATGTGGGGTCGGAAAATGCAGCTGACGATGAGATCTAGTGGGTGATTAGAGTGTTGAGCTTCTGCAAAAGCTTGGAAACCATAAAATCGTCATCAACTCGGCTCGGCGGGGTGCACTATTAGAGAGAAGTACGTTAATTACCGTACTTTCTCTATTAGTGCATCCAAAGCTTTGCCTAAATTCCTCGAAATCTCGAGGACCGCTTATCAGAACCTATTGATGTGGGGTCGGAAAATGTAGCTGACGATGAGATCTAGTGGGGGATTAGAGTGTTGAGCTTCTGCAAAAGCTTGGAAACCGTAAAATCGTCACCAACTCGACTCGCCGGGGTGCACTACTATTAGAGAAAATACGGTATACAGAAATTCTTTTTTTCAAACCTATAATAATTTCTTCTCGCCGATCCACCGAATTGTCTTCCTTTTGCAAGATTCGGCTCATCACGTGGACTCTCCACAAGACGAGAATATGAAGAAAACTCCTAAATAGCTTAGGTTTCCTCTTTCAAATCACTGGAAAATTAAAAGATATTCAATTATCCGCTTTTTTCCGCTTGCAAGCCTGGTTGGGGGCAGTGGGCGGGGCTTTCAAAATGTTGCCTTTTGGCAATTCTGCCACGTTGCCACATTGCCAAAAAAGGTTCATAGGGTTTTCGGGTACGCTGATTCGATTGGTGATATTTTCAGAACCTGTTTGCGACTTATTTCTGCTTATTTTCACAACAATTCCCTTTGGAGCTTAAACCGTTCGGTTCGGATTAGAAACGGTATCAAGAGAGAGCTTTGGGACGACCATTACTTTGAAGCTCTTTGGAGATAGCAGCATAACTCCGAAAAATTGTTGTATGTTTTTTTGGGAAAAGGTCGCTAGGAGATATTACTTGTTTTAATAGCTTCTTTTTTGTTTTTGCTTTACTTTTCAATTTGTTGTTGGTTTATAATAAAAAAAAATGCTTAAAATAAGAAGAAATAAGTCGCAAACAGGTTTTGAAAATAGTACGAATAGAATCAGCGTACCCGAAAACCCTAAGAATGCTTTTTTGGCAATGTGTCAGAGACATTTTGGAAGTCCCACCCACTACACTTGCTTATCGATACAAACGGCAAGCTCATGTTTGACCGTTCAAATCTCGGTTTCTAGAACAGCTATCAATCTGCAAATCGTTTCGTTGAAAAGCCACGAATGTCAGCTTTTGATTGCTATCTCACACATAGTAAATTCTCATAGGTGAGTGCCTTAAAAAGTTTATCAATACTTATCAATAAGCTTGTCGATAATCAGTTTATCAATACTTATCGATACTTTCACCCACTGGCCCTCAACCCGTATAGTCTCAAATCACTTTTATTACCTGACGCCCCATTCTACCAGCTCGACTATTCAATTGCCGAACTGCTCGTCCAACAAAAACGTCGACTCCTTCAACTGTTTGCGTATAAGCATCTAATCTTTCTTTCAAAGACTCGAGAATCTAAATTTCTGTTTAAGAACTATTTAAGAACTGTTTAAGAACAGCACAGCACAGCATAGGATTCAAGCACCTCTATCAAACGTGGCTCCTTTGTATCCAAATTGTCGTTGTAATTGAATAGAAAAGTGACTAGAATCGGGTGTGGATAAGTGGCCAGCGAGGACAAGACACGAGCAAGCTAGAAGAGATAGGGTTTCGATTTTCATTTTCTTTTCTTACTTGAATATTATACGGCAATCCATGTCCACACATTGCATCAAGTTGATCAAATAAGATATTCAAGAACAATCCACTGTCTGAAACATTTTCTTTTTCAAGCTTTCAATTTCCCCAATCTTCGACTACCTGTCCCTTCTTCAATCGGCTGCCCACGAAGCGGTTCATCTCCATTTGGTGCCTCTGCTTCAATCTCTACCACTCTTTCATTTTTCTCTTCACCACCTCCTTCATCCGGCCAATTCTCTCATATATTGAATCTACAAATTCACTTTCCTTTACTTTCCTTTTCTTTCTTTTAAATCTACCTTGCTATCGATAAAGGCTAAATTTTCAGGCACACCAGCCATTCTCTTTGGGTTAATCGAGCGACGATCAAGTAGACTCATGAAAGTATCCAAGTCCTAAAGTGAAAAAAAATTCTTTGATAACAAAAATTTGACTAACAATCTAGATAATTCTCATCACCTCAACTTCCCCAAAACCAGAAAGCACAAATGAACGAGCCATTTCAGCATCTGTATCAAAGCCTCGTGCTGAAGATTCGGCTTCGGATCTAAACTTTGCAATAGTATGAACGTCAATAGTTGTCCAACGGGAAAGTCTCAGATCTTAGCCAATTTTACTTCAAGTAATCAATTCATTTTTAAAAAATTACTTCATTATTTAATTTACCTTTCATCTTTTGGTGATCCTCTATTCGTTTTCGAAAACGAATTCTCATCAGAATTACTTTTGTGTCGTTCAGGGGATGAAGGAGGATCATCAGAAAGGTCATCATAAACAACCAATTGAAAATAATCAACCATTGATGAGGTCATTTTTGAGCTCATTCTAAATGCAATATAAATCTCTTATAGTTTTTTTTGTTACGTGATCGGTGGTAGGATGAATTCCGAATCTTCAACGACAGGCGATGGTGATCGGCTGACTCTCGGGGATCCATCGGCCGAGCCACCCAACGAGGCTAGCTTTCCCTCAAAGCCACTAAAATCTAGTAATTTGTAGAGAATCTCTTAAAAATCCTCACCTTTCCGCTGTCATATGTGCACTTTTCGAAGAGAAATATCGATTGATTCCCCTTGCTGATGAGGACATTGAAGAGCGAACAGAGGAAAGTCGAGTGAATCCCTGGAAACTTTGCAATAGGCCTGGTATGAACGTCAATAGTTGTCCAACGGGAAAGCCCTCAGACCTTAGCCAATTTTACTTAAATCTTTTTGATTTTAATATCAATTGATGCAGGATTTCATTTTCTATCGATTGAAATTAAAATTAAAAAGATTGAAGCAAAATTGGCTAAGATATGGCAGTTTTTTTGTTGGATACTTTTTAAATATTGATTTCCCAGGTCTACTTTACAGTCTTTTAAACTTAAAACATTAAAAGAACAATTTAACAAGCTTCTTGTTTAAGCTTTTAGCTTAAGCAAGAAGCTTTTAGATTAAATAAGAAGCTTTTAGCTTAAATAAGAAGCTTTTAGCTTAAATAAGAAGCTTTTTAATTCATAAAAGAAAAACAGAAATCAATGCTCAATGCTGTAGTCAATTCGCTTACCGAATAATTTGACGGCTCTTCATCGGAATCAGTTCGAAATAGAAGCGGACTTGGTTGAACTCCATCATATCTAAACAAAGATTTCATCAATTCATGAAAATTTCCCCCAACTTCCATTTCCATTTGGCGCACGAGGCGACCCGCTTTTGAACCATTGTTGCCCCTTCTCGTAGATACAAATTCAGTGCCACTTGAGAAGCAAGCTATCACAATTTTTATAAAGTTTTCCAATCGCTTTCTCACTTCTTCATATTTTGACGCACATTGCGGCACGCAGGCTAAAAGCCTTTCCGCCAATTTGATCGCTTGAAGACGATCACGGACTCGGGAAAGAAAAGCACGCGTTGAATGCCTGAAAAGCATTTATTCTCTACCAGCCGTTTTTGAGGCAAAATCTTTTGGAGGTGATTGATGTCGCTATGGCTCAGTCAGGAGCACGTTCGTCTACAACTACAACGTTTACAACTACAACGTCTACAACTACAACGTCTACAACTACAACGTCTACAACTACAACGTCTACAACTACAACATCTACAACTACAACGTCTACAACTACAACGTCTACAACCGTTCGAGCCCCGAATCCCGTTCGATTTTGACTTTTTTGTTTTTGTTTAAAAAGAAAAAGAAACCTCAATGGTAATAAATGTCTAAACGTTAGCACAAGCATCACATCCTCACAACCCAATTGAATCAAATCATCAATCAACGCTAGAGAAACGGTGCCTAGCTGAAAAAAATCATCATTTCTTTATGAAATTATGAAAATTCAAACGCACTCGATCAGCTATTTGAATCCTAGAAATGATGATTTGAATAATCGGCTGAACATCTTCATCATCTCTTTCAATAAGCAGCATTCGGATCTGAATTCTCTTTTTACTTTACAATATAAACTTGTAAATACAATCGTTCGTAGCAGGGGTTCTTCGGTGACTGTTGAGAGACAAATTTGCAAGTAAACAGTCGCCGCAGCAGCTCCCTCTCGTTCTTCCTAAACTCACTTGGTAAATGTGATTTTTAAATCTTTAAACCTGTAACAAAGCCGGCCTCACAACGGACATTAAAAAACCAGAATAGAAAAACTGTGCGATTTTCTCGATGACAGCTGGATGAGCAGCCTAAAAGTCTTTTAAAACTCTAGACTTTATTTTTCTTTACCTGTACAACTGCATTGCAAAAGAGGAGACTCGAGTGAAAATCGGTTAAAGCCTCTTGAGCGGCTATGTCAATGACATTTTGTGATTGTTGATACAAGGGACTCGTTGATGAGCGATCGATTTCATCAGTGCTCAAGAAACGACTCAACTGCGAGAAACACCCGGAGAGTCCCGTGGCCAGCACTGGGCAGAAAGACGACTAAAAAGGGTTTATGAGAGAAGCTCAATATCGACTTTTGACTCAAAGTAGCCGTCGTAGCCGACTAGGAGACAAGACTCCTATTGTCGTCGCCGACCGGATAGGAGTCTTGTCTCCTAGTCGGTGGGTTAAGGGTTCGATCCCCGGCGGCTAGAAAGATTGCTTCTTTTTCCCATTTTTTTCTTAACAACATTTGGGTAATAGGAGTAATTAGGGGTAAAAATTTCCTCCTTTATGTTATAATTCATTATTCGTGTTGAATAAATATACTTTTAAAATGAAATCGAATAGTGACACAATTCTGCACCAGTTAATCAAAAAATCGTATCAACATACCTTAAATGCCACAAATTCTGCAACAGTCTTGTTCTTCGAGGACACTGATAGAATGAGCAAGAGTGCATCTCTTGCCAATTGACCCACATCATTCTGAAAACGTTTCTCTGATTTCATTTCATTCTTTTCAACCAATCCCATTCTCATAATCACTTTTGTTAATGCTTTTTGCAAAAAAAGAAAAATCTGTTAGTATTCCCAAAAAAAAGATTCCAGTGATTAAATGAAATTTTTGCTGTTGTTAGAGTTGTTGAATTTTCTTGAATCTTTCTAGAATCTTTCTCAAATCGTTACCAAATTTGTTCACCTTTCGAAATCCCTAGAAATCTCAAGATTTAAAAAAAAGATAGCTATTCAACTAAGAGAAGCCACAGCAATAAAGAGCTATACTGGCAATTGTAAAAAATTCTTTTACTTGATCGTAGAGAAATCTGATGAGAAGGGAAAAGACGACGAATTGATCAGCACCATAGGCACAAGTGAAGAAAAAGTGCAAAAGAGTTGGATCGCCAGCCATTTTTGTGCAGATCTGCAAGAATATAGTGGATACAGGGTTTTCAGCGATCAGGCTAGGCCATAACCTTGATTGTTGAATACCTGATATAAAAGCAAAACGAAGTGTTTATCAGTTGGAGAAGGCTCAGCGCCGCGAGCTCTTTGCCGAGCTCCTGTGTCTTTTCGACACCATTCAAAGAGTCTAAAGCAAATCTAGTTTTGTTTTACAACAACTAGTAACAACTATGTATTGGCTACCGTAGTACTTCAACAGTAGCTACCGTAATACTTCAACAATAGACACCGTAATACGTCTATAATAGAATTGCTAGAAAAATGTGCTAGAATTTTCTAGAACAGGTTAGGAAGGGATAAGAGCCATCCTGGCGGCCCGGGCACACACGTTAGTATAGCCCATTGGTAAAGTGCTCGCTTGGTAAGCGGGTCGCGGTCGAGAGGTCTCGGGTTCGAATCCCGGTCCCGTCCTTTTTTGTATTCCCGGCTCAAAACCATAAAAGAACCGGTCAACTGTTTAAAAAAGATCAATTTTGAAATACAAGAGTCGTTAAAGTTGTTGAACTACGGTGACTATAGTCTTTCAATTTTCAAACCCTCACCTCAACAATGGGATTAAAATAGGCTTGTGAACGAGGAGGCAATGATTCTGAGTATGACTTTCACTCACGATCAAGTCATAGATTCGAATGAGAGCCAACTAAAATACGTTTGTAACTCATGACCAACTCTTCATGACCAATTTTTACCTGACAAACTGATCGATATGTGATCGGCACCTGAATAGCCCAATCCATTGTTCGTTCAAAAATTTGTTGCGTGAAAAATCTGAAAACCTTTTTTTTCCCCCTCCCATTGAAAATCTTTTAAAACCGATCAAGAATTGGTCCAATGGCGGGCTCGGGTTGTGCATTCACCTCCATCATCAACAATTGACACATTTCTTTCAATGTGCTCACATACGTTGTAATCTAGTAAGGTCTTTCAGTCATTATTTCACCATTTCACTCACTTCTTCATAAGAAATCTCGTGTTCTTGATCGTTTTCCATTTTCTCAATGCATCTACAAAAGGAAAATTATATTAAAATTTGAAGAAAATCTAGACTTTTCCGCTTTTATCCAAAGTTGCTCAAAAGAGCGTTCCCATTGTGTGGGATCCGAGGCGAATGCGGCTGACCAATCGCCCTGAAATGTGAGCTTTTCAAAGATTGCAGGAAATTTCTCCTCAATATTCTGAAAAGCTTAATTCCCCCAATCGATTCACATCAAAGACAACAATCAACAATGTCACTGGCAATCTTTTTTTCACATGAATACAACAGGGAACAACAGGATATAAAAGGACACAACAGGACACAAGAGGACACAACAGGACATAACAGGACACAACAGGAAATAACAGAACACAACATGACACAATAGGACATAAAAGGACACAACAGGACACAACAGGACACAACAGGACATAACAGGACACAACAGGACACTACAGGACACTACAGGACACATGTAATCAAATTCTACTTTTACGACTAAGCTTAAAGTTTCGTCAAATCTATTGTTTATTTGTTAAAATGAAAATCTGCCGAACCTCTTTTCTCGGTGTTGAATAAGCGCTGCTATTCGTGGAAGGGATTGATGGTGAAGCGGATGTTGGTGATGATGGAGCTCCACCAAGTCTTTCACCCAACCATCTCAACATTGGAGGCATAAAGCCTGAAAAAAAAAGACATTTGACATTTGAAAAAGACAAAAAGACATTTGAAATTGATAAAATAGCAAAATCTAGCATAAAAAAGTAAAGAAATCTTTTAAATTGTTGCTTTTAAGCTTCAAGATAATCAAAGCAAATGAAAAAAATGAAAAAAAAAGCAAATAAAAAAAAAATGAATTAAAATCAAAATTATTATCAGTTTTAGCTTTAACCACATTAAGCTAATATTTTGCTTTAAAAACGATCTAAATAAAACCCCCTTTTTTCACTTTTAATGGCCCAGATGGCTCGAAAGAGAGCACTCTACAGACTACAATCATCGATTACGATAGCTTTTCAACAAGTCCACTTTTTAGTCAGCCTCGTTTCTCCAGCTTAGCTTTAGCTTATTAGCGAAATTCTAATAGACAAAAGAAATCATTTGTAAAATAAATTATCGTAAAAATTCTAATAGAAGACGATGGTCTTTGGACGTCTAATAGAATGGTCTAATAGAAGACGATGACCTTTGGACGTCTAATAGAATGGTCTAATAGAAGACGATGATCTTTGGACGTCTAATAGAATGGTCTAATAGAAGACGATGGTCTTTGGACGTCTAATAGAATGGTCTAATAGAAGACGATGACCTTTGGACGTCTAATAGAATGGTCTAATAGAAGACGATGATCTTTGACTCTAATAGAATGGTCTAATAGAAGACGATGGACGATGGTCTTTGGACGTCTAATAGAATGGTCTAATAGAAGATGATGGTCTTTGGACGTCTAATAGAATGGTCTAATAGAAGACGATGGACGATGGTCTAATAGAAGACGATGGACGATGGTCTAATAGAATGGTCTAATAGAAGACGATGATCTTTGGACGTCTAATAGAATGGTCTAATAGAAGACGATGGACGATGGTCTAATAGAAGACGATGGACGATGGTCTTTGGACGTCTAATAGAATGGTCTAATAGAAGATGATGGTCTTTGGACGTCCAATAGAATAGTCTAATAGAAGACGATGGACGATGGTCTAATTTTCCATTCCCTCAAGATTGATCGGTCAAAAAAAAGTAGATAAAAGTCAAATGATGAATCAAAAAAATAAAAAATAGTTAAAAACTATTAGGTTGGTAAAAAAGAAATGAGCGTCGTGTTTGTTGATTTGTATTTTATTCACAGTAAAAGATTTTTCACAGTAAAAAAAGAAAAGAAAATAGTTTATTCTATTGGAAAGAGCGTGTTCTTGCGCATCGTTTGATATATAATTTGTCTATGTTTACTTTGTTTTTTTAACAAGAAAGAGTGTTTAGAAAATGTCGGACCAAAAATTTCGCTTCCCCCTTTTCTTTTTTGCGGTTTTTCAGCATTACATGTATATTCCAATTGAGCAGATCTACAAATTACGTGGGCAAAAAATGTTTCAATTACACCGGAATCAATGAGTCTCTGGTTTTGCCTTGAAATGTGCCATAATAGCTCTTACTTATAAAGCCGATCCCCGATCCAGTTCTAATAACAAAAACGCGGGTGCGAAGAATAGATTCAAATTTTGCCTTGACATAATGTGGGACATGGGGAAAATCCTCCTAATCCAGGCCTGCTACTCCAGTAGTCACGAATCCTCGGTAATTTGACGATCCCATTTGAAGCCGGAAGAGCTTGAAAGATTTTGCATCGAAATCCTGCCAGTTTGTTTTCCTTTTCCATGTTTAATAGATTCGCCCACTAAAATATTGTCGTCGATAAAATAAGAACAATAATCGAGGTCTTGAGTACTGAAGTCAAATCCAAATCGTTCTTCATCAAAAATAAATGGTTAGGAGCTCTCTTACATCTTTCCAACCATAAATAAACTGCTTCGAAAATGTGAAAAAGGGGCTTGGTCCGTAGACGAAAAAAAAGAAAAAACGCTGCGGTTTCGATTGGGTTAAAAGTGAAATTCTTTTCTTATCTAAATAATTGGCTTATTGATTTCAGTATGTATTGTATGATTAAGTATCACTGTGCATTTCTCTATGTTTCTTCCTTTATCGTTTGAATAAAGTATTATTATCTCATAAAAATTTTTTTTTAAAAATCCATGCGGGAAGATCACATCAAAAATTTTTTTTGAAATTTTACTGCCAATGCTAAAATATTTCTATCTGGACCCAAATCTACTATTCTTTCCAAATAGAAGTTTCAAAAAGTCCCGATTTCAGGTCTTCTATTGGAGACTGCTCAGTTGGAACTAAGGCAGATCAAAAATTTCTGCGCGGACTCGAACCCGAGACCTTACGCTTACCAGGCGAGTTTGCTAACTATTACACCAAAACGCACTTGATCTCCCGCAAACCCAGAGGGGATAGGCTACTTTGCGCCAAATTTTTTGCGCAACTAGGTCGCAACTCGCCATAACTTTCTTCGAAGTTGGCCAATCTTTATGATTTTGGTTTTATTTTGTTGCACTTATTGAGATCTACGGGCCTAGAAGAGGAAGGGCTTGCGGTCTATCCCGTCCGATCTGCCAAGTTAAGCAACGTCGGCGCGGGATAGTCGTGGGTTCCCCTCCGAGCGCCCTAGCCCGGCCATCGGAGTATCATCGGCTACGACAACTACACTTCTGCCTCAGTCCCCCGCACGGCCTCCCTGCTCTTCTCCGGCGTCGAGGAATCAAGCAAAGGCCGAGAGATCTAATCACGGGACATAATGATGCCATATGATGATAATAGCAAGGGATAGAGGAATTTGGAAGCAGGTTTGTGATCTGCGCAAATAGGAACACCTGAGTGCGAAAAACAGATCAAAAAAAAAAATTGAGATCTACAAAATGAAACCAAAAATGATAAAGATTGGCCGACTTAGAAGAAAGTTATGGCGAGTTGGGTAAACGATCCAGTTGCGCAAATGACCCTGTTGCGCAAATAAAATGGCGGAAATTAGCCTATCCCATCGAGTTTTACCACTTGCCATTTGATAGCTTAAATTTAAGTGGCCTTCTATTAGAATTTTTACGTTTTTTTCTGTGTCGATTTCTTTACATTTAAATCTTTCAAAACATTTCATTTACATCAAAATTTACATGAAATTTACATCAAAATGAAAAAAGCGCAAAAAATAATCAAGAGATCTCATTTTTTAGGGAATAAAGTTGCTGTAAAAAAGGAAAATATCAAAAATATTTGTGAATGGCTAAAGGTTTATCAAGAAAAATCTACAGCTAATCAAAAAAAAATCTACCCATTTATGGCTATAAACCTTTTAAACAAAAGAAATCTTTTATAAAAACGAGAAACAAAGTGAAAAATGAAAAATGGTCATGGAGAAAAGATGAAAAAAAAAAAAGGAATGTATTGAAATTTGGTAAAGGAAAATAAAAAGTACCGTAAATACTGTAATAGTACCCCCACCCCCATAATGACGGTGCGGAGTGTTGCGTAGTCGAGCTTTGAACGAGTTTTTCTCGACACTGGTTTATGCTACAATAGCAATACAATTATCAAAAAAATAGCCCTGAATTTCAGCCATCTTTTGATACCTAAGCGCGCATTGTAGCATAAACCAATGTCGAGAAAAACTCGTTCAAAGCTAGACTACGCAACACTCCGCACCGTCATTATCTTTGGTATCAAAAAATAGCTGAAATTCAGGGCTATTTTTTGATACCAAAGACGCATTTTTTGAAAGTACGGGTGCTTTGCAAAAAATGAAATACTAAAAAACTCTTGCGACTACCCGACTGTACGAGGGCGGTGGGGTACTATTACAGTATTTACGGTAATCATTTTTTTTTTGCGAAATCTTAAACTTGTAGGCAAAGTTTTCAAGTCAATTTTTAATTTTTTTTGCTTTCAAATTTAGATCTGAGATTTGTAAATAGATTTTTAAAGATGTTGAAAGCTTTCCTTTTTTGGAGAGAGTCGCCGCGTTGATGAGCTACAGCTTGTGTACGAAGTTAGCACTGAGTGAGGCCTAAAATGTTTTGTTTTTAGAGAATTTCGGCTACAATAATCCACACTGTTCTTTCAATGGAAGAGCTCTTTAAAAGATTGCGTAAAGCAAGCATAATTCGGCTTGAATCGTCAGGACTATAGTAGCTTTTCGCAATCTCTTTAAAAACAGCTCTAATTCACACCGCAAACTTTTTTAGCATGACTTTTAGGCTTTAGTGCTTTGTTTTTATTCCAAAATAGATAAAAGGAATTTCACATGCATTCGTGCAAACAGAATTCAACACTACAAATGAAGGCATAGTTTCCGAGTATTCTGAATGACTCATCACACTTTGAAAGCCTATAACTTTGTCCATAGATAATATTTTTGCTAACTTTTTTATATCATTGGATAGAGAACATTTCAGCTTTTTAAATGATACCAAATAAAGCTTGATTGGCTAATCGAGTCCAAAAAAATCAGAGCCAACTCTGAGCAAATGAGACCTATCCAACTCGAGTGTCGTGTCGCCTTGTTTTCATGGGAATGAAAAATCAAATCAAGCCGACCGTCACACTTTGATTTGATTTTTCATTCCCATGAAAACAACGCGACACGACACTCGAGTTGGATAGGTCTCATTTGCTCAGAGTTGGCTCTGATTTTCTTGGACTCGATTAGCCAATCAAGCTTTATTTGGTAGCATTTAAAAAGCTGAAATGTTCTCTATCCAATGATATAAAAAGTTAGCAAAAATATTATCTATGGACAAAGTTATAGGCTTTCAAAATGTGACGAGTCGTTCAAAATACCCGGATTCTTTTAAAATACTCGGAAACTAGGCAAGAAACTACGCAAGAGTCCAAATGAATTTAAAATAATAATATTTGTCTTAAAAATATTAGTAATCTTTATATCTACATAGATATTTACTGTAAACAAATCGACAAAAAAAAATCGATTAATCGATCGATCAACGGAAAATTTGTTAGCTTTTTCGGGGGGTAGAGTAGTTTATACAAGTGAATAACTAACTTTATACTTTAGTTATAAACTTGTACAACTTTTCACAAGCAAGCAAGCAGACAACAATTTCTTTGAGGATAGCTCTACCTAGATTTTGCTCTCTTCTTTCTCAAGCACTACTGATGCTCGTCCGTAGAAGTGGCGCCGGTCGGCTAAACTTCACTAGGGTTTTCAGCCAAAAAACAAATCCCCTAGAATACTGTAAAGTCTTAATTTTGTCTCAATAATGTCTCAACGCGAATAGGACTAACGCCAATAAGACTAGGCTGCTGGCAAAGCTCTTCTCAAGCTGGCAAAGCTCTTCTCAAGCTGGCAAAGCTCTTCTCAAGCTGGCAAAGCTCTTCTCAAGCTGCCAAAGCTCTTCTCAAGCTGCCAAAACTCTTCTCAAGCTGGCAAAGCTCTTCTCAAGCTTTGCCAGCAGCTTTAAAGACTTTACAATATTTCTATTGAATATTCTAAAAGAATATTGCTTTGTTACACTGCACTCAGCTAAATTTAAAAGGAAGTTAGTGAGGGATATTGTTCTTTTTCAATCAATCTCTTCTCTCCACATACACTCTTTTTCGAGATCTTCGATGTAGTTGTTGATGTGGAACGAGATGAGTCTCTACGATAGCTAAAAGGGGCTTAGGCTTCAAAGGTTTGCTTTTAAAACTCTAATGAAACTAAAAAATGAAACTGAATTTAAAACCTTCTTAAAGCCAACCTTCTCTCTTCACGAGCACCGCATTTCGAGCGTAACATGGCGAAAAGTCGATGCCGAAAGTTTGAGGATGAGAGGCAAAAGACGACAAAGTTTAGACTCTTTCCGACAACCACCAAGAATGAAGTGATCGATGTGATTGCATACCTAAAGATTGGTTTAGAAAGCTTTGGATGCTAGCTAGAGTTGGGATTGGTGTTTACAAGCCTTGTTTACAAGCCTTGCTTACAAGCCTTGCTTACAAGCCTTGTTTATAAGCCTTGTTTACAAGCCTTGTTTACAAGCCTTGGTTACAAGCCTTGTTTACAAGCCTTGTTTACAAGCCTTTTTTTACAAGCCTTATTTACAAGTGCTATAAATCCTTTACTCTTTTCAATTGAAGCTCTTGATCAAGATCAAGAGTGATGCATTCTTACCATGTTTCCGTAGATCGAAACTCAAGACCAGGAAACAACGAGTTTATGCATAAAACTACAGCAGATGGAGCCTAAAATGTGTTGTGGTGAATATGAAAATTGCTTTATGATTTTCTACAACTTCTTACTTGCGTCAACGTAAACGAGGTGACAACAGCGCAAACAGTGACCGCCACTCTGTGCTCAGTCTTTTGTTGCACAATCTAGAGGAGAATCTTATTGATCTAAAGTCATTGAAACACAAACTTGATCCGAATGTCTTCTAAACAATGTCGTCAAATAGGGCAATGATGGTGATTCTTTCCTTTGAATCCTTTGTGTTACCTTAATCAATAAATGCTTAATCCATTTTTTTTTCCTCTCAAACCTTTCCCAAAGTCTCATACGCAAAATAGCTCCTCTTTCTCACATAATACAAAAGCATAATGTTTAAAATAATCAAAAGAAGCAATGGGACAACTACTACCTAAAATTTCTTTTTTTTTTATAAATTTCATTTAAACAACAAACAAATATTGCATTGGCCATCCGGGTCCATTGCACATATTTTCTTAAAGCCAATGGTGAGCTATTTGGGCGATTTCCAGGCCATCTGAAAATAGATCTCTTTCTTTCTTTGTTTACTTGGTTATCTAAAGATACGTGTGCATATTGACGTCCATACAAATCGAGAGAATCTGCGTCCCATTGCAAATAGTCCTCACTAAACAATGATGGGAAACGTGATTGTAGAAAGTGAGCGCACCGGCCATCACCAATAGGCACAACATGCCTGAAATCAATGGGGAAATTGATAGGTCAATGATGTGAAATGATATTTTGATAAAATTTAAATGAAATACTTTTAAGATATTCACTTCCATCAGCTGAATATCTCTTTTTTTGTAGTGGTAAAAGACGTTATAGTATTACTTAGACATGCTTAACGAATTCAGGCAAAATTTTTCAGACAGTCTGCTTAGCTCTTTGATTTTTTTACTATCCAAAGCTCCTTTAAGCATGAAACCCAGTTCCTCGCAAGCCTTTATTCTAGATTTCATTTTGATACTAAAAATGGCTACCGTAAATACTGCAATAGTACCCCACCCGCCTCGTACAGTCACGTAGTCGCAAAAGTTTTTTTAGTATTTAATTTTTTTTAAAGCGCCCGTACTTTAAAAAAATGCGTCTTTGGTATCAAAAAATAGCTGAAATTCAGGGCTATTTTTTGATACCAAAGATAATGACGGTGCGGAGTGTTGCGTAGTCTAGCTTTGAACGAGTTTTTCTCGACATTGGTTTATGCTACAATGCGCGCTTAGGTATCAAAAAAGATGGCTGAAATTCAGGGCTATTTTTTGATAATTGTATTGCTCTTGTAGCATAAACCAGTGTCGAGAAAAACTCGTTCAAAGCTAGACTACGCAACACACCGCACCGTCATTATGGGGGTGGGGGTACTATTACAGTATTTACGGTAGGTTCTGTTTTATCATTTTTTAGATTTCAATCATTTTAGATCATTTTCTGAGCTCGTTAAGCTTATCGAGTCTCCCGAAAGATTAATCGAAATCTAAAGAATGACAAAACAGAACCTAGCCATTTTTCGTATCAAAATGAAGTCTAGAATAAAGGCTTGCGAGGGAACTGGGTTTCATGCTTAAAGGAGCTTTGGATAGTAAGAAAATCAAGCTTTGGATACTAAAAAAAAGTAAGCTTTGGATAGTAAAAAAATCAAAGAGCTAAGCAGACTGTCTGAAAAATTTTGCCCGGCCTCGTTAAGCAGGTTTAGTATCACGAGAGCAATTCAATCTACTCTACAAAATATTCTCTAATCTTTAAAAACAAACCAATTAACATCCGCATTCGACTCGGATCACCCAGTCGATGCAATGGAGAGCGCACGCCAAGTACTCTCTCACAACAAACCACAACCACTAACCTAAAACAAATCTTAAACACTTTCGAAAACCGTAATCTTGTTTCTTTTTTTGTATTTCAACCTTGCTAAACTCAGAAGCAGACCGGAAAAGTTGAATTGAAGGCTACGTTGGTTTTTTCTAGAGCTATTGCTAGAGCTAGAGCTATTGCTAGAGCTAGAGCTATTGCTAGAGCTAGAGCTATTGCTAGAGCTAGAGCTATTGCTAGAGCTAGAGCTATTGCTAGAGCTAGAGCTATTGCTAGAGCTAAATCCACCCACCAAATTGCCACCGCTGATGTCCAATTGGCGAAAGCGATCAAATGCATTTTTGCTGGTAAATATAAAGATCTGAAGACAAACGAGTGCCCAAATAGATCAAAATTCGCTAATGAATGTGGCACCTGAGTTGTAAGGAAATCAATTTTTCTTCAGAAATTTCTCTTACCATCAACAACAAAAAGCACACATCGCAAACCGCTAAACAGGCAAGGAAAACGTTGGCTCTAAAAGAATTTGATTTCATTGATTTTGATTTGATTTCAGAAAGAATTTGATTTAAAAAAAAGGAGTTTCTTTTCTTTACCTTGACATAATATCATTACTGCAAAGAACCATCAAATTAAGCGCATTCCCGACAAGTCCTAACGCAAAAAGAGGTGGGAAAAATGCCTAAATGAAAAGTTTTATTTTAGAAAATAAAAGAAGTTGTTTACTGTATAGAGAAAATTCTCGAGTGTTGATCTCCAAAGTTGAAGCTGAGCCTCAGTGGCGCAAATTGACAACAGCTCCATCATTATCGTTTACACATCACTGCTAAATAGAAATCAAGTTGTGTAGAGTCGAAAATTGAAAGAGAATTGAATAGAAATTGAAAGAGAATAGAAATTGAGATTGAGATTGAGAATTGAGAATTGAGAATTGTGGATGAATGATTAGAGGATGCCGGCACTCCCGGGCACCCGACGCGTTTCCCATCGAGGATCGCATGGATTTCAAACAAATGCAATTCGAGCAGGATTTCAAACAAATGCATCCGATGACACTTATAAGCGCGCTGAAAAGAAAGGAATCTATCTAGGGAATCTAGGGAAATCTTTCCCCCCAACGGAGCCCACTCAATGTGTCTTATGCCTTCTGTCTCCTGTCTTCGTGGGGTGTTCGGTTTCGGCGATTTCCCATATGGATGTGGGCGTCCGCTGTCCACTCTTCAGTCCCCAGTGAACATGGGTTCAATTGTTCTTATCCCAGATTCATTACTTGACTTTGAGAAAATTCTTCAGCACTAAGGGAAATGAGCAAAAGGAGATTTTGTTAAAAACAGGAAATTGAAAAGGAAAGGAGACACTCTAACGAAAAAAATATAACAAAAATGAGCTCAAGAAGATTTGAAATCTCGAGAGTGACCGATTTCCAGTTATGGTAGGAAGGAGACGAAATGGGGAAAAGAGAATGGATTGTGCGGATCGAATGGAAAGGCGCAAGTGGGCATAAGGGCAGTCTGTTTGTATTTCGGGGTCACAGACACAGGGGGAAAAGACGAAAAGACGATCAACAGGATGGGGGGAAAAGAAAATGGAATAAGGAGACACGCATCGAGCCTCGAATACCTCTGGATCATGTCACGACATGGCTCCTCTTTTATAAACACTATTGTAGAAGTAAGATCGAAAATTTTAAACTTGAAAATCAAAATGAGGGAAGTAAAGAATTGAAAATAAAGAAAATAAAGAAAATTTTGATTTTAAAGGTAAATCTAAAGAAAGAAAGTGTTTGGAAATGGATAGGACTGGAGTAAAAAGAGAATTTCATATAAAATAAAAAACATTCAAGCATCAGAAACATCAGAAATCAGTTTTGAGAACGAAAAACTTTTTTTGAAGTCCTTCAAAACAAGAAAAGGGACCTAGTGCCTTGAGGGTGATGTTTGGGGACACGTCACCGACTCGTTCACCCCTTCAAGCCTGTTCTTCTGTTCTTTCTTTGTCCACTTGTTTGTCCAATCACTTCCAAAGCCTAAATCTCTGTCTCTGAAAACACCAGGAACTTATTCGGAACTTAAACTTTAAAAAGATTCTCTGCAAAAGAAAAAAAGACGGATGTGTGGGTGGGAAATTTCACGGTTCATTCCCCGATCACCCTTTGCCGCTCACTGAAAGAAAAATCGTTTCTGTAAAAGATCTGTAATCGTTTCTGTTAATGTGGTGCAACAAAAAAAGGCGTTTAATGTTCCTGGTTAAAAATAGAAATGATAAAACTTTTCTCGATTCGATTCCGGGATTTTTTTTTTTTTTTTTCTTAGTCTCCGTGTCTTGATTCACTCGCTAAGTCTGTGACCAAATATAAACGTTTTTGGGGAATTTCTGTAAAAAGAGAGAGTATCAAATCTTCGTACTGGCTTTTTTTTTGGGTTCGAAAACTTGCAGCTAGAAAAGTTGTATAAGTTTGAGTCACTGAAATTGTAGAATCACGAAATTTCTAGGTAAAATTGAGCAAAGCCTCCTGTAAATCTAATAAGAAGTAAATAAGAATCGAACTTGTTAGGGAAAGCATTTGAAGCATTTGAAGCTTTGAGGGAAAACATTTAAAGCGTTTGAAGCTTCAAAGCAAAGAATTTAAAAGCGTTTGAAGCTTCGAGGAAAAGAATTTGGAGCATTTGAAGCTTTGAGGAAAAGCATTTGAAGCTTTGAGGAAAAGCATTTGAAGCTTTGAGGAAAAGCATTTGAAGCTTCGAGGAAAAGCATTTGAAGCATTTGGAGCATTTGAAGCATTTGAAGCATTTGAAGCTTCGAGGGAAAACATTTAAAGCGTTTGAAGCTTCAAAGCAAAGCATTTAAAAGCGTTTGAAGCTTCGAGGAAAAGAATTTGGTGCATTTGAAGCATTTGGAACATTTGAAGCTTCGAAGCAAAGCCTTTGAAGCCTTTGAAGCATTTGAAGCTTCGAGGAAAAGCATTTAAAGCATTTGAAGCTTCAAAGCAAAGCCTTTAAAGCATTTGAAGCTTCGAGGAAAAGCATTTAAAGCATTTGAGGCTTTGAGTTAAAGTATTTAAAATCAACTCTGGATTCAAAAGAAACAAAAATTTAAAAGAATAAAAAGAAATTTCATGATAAGTGCATGTCGAAAGGAAAGGATAAGTGTTGATTGATGGTGGCGGGATTTGTGCCTTCGGTTTTTCGAGGTGTGAGAGTTAAGCTCCCAACTCTTTTAGATCTTGGACTCCCCTTTCGACTCTAAAGAAGCCACCTCTCTTCCGAAAATCCCATTTGCATCAGGCAGAAATAGAAAATAACACTTCTCTCTTCTCTCTTCTTTCTTTTTATTCATCTTTATCTCACAAACATCTCCGTTTTGTGATCATCGTGAATTGTTTTTTTCGCATAATAAATTACATTTTGCTCAATCGCAATGTCTGCTTCGTCTGCTTTGTCTGCTTTGTCGAGATCCGTCAAAACAGTTTGAAATCAAATTTTAAAGGTGTTTATTGTAGAGAAATGAAAGCAATGCGAACAATAGAGATCCCATTTGAAACAAAAAAAACATTTTTAGAAATTAGGCAAACATATGGGACTTCATTTGGGGAGATTCGTGCCAAAGTAAATAAATTTTCGAATGAAAACAGATTGGCAGTCGTTAAAGTGTTTTGCAATGGAGAGTTTCGCAAAAGTTAGATGAGAAGAGCAATTCCAAAAATGGCTCTCATTTCCCGGGGCATTTTTGCGCGAGAAAAGCAACAGAATGGGAAATTTGCAAAAAGCAAACGGGTATTTTGTTTGTTTGTGAGTCTTCAGGGTGAAGAAGTGAAAGAAATTAATGGCTTCTCGATTAGGTGACGGTGAGAAAAGAGAATCAACAACAAAGGGATTCTAGATGAATGTATCTTGCTGTTTATAATATGCAAAGTGCTATCTGTCTGTCTGTCTTTCTGTCTGTATCCCCGTCTGTCTGTCTATCTGTCTGTCTATCTGTCTGTCTGCCTATCTGCCTGTCTGTCTTTCTGTCTGTCTGTCTGTCTGTCTGCCTGTCTGCCTGTCTGCCTGTCTGTCTGCCTGTCTGCCTGCCTGTCTGCCTGTCTGCCTGTCTGTCTGTCTGTCTGTATGTCTGTCTGTCTGTCTGTCTGTCTGTCTGTCTGTCTGTCCGTCTGTCTGCCTGCCTGTCTGTCTATCTGTCTGTCTGTCTGCCTGCCTGTCTGTCCGTCTGTCTGCCTGCCTGCCTGCCTGTCTGTCTGTCTGTCTGTCTGTCTCTCTGTCTCAAATTTTACTCATAATAGATCAACTTGTATAGAATAAAGTGGTCACCGCTTTTTCCCTTGCCTAGAGCCTTCATGCCTTCATTTGTAGTGTTAAATTCTTGTTTTTCTGTCAATCTTTTTCTCCTTTTTCTCCTTTTTGTTAAGATCCGAAAAAATCGACGAGCACAAGGCGTTGAAAAGCAACTAAATAAAGTAACATCAGACACTCTTTTCTTGAAAAGAAAAAGTGAATGACAAAGATTCACGGCTACCCTTTCCCCTGCTTTGAAATGAGCGATTCTCGTCGATTGTTTTCGTCCAAAGAAATAAAAAAAGGCGTGAAAAATCTCCGAAACAGATAAGCTATTGACGCAAAAGAAAAAGCTAAAAACAAATGAGGGCAGAGGGTGAAACCTTGAAAAACAAGCCAACAAGTTTGTGTTGAAATTTAGAATTAGACAAATTAGCTCAAAGATCAGAGAGATTTGGTCAAGGAAAAGAATATATTTTATCCAAAACATGGCATGCTTTTAAGATTAAGGCTTAATTTTTGAAATATCTAGAAAAATACTGGGAATCGTCATGTAGAAAAACCAAATACCGTATTCTCTCTAATAGTAGTGCGCACTACTATTTTTTGAACCCCCTCCTGGACCGCAATACTATTAGAGAGTGCACTACTATTAAAGAGTGCACTATTATTAGAGAGAATACGGTATAGACAATAGGGAGAAGAGTTTTGAGATAATTTAACAATACAAGAGTTTCTTAAAGAGTGCTCGTGGCTTATGAAATAAACAGGGTGATAAGGTGATAAGGTGATGGATATGTCGAATGAAATAGAAAAGGAGAGGACAAAGCTGTTGCTATAGTGGCTGAGTTTGCTGTTGAGGACATAGGGAAAGGGCAAATCAAGAAGTGGAAAAGAGAAGAACCGCACCAAAAAGTAACTTTCGACATGAGATGGACAGCTGTCGAAGAAAAAGAAGAAAAAAGAAGAGTAAAGAGAAGTGAGAGGGGATAATATAAAGAGGAAAACAAGAAATGAAATTTATATGATTCGATTGTGTTCTTTGCGAGTAAAGTTATCAAAAATTCCCCTTTACTTTACAAAAGAAGCTCGATTTTTCAGCTAAAATTCACATCCAATCCACAAATTCGACTTACTATATCGTATTTTGAAGCTGAAATTCTAAGGAGCATTTCTAGAACTAAATTTTCCTGATCACAGCCACCTGACTCTCCAAAGAAGCATTATAATGCACTGGAGGGAAAGCGTCATCGCGCTCACCTATTTAAATCTGCTTTCAATTGAAAAATCCTTCGAAAAGCTTTTAAATTTACACTTTTTTTTGAAATAACAGTTCTATTTTTATATTAAAAGAAAATCTCTCGTCAAATAAAAATAAAAATAAAAATAACGTAAAACATATCTTTACATTTGGAATTTCCACCAAATCAGTTAATTGAATATCTTTAAATTTGAAGGGATTTCCTGGGGAGGCTAATTTCCGCAATTTTTTTTTTTGCGCAACAGGATCGTTTGTGCAACTAGCCATAACTTTCTTCGAAGTCGGCCAATCTTTATGATTTTGGTTTCATTTTGTTTCACTTATTGAGATCTACAAAATGACACAAAAATCATAAAGATTGGTCGACTTAGAAGAAAGGTGAGTTGCGCAAACGATCCAGTTGCGCAAAAAATTTGGCACAAAGCAGCCTACCCCGATTTCCCACCAAACCAAACGGCTGAATATCTTTACACTTGAAAAGAATTTCCCATCAAATGTAAAGATATTCAGCCGTTTAACTGATTTGGTGGGAAATCGGGGTAGGCTGCTTTGTGCCAAATTTTTTGCGCAACTGGATCGTTTGCGATCCAGTTTTGCGATGCATAACTTTTTTCTAATTAAGCCAATCTTTATGATTTTTGGTTTCATTTTGTAGGTCTCAATAAGTGCAACAAAATGAAACCAAAAATCATAAAGATTGGTCCACTTAGAAGAAAGTTATGGCGGGTTGCGCAAAAAAAAATTGCGGAAATTAGCCTACCTCAATTTCCCACCTGATCAGCTAAACGGTTGAATATCTTTACATTTGAAGGGAATTTCCCACTAAATCAGTTAAACGGCTGAATATCTTTAAAAGGAATCATATATAAGTCGGCGCGCGTGATTTTTTTTGCCTCAATTTTTTTGGGGAGCTGATCAAAACAGCGCCGGCCAAAATAATGCGCTTGCGGTTAAGTTTATTTGTGTTTCTTTTTTTCATTGGATGTAGAAAAAAAATTAGCTATCTGCTAAATTTTTTGGAGCCGTCTAGAACAAATCTTGGATGAGAAGATGCCAAAATGAAACGAAAAAGGGCTCAAAAAGTGGTTAGCTGAGCTTTTCTCGGCATCAATTTTGTTTTAAGCGATCCCAAAGTATGCAAAATGTAGATAATTTTACTCTGCATCCAATAAGAAAAAGAAACACAAAGAAACGCAACCGTGGAGGGGCTATTTTTGCCGTGGCGCTATTTTGATCAACTCCCATTTTTTGCAATAATTTTCACTAAAAGTACGATAATTTTTTTCTAAGTTTACGTTTTAAAAAACGCATTAGACACTCTCTAGTATCACATTAGTTCTATGCGAACACTGATAGTTGTTCTAACACTGATAGTTATTCGAACTTCGAACACTTTGGTTAGTTCTATTCGAACACTTTGATTAGTTCTATTCGAACACTGATAGTTGTTCTATTCGAACACTGATATGGTTCTATTCGAACACTGATAGTTGTTCGATTCGAACACTTTGGTTAGTTCTATTCGAACACTTTGGTTAGTTCTATTCGAACACTTTGGTTAGTTCTATTCGAACACTGATAGTTGTTCTATTCAAACACTGATAGTTGTTCTATTTGAACACTTTGGTTAGCTCTATTCGAACACTGATAGTTGTTCTATTCAAACACTGATAGTTGTTCTATTTGAACACTTTGGTTAGTTCTATTCGAACACTTTGGTCTCTAGCCTTGGGAAAACGAGCTGCTAAATCCCTTGGGTGAGATGTTCTTGACAAATGCGTCTATGGACTCTATATGAAATAGGAGATTCTTTTGCTTGTACAATTTTAAAAAGCAAAAGAATTTTTTTATTCAACAAATTTTCAAGTGTTGTGAATTTTCTTGGGCTTTTTTTAGTAGCACTCGTCGACGACTCGGTGACACGATGGGTCTCTCGACATCGCACACACGCAAACGGTGACCCGCATGCAGTAGGCTGAAAAATTTGGATTGGAAACTATGCTTCGATGTCTAATAGTTATTAGTCTAATAGTTTTACCGTAAGGGTCAAGAGCCGGAGCGGCACATCGAGTGCAAACTTCCTTGAGGCATTCAAGGCTCGGCTCAGCGCCACACTCGTTTGCTGCGAGAGCATTTGATGAACAGGCCAGTCCTGAAAAAGGAATTCTTTTAGTTAGAACACTGTCTAGAGGAATACTGTAGCTTTAAAAAGGTGGGTTTTAGAAAGCACAAGGATTTAGAAGGATAAGAATCTAGTCAAAATACTCAGTCTAAAATGATTAGCTTTGTTTTAAGCCTCTTCTATCAGTGTAATGAGTTGACTTTTGTACTTTCTTTGTTCAATTTTTCCAAAAGTCTATTGAAAGGTAATTTGTTCAATCTTTTACAATCTTTTAATCAATAAATTACTTTCACTGACCATCATTTTTGCGGAGTCGTATGTAATTTGGTGTGTGCGGATGCTCGTCGGGTTTCACGGTACGATGAGTGAGAAAAAAAGCAGAAAGAAATGCCGGCAAACAGACCAACATCATCAAAATTTGTCCCATTCGCATCCACTCCATTCTTCGGCGCAAACGGCGTTCTTGTTTAGATCTACTATAGATCAAAGTTAGTTCAAATTTTTAAAAATCGATGATTTTTTTGAAGGAAACAATCTAGCAGCAAGGAGTTTTTCTCTCAAAATTTTCTAAAACATTATCTTTCAAAAGCTATCGTAATCTTCAATCTAATTAGTGTTCCTCTCAAATAAACATTTTCTAAAACATTACCGTAAATACTGTAATAGTACCCCACCCCCCTCGTACAGTGGCGTAGTCGCAAGAGTTTTTTAGTATTTCATTTTTTTCAAAGCGCCCGTACTTTCAAAAAATAGCCCTGAATTTCAGCTATTTTTTGATACCTAAGCGCGCATTGTAGCATAAACCAGTGTCGAGAAACACTCGTTCAAAGCTAGACTACGCAACACTCCGCACCGTCATTATGGAGGTGCGGTACTATTACAGTATTTACGGTAGATTCTGTTTTATCATTCTTTAGATTTAGATATTTCATATTAGATACATATTAGATAAAAGATTAAGATCAGTTAGATCAGTTAAAAGATCAGTTAAAAGATAACTACTGTAAATACTGTAATAGTACCCCACCCCCGTCGTACAGTTGCGTAGTCGCAAAAGTTTTTTAGTATTTCATTTTTTTCAAAGCGCCCGTACCTTCAAAAAATGCGTCTTTGGTATCAAAAAATAGCTGAAATTCAGGGCTATTTTTTGATAATTGTATTGCTATTGTAGCATAAACCAATGTCGAGAAAAACGAGTCCAAAGCTAGACTACGCAACACTCCGCACGATCATTATGGGGTTGGGGGTACTATTACAGTATTTACGGTATCTTTCAAAGGCTATCGTAATCTTCAATCTATCAATATTTTAATTTGATTCTGTTGAAGTATTGATAATATATTGAAGTAATTATATCAAAATCAAAACTATAAAAGTAATTAAACTGGTTAAAAGATAAGAAAAGATTCTTGAAAGTTAAAATGTTTTAAAAAAGAAAAAAAAGCTAAGCTAGCAATCAAAATAATCACCTTTGAACTGATTCAAATGCAAAAATACTCTTTTTCTTCTTTGCGTCTATATTTTAGTTGAAATAGGAAGCAAAAAACAAAACAAATGAAATTAAAAACGTGATGATTCCGGAAATGAAGATCTGTTGAAAAGAAGAATTCACATGTCCCAATCCTTTGACGGACAAGATTGTTTGATTTTTTAATGAGATCATCAATCTCCATTCTTTTTGACTGATTCCCCATCGAAAAATCTCCCCTTTCTCTTTCCTTGAGCTCAAAAAAAAGCTAAAAAATTATAAGAGAATTCATTTTTGACTAGCTTTTTGACACGGAACTGACTTGTCGTATGAAATTTATTATGATAAATTTATTATTATAAATAGAAAAGTAGAGAAAAGATGATACTTGTGATTTTGCTTTAAAAAAAACCTAAAGAATTTTTAGTTAAATGAAAAAATATCGGAAAAGTCACAAGTACCAAAATGATTTCAAAAAAATTTCAAAAAGCGAGCATAATCAAACGTAAAAAAGGTGGTGTACACCCATACAAAAAATACCCGAAAAAGGAAAGGAAAAATGTGCAGATTGTGTGTTTAGTTTTGAATTTTGTATCTTGGAGAAGTTGGTTTCGCGTGTTTCCGAGTGTTCAATGCCTTCTTGAGCGTCTCGTTTGTTGCTCTTCGTCTCGTGCTTTCGAGGAACCCGAAGAGATCGTTCGTTTATCCTGAATAATTGATTTTGAAGAGTGAAAAATTGGATGGTTTTCTATAAATTTCTAAATGTTTCTGGCTAAACTTTCTCGTTGATGTCATTGAAGAAAGTTTAAAAACACGAAAAATTTCGTGGCTAAGGAATCAAAGATGGAAAGCCTGGCTATTTTTTATATCACTTGCGACCTTTTTCCGAGAAAATCCTGGGTTTGCGCTTTAAAACGTGGTAAAACTACCGTACCCCTCCTGGTTTGCGCGAAATTTCATTTTTTTTCATTCTTGTTAATTTCGTTTTATTCTTTTTGCATTTTTCTGATGTGCTTGCGTTTGTTTTTGCAGGAAACAAAGAGGATAAAATCTCGTTCTTGGAATAGGTCACTCAGATTTGAATTATGAAAAAAACTATATTTAAGCCTTTTTTTACTTTAGCTATAGTGCCAATTTTCAGAAGTCGATGATGCTTTTATTCTCATTCATTGGTGGAATCACTATAAACATTATCGAGAAAGGTAAAATGAAAACTTGCGACCTTTTTCCGAGAAAATCCTGGGTTTGCGCTTTAAAGCGTAGTAAAACTACCTGGTAAAACCCCTCCTAGTTTGCGCGAAATTTCATTTTTTTCATTCTTGTTCATTTCATTTTATTCTTTTTGCATTTTTCTGATGTGCTTGCGTTTGTTTTTGCAGGAAACAAAGAGGATAAAGCTAAGTTACATTTTTAACAGCATTTTCTGTGGCGAAAGCTTTGTTTATAGAGTTTTTTAGATCAACTTGCTTCCTGACGATCTACTCCAGGAACTTGATGCCAACTAATGTTAAGTTAAGTGGTTTTTATCATTTTCTATCACGGAAGCGTTGTTTTTGTGACTTTTTAGTTGAAAAAACGTTAAAACGCTAAAAACAATGCAAAAAGAATAAAATGAAAAAAAATGAAATTTCGCGCAAATTAGGAGGGGTACGGTAGTTTTACCACGCTTTAAAGCGCCAACCCAGGATTTTCTCGGAAAAAGGGCGTAAGTGTCATTTCTAGGTCTAGATCTTAAATAAATTTTATCTATCTAATAGACAAATATATCTAGATTTCTAAAGGTATAAATCTCATGTAAATCACACTTATCTCTGCCATATATAAAAAATAATCTCTGTCCGTCCGTGTGCGTACTACGGGCGTCCCCTTTGAGTATTTTAAAAAACGCTCAAACACGTGTCTAGTGAAATTTCATGTAGTTGTGCCTTTTAAAAAAGATTTTTGCAAAAAGTCAAAGTAGGTGGTCATTGGCAGGGGTCGAATCCGGGTCGTGTGCGCATGAAGCGAGCGCGCTATCCACTGCGCCATGGGTGCAGTTTGTATTTTACGCTGAAATTTGCATGGTGCCGTTTTCCAACACAGGGAATTCGTTTCTGGCAATCATTTTTTACGATTTCTGATTCTGCTGCTTGTTCTGCTCGTCTATATCTAAAAGAACCGTATCCAAGCTAGGCTTACTATTAGATATTTCCTGGCCTAGATGTTTAGATAATATATCTAGATAAGTCATTCAAAGAGCTACATAGATATATCCAAATATCTAAAGATACAAAAGCTTTATGCATTTCCTTTTTGATATCACCATCTACTTCACCTGATCCGTTTTCTCTTCCGAAAGCACATCATCCTCGTCATCTTCTTCCAAAATATCGTCGTCATCCAACTCAAATTCACTCTCGCTCAGCTCTTCTTTCACTAAAAATTTTATCTTCAATATTTCTCTTCTCTTTCCAATCCCTCACCGAGAATCCCGACTTTTTGCCCAAGCCAGCGAGCCTTTTGAACGACATCATCCTAGATTTTTCTCTCATTTCCCCTTTCCAATATTTCTCTCAAACCTGCATCAATTTAAAGCACATAGCAATCAGAGCCATTCCAAATAGAAGATACAGAGCACAACCAAGGAGTTTTTCCTGAAAAAAAAATTGCTTTATCGCTTTCTTCTCTTTCAAAACCTGAGCATCATCGTCAACCGATTGTCCGGGCACAATGTCCCCAAAGCCAATGGTGCTGAAAATGAATTTTGATGGGTTTATCTTGTGTTTTAAACCTGAGCGTAATAAAGCAATAATAAGCGCCATCGAAGATCGACCAACCCTCCCAATAAGTGAAAAGCATTGCACCGCCGACATTGAACGCCGTCACAATGCAAATACCAACCGTCACCGGCATCTAAAAATCATTTTCAATATTTATCTCAAATTAGATTGTTTTCTAAAAGATGCTGAAAAGCTATAATAATCAAAAGCAGCGAAAATATTCTTGAATAGAACGAAACTCTATGAAATATGGATTTCTATGGAGTACGATAGCTTTCTTCATAAGGGTATATTTTAGAAAGTACACTTTGAATATCACGAGGCTTTTTAGTTGAATACGCCGGTCCTTTTATGGGTTGAAGCTGGGAATAATCGGCGCTGGGATTCGAACTCGCGACCTTGCTTACCAGTCGAACGCCTTACCAATGACCTACGCTGACACGTATCCCATTGCCGCCAGGAAGAGCTTTATGTCTTACTTTTTCTTGTTCTGATCCATATTGTTGCCTTCGAGTCGAATGCAGAGATAACTCGTCACTTCTTTGAGATCGATACGATCGCCGCTCATCCAACTCATCCCTCATTCGATAACTAGAAAATTTTGTTAAAAGTAATTGAAAATCAATTGTAAGATTTATAAGCAATTTGGGAAGAAGATATTTTGACAAATGAATAAAAATCAAAGTGATTGAGGGAAAGAAAAGCTATATGTCGATTGAATCCTCACCCTCTTCCACTATTTGTATCGAGAGAGTTCTGTTTTGATGCTTGATAAGCTTCTCGTTGCAATTCCCTCAATGGATCTTTTCCGTGAACCTAAATCAAATTTTTGTTTTCCCTAAGAATTGATACAAACTCGTTTTGGTCGATCACGATCCGGATCATAATGTAAATCATCATCAGAGAATGAGAGCTGCAATTTATAAATAAATTTTTCTTCAAAACCTTCAAACCTGAGCACTAGTCTCTTCTTTTTCTCCATCACTATGAATCTTTTGCTCATCGTCTCTAAAAATCGGCTTTGAAAAGCTAAAAGGAAATTTTGCGAACCTAGAAATGACAACATTAGGCACCATTCCATGGGTTTCTTCTCGGATTCGTCTTCGGAAAGATCTCAAATTTTGCAATATAAGTTCCAATATATAAAATGTACATTCGAAAATAAAATTGTGTACAAAATTTTCAAAATTTTCAAAAAACCCACCCTCCTTGTGGACGTCTGGCTCGATCGCTGCTTTGCCGCGTCAATTCAACAAGGGTTCCCGGTGAGAAATCTTTCAAATCAAGCACTCCATCGCCCTCTCTACCACGCACAACGATTCCTCCTAAAAATTGATCGTTCAATAAAAAACAGAACATTATCAAATATCAAAAACTTTAAGAAAACTATTAAGTTGACCCATAAGTCTTGGTAACACTTTGTTCTACTAAATGTTTATTAATTTACTAAATTTATAAATGACAAATTTACCAATTGATCTACGACTAGCTTCATTAGAAAGGCCTACTATTTTTCTACAAAATAACGTTCGAATCTTATGAAAATGTTTTGTCTATGGTTTTTTTATAGGGGCGCGAAGTCGGATAATCAAAAAAGGTGACAACCCGAAGACCCAATTTAGGCGTTTTGGTTCACAGAAACCTATTTTGCTGTCAATAGATAAAAGGTCGAGCGCAAAAAGTTAGGTATATCGCCGAATTTTCGCTGATTTCTTTTGTAGAGCTTTTTATCAAATTATATGAAAAAAAAACGAGATTTTGCACTCGAATTTACTTGGAAATAGACTGAAATCGGGTTGAAATGATAGAAAAATGAATGCTAAACGTCTTCTGTTTGGAGTAAACCGTAGGTCAATTCGCGAATTTGTCATTTATAAACGCTAGTAGAACAAAGTGTTACCAAGACTTATGGGTCAACCTAATATACCAAAAGCACTGGCAAGCATTTTTTGAGAAAACATTTCCGGGTCGCGCACTAAAATACATTAAATACAGTAATCCGTCTTTTTGCGCAAAATCATTTTTTTTTGCAACTTTAGCGGGGGTGGGACAAATGCGACCTTTTTTGCGCACCTGGACATTTGCGCACCTTTTTTTTGCTGGAAAAGGCCTTAGGCAAGGCCATAGAGCTTCGAAAATATTTCCATATAAGGAAATCGTATGCGTAGATTCCGAATTTCGACAAATCAGACCTCGCTGACACGTCAAATTTGGGCTAAAAGGCAAAAACTACGCAACCTAACGCTTTTCCGCATTCTATTTTTTTTTGTTCTATTGATTCTATTGATAAATAAAGTTGAACTCTATAGTGAAAGATTAATTGCTTTGAAAACAATGTAGGAAGCAAAAATACGAGTGGAAATTGCGCAAAAGTAAGAAAAAAATAGCTAAATTTGGAAAAAATTGATTTTTGCGCAAAAAGATGGATTACGGTATTTAGTGCATTTTAGTGCGCGACCCGAAAATGTTTTCTCGAAAAATGCTTGCCAGTATCAAAAACTATTAAAAACTTTAAGAAAACAAGATCAAAAGCTATCAAAAACTTTAATAAAACTATATCAAAAACTGAATGCTACCTCTTATCTGCCGCGCTGGACTCTCACTCACTGCATGACGGCCTTTATGTGGTCGTCTCAGCTTTCTTTCCTCCAACTCAATCAAATCGATATTCACTGCTGTGTTCGATTTTTGCAATTGTGCCCTGAATTCTTTTTTTGAGAAAAAAATCTTTCAGACAGACTTTTTAGCTGGTGGCCGCCTCATCGTTCCATTGGGACTTCTGCTTCCGTGACTGATCTTTCGACGACCCGGCAGAGACATTGTTTCAAATCTAAATATGAAAGCTATCAATTATTTTTTGGCGAATCTGTGACCAATCATTTTTTTGGCGAAAAAACCGTCGCATGCTAATAAGACACCAAGAATACCGTACCCTAAACAATGTCGGAAAAGGACGCCTCCTTTCGCATTTGGGCAGAATTTTCGCTCATTTTGTCTTGTGAAAGTTGATTTCTTTTGTTCGAGATACTTCCACAATTTTCATCAAAGTGATTTCTTTTTGTCTTTGGGTGAACACTTTGTTTCTTTGACTTTTGTTAAAACATTTTTGACACGCTTTGCGCCATGTATTGAATAAACTTGGTTTTGCTATTCATACAATCAAAAGAGCACAGATCTAGCGACTTCTAGTGAATTTAAGAGAAAGCACATTATTCGTAAGACAAAGCAAATTAGTTTAGAAGTCACCGGCCATGTTTCTTGTTTAAATTTCTAAAATGGTTTTGTTCTCTCGGCTCCCTTCTACTCCATTGTCTTTGAATCTTTTTTTACGTGCTGCATAAACTTAGCTTAACCAATTCTCTTTCAACTAAAACACGAAATCTATCAAATCAAATCGGTGCGATCTTATTGGGGCTTTTCTTCTTGGGTTTGGTGTCTAATTAGAAAAAGAACCAATCCTTTTTCTTTTTAGAAAAAGGATTGGTGGGTAAAAAGGTATTGGGTAGGGTTAGAGTCACCTCGGTTGTGCCTCGTATCGTCGATCGAATGAGCGCACACTCTTTGTGTCACTCAACGGACGCCTGGGACGATTCAACGAGGTGTGCCGTCGTACCGTATTGTACCGTTGTGCTGATCGTGAGGATTGCGCTGAAGAGATTTTGTTAAACAAATTAGTCTTTGACATATTTTCACCGCGTTTCACGTTGATCGCAGCATTCGGATGATAACGGAAAGAGAGCGCCGCGCGCCTCACTCGGCGTCGATTCTTTTGCCATCGACAATACGCACAACAGACTTTAAAGTAGATATACGTGAACACCTGAACGTCATTTTTTTATTTGTTATTCATTTCGTTTTATTTTAAAAACTACCGATGCCAAGCTTTCAGCAATATTCGCTAAGCATAGCAGCATGAGTGGAATGCCGAGCATTGCATAGAAAATCGTGAGTACTCTGCCCTGGACGGTTTTTGGGCAAATATGACCATAACCTGTAATAATTTTTGAATAATCTTATTGATTTTAAACAATTTTTGAATAATCTTTTGAATAAGTTCATTATCTTTGATCTTTCATCTTTCATCTTTCATCTTTTTATCTCTAAAAGCCAATAGAGATTTAGCAAAAGCAATCAAATCGATACTTTCTTTCCAAAAACATCAGCCTATTTCTCTAACGAAATGTTTATATTTTAAGAAACATTGGTTATCGGAGGGTGAAAGGGATGACTGCCCCTCGGGAGAGATGTCAAATTTCAAAAAAAGCTTTCGTCTTTTGTGTCGAGAGGGACAAATGTGGAAGCGCCGTGTTTTCTGTGTTTTTGTGTGTCCGCCTTTTCCCAAAGAGATGATCGGGATCCCCGGGGAGCGCACATTTTCCGCGCCCAGCCCCTCAAAAAGGGCTGAGAGTAATGGAGAAGTCTCCCCGGGGGATTCCTCCCCATCCACCCCGTCTTCCGGTGGCCCGGGCATTGCCTTTGCGTTGACATAGCACACATCAATACCATCCAGAGTTTAGAAATCCCTCTTCTCAATCTATCTATATAAAAATTGAATAGAGAAAAGATAACTTTGAATAAAAGTAGGTAAAAGTAGAAGTATAATGAAAATGAAAGCCTAATCGATTTCCAATCGTTTCCCTTTAACTTACCAAACGTAGTGAAAACATTGGTTGAGTAAAGTAAAGTAAAGTAAAGATAACTTTGAAGTAAAGTAAAGTAAAGTAAAGTAAAGTAAAGTAAAGATAACTTTGAATAAAAGTAGGTAAAAGTAGAAGTATAATGAAGATTAAAGCCTAATCGATTTCCAATCGTTTCCCTTTAACTTACCAATCGTAGTGAAAACAGTGATTGAGTAAAGTAAAGCACCCGAGAAAGTCCATTGAAATTTCTGAGTGGTTCGCATTTCATCGGCTTCATCGTACCCTAGAGCAATCGTCTTTTAAGCTCTAACAATTGTTGGGGAAAATTATCCGAACAAGAAACTTCTTTGAATGTAATTCATTCCATAAGATTTCCATAACTCTTTTTCAATAAACTATAATTATTCTAGTCACACTTTTCTAATCTTAATCTTTTTTTTGTCTTTTCGAATGAGTTTTTCAAAAACCAAGCGCTAAAAAGGGGGAAAATGAAGCTCGACGAGGATTAATTTTACCTGCTTTCCTGGAACCGTATTGGATCTAAAAAGAACCGTATTGGAACCATATTGGAACCGTATTGGAACCGTATTGGAACCGTAAAACGAATCGTAAAAGGAACCATATTGGAACCATGTTGGAACCATATTAGGATCATATTGGAACCATATTGGAACCGTAAAAGGAACCGTATTGGAACCGTAAAAGGAACCGTATTGGAACCGTAAAAGGAACATTATTGGAACCATATTGAAACCGTATTGGAACCATATTGGAACCGTATTGGAACCGTATTGGAACCGTAAAACGAATCGTAAAAGGAACCATATTGGAACCATGTTGGAACCATATTAGAACCATATTGGAACCATATTGGAACCGTAAAAGGAACCGTATTGGAACCGTAAAAGGAACCGTATTGGAACCGTAAAAGGAACATTATTGGAACCATATTGAAACCGTATTGGAACCATATTGGAACCGTATTGGATTATTCTAGACTGAATATCCTATTCTGGTATGAATACCGTAATCCAGACAGTTTTTGTAACTCGAAAGAAAAGCCGGCAAACGAATTTTTCTTTTTTAGTAATTTCCCAATAGATTATGGAAAAAAATCTACGGTTAAGTTGCAGCTGCAAAGTTAAAAACGAAATCTTGTCCGGGTTTTGTACGAAATTTGTTGCCCACCCCTGTAGATGCCGCCAAAACTTACCCTCATAATTCACTGCATTCGTGAGATTTTTCTCAAAATATTTCAACAATTCAAGCATTTTCGATTTTACCTAAATACAACAAATGTTTTTGAACTGAGAAACTCGAGAACAAACCGCCGTTTCCTCGATGACATCCTGCATTTTCACATACTCATAAAGCTCTTCAACGACCTAAAAGTTTACTTGTTACTCGGTGTCAATATTTCGCTCCACTAGCTCCACTAGATCTAAGCGAAAACCATTATACAATTGTTCAAAGGATAAGTCGGTAATTTTTTTTCCCACGAACCAGTTTCGTTTTGTTCTTGATGTGCCCTTGAAAAGTCATTTCGTTCGGATACTCGATAGCTCGAAAAAGAAAAGCGCCACCGATCGCATAGGCTCCGACGAGTACGCATAAGCCGACATGCGAAAGAACGAATGTTATGATCTAAATCGTTTTTTTCTTTTATGATTTAAGAAATCAATTTCTTTATTGTACCTTTTTGAGGGCGGTTTTCGTGCGCAAACAACATGATCTAATTTCGTCCCTCATCACTTCAGTTTGTTATTAGTTTTACGAAAAAAAAACACTTGTTAAGAGGCTTTATCCAATAGCTTCACCCGAGATGCTCATCATGAATGAATTCTAAAACAAAAAAAAACTATTCAAATTTTAAATGCGCAGAAAATCAAAGTAAGAACAAGAGGTACTTGTAAAAGGTTTATTTCTTCGAATAGAAGACCGGGTAAAGAGTATCATCGCGTACTCCTGCGTAACAGCCCTTTTTAAAATTTCTTTTCTACATAAAAGCTTTCAATGAAGTGCTATAGGGCTGGAAAATGACTCAAAAATACCACATGAGCTAACAGATTTTTGAGCCATTTTCCAGCTCATTTTCCAGCTCTTGATTGAAAGCTTTTATGCAGAAAAGAAATTATAAAAAGGGCTGCTACGCAGGAGTACGCGATGATACTCTTTACCCGGTCTTCTATTCGAAGAAATACGGTATCTAAGACATTCATTCGGAAAGACAATTAGCTATTGGGGAAATCGATAGGTCGCTTGAATAGTATTCATAAAAGCAAAACTGAAAATCAAAATTGCCCCAAGGAGTTGTGGAGGGGGAAAAGTGAGTGTTTCAAGAAGGCCCCAATGGGATGCTTTGATGTGAGCTCCTCAATGGAGGGGAGGAGAAGAAAGAAGAGAAGACACGCAATCCGGAGAAGGCATAGGGTGCTGAGAGTGAGAACCCCCAAACAAGAAGTGAGTGAGGAGAAGCCAAACGGGAAGATGTATCCAAATTTGTCTCAACTCTTTGCCCTCAACGAAGAGAAGAGGGTAGAATGGGAGCTGAATTCCCGGGTATCTTCCACTCAATGCCAAACAAGAGCCTGCCAGCGCATCAAACTCTTTTCTTATCCACTCACAACCACACGCTAACAATTTATCGCCGAGAATTTAGAGAATAAATCTTTTGAGAACCAAAGAAACACAAAATAGACTTATTTGCATAATGTTTCTCGCACAGAGTTCATTTTGATTTTTTGTATTTTCAGTTCATACATCTTCATAAAAGCTCATAGTTCCCTTTCCGAATATTTATCGTACAGTTGGGCACCTAGATTTCCCAGAAGCATAGAATCACAATTTTCATAGCGATTTGACAACTTAATAAAATCAACAAAACTAAAAACATTAACAACAACAATTTCGACTAAAAATAAAATCTTTTGATGAGTTACATAATGCGTTCCTCCAAAGGCAAGAATCCCACCTAAATAAAAGATGATGAAGTTAATTAGATTTTAAACTGATTTGCTAATGAAAATTTTAGTAAAACCCACATAGAATTGGCCAACTGAACGACATGCGGGAGGCAAACAACATGTAGATCTAAAAAAATCTCGTAAACAAATCTAATTGTTGAAATCACCTTAAAATTGCCTCTAATATACGGATTGCAAATGGAGCAGGAAGATCAACAACACTGACAGAAGAGTCCTCGCCTGTTGCGCGTGGGTCACTAAACAATATGCATTTCGGTGAGTGCAGTAGCTTTCAAGCAGAGAATCAAATTAAAAAACTAACCTTGATGCAGAGTTTTGATCAAAGACCTTATAAAGCATTTTGAGCGCCGGGAACGGATTATCCACAATTTGTCCAATAGCCCCATCATCTGATGCTTGACTAGATACAGATGAAGTGGAGCTCGTTCGCCGTTTGCCTTTTCTGCCTCTAAACAATTGCAGATGCAAAACAACCAAAGAGAAGTCTTACTTTTTCTGAGAATTTTTGGAGCCAGATGAATTGGTTGAGGTATTGCTTGGAGTTCTTTGCAACTTTGCATTTTCCTTCGCTGTGATTGCAGTCTCAGTACTCAGATGGCCTCCAGCAAAAACCACAAATGTATCCAGTAGCCATAACTAAAAATTTTAATGTTTTCACATAAAACTTAAGCAAACCAAAACATAAGGCGTTCGATCTAGAGAACGGATCATTATCTTTTGACTTCCCTCAGCCTCGCATTTCGATAAAATGCAGGAAGCAAAGAAGGAAGGTACAGTTGAAAAGCTTAACAAAATTTAGATTTTCTTCTAAAGAGCCGCAAACTTTGTATCCAAGTAGGACCGCGCCGCAATGCTCAACTTTGTCACCGCATGGTGCAACTGGAAAATATGAGGACGAGCTAAATGTATGTGATAAATTAAGGCAAAAACTGGTTCTCACTTCTGTTCGTTATTCCAATTTCTTGTCTGCAAGCTTTGCACGTCAGTTTTCTTCCATCAATACCAATTCTGTTTTCGATAATTGTCTAAAACAAGCATTTTGTGACAAAATTCACTAAAAAAACAAACATCATTTGAAACATGTGTATATGCAAAGGAGATGACCATCTTGTTCGTCTTTGGCAACCATTCATCATGTGGTGAAGCAAGTGATAAATCTGAACGAAAGTGATAAATCGAGAACGTAATGCGTTGCAGACATTAAATCTCATTCTACCTTTATTACATGAGTGTGAAGTTGGATGACACGCGGCCCCACAAGTGTCTCTACAGAAGAAATCGATCCCAGGAGAAGTATTCAGCCAATCATCCGATGGCATGTGACCGATTTCAAGTGATCTATAACACCGCACATATTTCAAGGAGCGTTAGTTTTTGCATACCCTTTATCTCCTTGGGCAAAGACATTTCCGCAAGAACATTGCAACTTCACCTAAAGGAATGTGTGATGCACAAATAATGGCAATTTTACCGAGGATCCAGTAGCACTTTCGGCAAAATTTTGCAAATCACCCAATGAGCACATTTCTTTGGCGAGTCGAGAATAAGATTTTGCCACTAAACAATACAAATACAAAACTATACAGTGAAAAAAGGAACCTAATTGTCTCCCTTCAATATCGGCTTTGGCTTTGCACATAAAAAGTCGTGAGTGATCTGCCCATGCTGGAGTCGAAAGGCTTTCCGGCTAATATTAAAAATTGTGTGAATATTTTAAAGAACATACTTTTATGGTGACTCTCTCCAAGTGTACAAAAAGCGGGCGTTCTCGGTCACTATATTGAACACAAATTCCGTGCTCGCCAACTCGGACAACGGCGGACAAATTGCTAAATTATGCATTGCTAAAAAAATTGTGTCGGTAAACCTTGATGTCTCTGGATCTTGCTGTTCTTGCAATAATTCTTCACCTTCAGGGCAATCAATGAACAAAGTGGCAAAGTCAGTGCGAGGTTTCACTTCAAGGAAGTACGAGTTTTCGCCCCATTGTGGTAAACAGGGCCCGTATAAAGATTTGGCAGGATCTTCTGCTTTTGAGCTCATAATCTATAAAATAGCACTATTGAATGCCTATCGTTTATTTATTAAGTGTACGAGGTGGGCATCCGCTACGCGGCTGCTTTGCTAAAATTTGCATTAAATTCTCCCTCTTAAATGGAAATTGGGCGCGTTTGTGAATTTTAAACGTTGTAACGCTTGCTTTAAACGCTTTACTTACAGCTACCTCAGGAAAATTGGTTTACGTGGAGCTGAGATCCAGAATGTGACGAACGGACGGACAGAACTCAATTATATATAGCAGATTTCCTATGGTCTAAAATCTCTCTGCAAAAAAAGCTCGGCGGTGAGGGGGTCGAACCTGCTGGCCCCTTTTCAGCGCTCGCTTGAGAAACAGTCGCGCTATCGTCTTGGCCACCCATTGCTTGAGGATCAGAGCTCCCTCCCTTCGCGACGGCTATTTTGCACAGGAAGTACCCTTAGATGATAATAAATCTATTAATTTTTAATTTCCTTTCTAAAAAAATTGTATGAAAATCGGTTCCTGTGGAGCCGAGATCCAGAGTGTGACTGACTGACGGACAAACAGCCCCCAATTACATATAGTAGATATATGCGTATACATAAAGCCAAAAGTATAATAGCACCAACTGTTTATATTGTAGCAAAGAATAGAATATTATTTATTTATTTAAGTGAAAAAAAGAAAAACAGCAACAAAGCCAACCACAAATATTACTTTACCGAAATAATTTGACAATGAATTTTCATCGACCCCAGAACATTATTTCCCGCAACAAAATAAAAACAATGAAATCAATAACAAACAAATGTCTAAGCTAGAAAAAAAAGTAACAACAATCACAGGGATTTTTCCGGGAATCTTGACAAGATTGCGGTCTCAAACCCCCAGGCAATTTAATGCCTGACTTAAGAAATTAAAAAACCGGTAAATAAAACTTTAGAACTAGAAATGTTTTATCCTAGAGAATATCCAATGTTTTCTTCAACTCAATAACCAGTTGCCAATCAGCCTTGCTCAAATCATCACGGAAGTAAGCCTTGCAGGCATCAATCGACTCACGGGTCAACTAAATAAACAAATAAATATGTTTGAAAAAATAGTTTGCAAATTATTTCAATATATACAAGTTTGCAAAAAATCAAAATCCTTACCCGAGTCACTAGAAAATCTTCGTGTGTGAAATGACGTCCATAAAGCTTTGGAGCCTCGCCGGTAGTGTTTTCGATCTTTATGCAAACCTAAATGTAATCTTAAATCTCCAACCAGTTATCGTTAGCACGCACCTCCTCTCCGGCTTTTGCAAGTCCAACTTCTTCATGATTCCTCTCAATTGATGCGACATTTCCAAGGAAGATGGACTAAAGTTCAGGCAATAAAAATCAAAGATCAGTAATATAAACCGATTGATTACAAAGTCAAAAAGGATATTACCTCCTTTGAGGGTACACAAATAGGTGCTCCTTTCTTTAATTGACCGGCCTCAATAGATACACCGCAAACAATTGGATTTCTTGCATTAAAGACGTGCTGTGGTAAAACACGTAGTTTGCATGGAAAGACAGCGAGATGTTCATGCTCACGACGATATTTCTGGCGCAACTCTTCCCTGAAAAAATCTATTTATGAGAAAAGACTGCAAAAGAACTTGCCTGTATTTAAGGAAATCATCTTCAAGATGATAAATGATATCGGCTTGGAAAATGCGCACTCCTTCCCGATCAGCAGCCAATTGAGCCTCACGTTCAATTTTTACGTCAAAAGCAAGTATACAAGCGTATCGAAAATGTTTACAATATTCATAGAAAAATAAATTACTTACTCTTCTTTATGTTGTTTCATGGCAAGGGCCTTGTTAACATCCTTCTTGTGAACTGGTCCAATATTAACATTAGCATACTAAATGATTGGAATTTTTAAAAATACTCACATACGCTGAGCAATAAAAAACTTACCGGGATTTTCTGTGTTTTCAAAAACTCCAACAAAGCTTCCAACGAGCCGAGAGTACTGGCTTGTACGTAAACCCCTTCCGGTTTCTTCTTGATCGAGGTCAAAGCTTTTGAAAGAGCGGCTTCACACTCAGCTCTAAACTTTTTTGAAAAGCTTAAATTCTTAAACTTACTGCAACAGATCAATCTCATCCGCTTGGTTTACAACATATAGTGGTAATCCAGCCAATGCCTTTTCCATACCCTTTGCCAGAACTTTGACACCCTGTGCGCCTTGGATCTCCTTGAAACTTCGATATTCGCTCTAAAAAATGAATTTTAGAAACCAATAAGTATCTTTCAGACTTTGACACGCAGTTCACGTAGAGGCTCCGGCATCTTTAAATCACGAATTTGTGAGACAATCGGTCCATCAATACCAGACAAGACAATAATGTCATTGTTCTAAAAATTGAGCACTTATTTGAAGAATTAACCTAAAGACCTTTAATCGCCCATTGACCAAAATGACATCGATAGTCGTTCCCAAACCGGGGATAGCTTTAACCTATAAACCACTGTTGGTGAAAACGCTAAAGTTCCATTACCTCCATAACCGTCGCATCCAATTCTTCAATAAAGGCAAGCCGATCAGAGTACTTGGATTGCGCCATTTCAGCAATGAATGCCATCAAATTGCCAATTCCTAAAAAGAATAACATCTAAAAAATTTTCAAGAAAAATACCATCGCCGCAATATGCACTTGTAGGAACCATGGGGATATAGTCAGGATCCGCCATTTTCTTCTTATCATTCGAAAGACAAACGTTGAGACCCTTAAAATTAAAATGTTCTTTAGAAAAAAAGGACAACAAACTTGTTCAGCAAATTGAACAACGACTTCTTCATAACGTTTCTTGAACTCAAGTTTAACATTATTTGCTTGTGTTCCTAAATGAACATAGACATCCTTCCGGGGGCTCGATTCGTACATATGCAAGCGGTCGATCTAAAACCATTTTCTCAAGACTGTTTATAATAAAATCACACCTTATTTAATGCTACCACAAATGGCGTGTGACGTTTAACCAAAAGTTTAATCGATTCGAGTGTCTGTTGTTCAAGTCCATGCATCAAATCCACGACAAGAATTGCAAAATCACACAATGAAGAGCCCCGAGAACGCAGGTTTCTACAAAAATTTATATGAAGCTTATCAAAATAAGACTTACGCAAAACTTTCGTGACCGGGCGTGTCAATGATCAAAAATCCAGGAACTTTGACATCGGCTGCCCGGAATTCACGCACTTGTTTGCAACGCTCAACAATAGCATCCCTTGGAACCTAAAGATTCCGTTGAATCTTTGTGTAATTTCTTTTCCGTTAATAGATTAAAAAGAACTTACTTGAGTAGCACCAATTTGTTGCGTAATACCACCAGCTTCACCATCTTGCACATTTGTTCGACGGATCTAAAATAACAAATGGACAGTAGATTTCGTGTAAAAAAATTACTGTATCAAGCATCTTTGTTTTTCCTGTATCTACATGGCCAAGCACACAAATGATCGGAGCTCGAAGATTATCCACACTTTTCTCCGCAATTGCTTTTTCCCGGCGTTGCTAAAATAGCAATTCTATTCGAAAATTTCTAGCAAAGTTGTAGCTGCTGTAAAAACTAACTTTCAAGCGCAGACGAATTCTCTCCATCTTCATTTCTTTAGTCTCCTTCTTAACTCCTTCATCTTCACTAGAAGATTCCTCCTCAGATTCACTTTCGTCCTCTTCACTCTCATCAGATTCTTCTTCCGAGGACCCTTCTTCTGACTAAATATTCATGTTTAAAGTCTAGAAAAATATTGTACTTCAGAAGACTCTTCCTGTTGTTGTTCTTTTACTGGAACCGCGACTTTGTTGGTTTGCGTGGTTTCTTTTGCCTTTGCTTCAGTTTCCTTTTTAGTATCATCAACATCCGCAAGCTCCCAATCATCAAGAGGCTCCTGAAAACAAGGTTTAGAAATTTATTGAATAAACACTACCTCTTGCTTTTCTTCTGCTACTTCCTCCTTCTCGACTTTTTCTTCAACAGGCGAATCTTCCTTTTCAGGTTCTTTCGCTAAAAAGATGTTCCTTTCGTCCACAATTATAACCTACAAGTAGAAACTGCTTCTGCCAACTGTGCATCTCTTTCTTTTTGCTGTTGCTGCTTTTTCTTGCTGAGATCTTCATAAACGACTTTCTTTGTTGGGGCTTCTTCTTTGATCTTGTCAAATTGAGCACCTGAATGAATAACTGCATGTTAAACACTAAGAAACAAGTCATACCAAGTCTTGCTCGTTGCTGTTGTTGTTTAGCGCGTTGAGCTGGCGTCAGCCATTTTCCTTCTTTCTTGAGTTGTTCTTCCTTTTGCTTTTTACGAAGCTTTTCAGCGTCTCGCCTTTCTTTTTCAATTCGTTCCTAAAGAAGTGAGGAGTGGCAGATGTTAAAAAAACTACAAAGTTCATTAACAACAATTATCTTAAGCACCTCTTCTTCTCGCTTCTTTTCAGCAGCTAGAATCCGTTCTTCTTCCTCTTGAGCCAATCGTTTTGCTTCTAACTCAGCCTCTTCTTTTCGACGAAGCATTTCTTTGATTGCCTCGGCCTAAAAGTGTTGTTAACCTTTTAAACCCATAACTCCTTTACCTGTTTGTTCTTCTTGGGCTTTTCTTCTTTCTTGCCTTTCTTTTTCTTCTTCTTTTTGTCATCACCAGCTTCTTCATCGCCCTCTTTGGCTTCTCCATCTTCATCCTGATCTTCTTTCTGCAACATGAACAGTAGATAACAGTTTAAAGTTTAAATTTACCTTTTCAGCATCAGCGGTAGCGGGTTGTTCTTCAGCAGTCTTCTCTTTGTCTTTCTTCTTTTTCTTGCTTTTCTTCTTGTCCTCAACCTCTTTGTCAGGAGTGGCTTCCGCTTCTTTAACTTCTCCTTCTTCAACAACTTGTGCTTCACCGACGAGCTCGAAATAACTTGTAAGCTTTCAAGACAAGAGATAGTACCTTTTCTTTCTTTTTACCAGCTGGAGCTTCTCCGGGCTTGTTTAGGTTTTCAAGAAGGGCATCCAGCTCATCGTCCTCAGCAGTTTGTTTCTAAAAACAGATAGCAAATGCTTAAAAAACCTTTTTACCTTTCCCTTCTTGCCTTTGTTCTTTGCCTTCTTATCCTTGGCTGTATCTGCTTTAGCGGCGGGTTTAGACTCGACGGGTGCATCCTCAGCTTCAGACTTTTCAGATTTTTCCTCATCGTCGTCTTCCATCTAAAGTATTTGATAAAGAACGATTTCAACTAGGTATAAATATTACCATGAGAAAAGCGCTCATCCCTGGCCGTCCCTTCGCCTTTGGTTGTGGCTTAGCCGGTTCCTAAAAATATACCTTAGACAAAACACTCAAAATAAGCTTACTTCATCACTTTCATCATCGAAAGCACTCTCTTCTACTTTTAAAGCGGCCATCTTCTTCGTCGCAGTTGTTTCAACATCATCCCTGTAAAAAAATTCGAATAAAAACAATAGGCCAACATTTATAAATTCTTAAAAATAAAAAACCTCACCAATCATCGTCTTTCTTTCCTCCTTTCTTTTTCGGCGGCATTTTGATTTGTCGAGTTGTTTTCTAAATAAAAAAAAATTTAAAATTAGCAGCATTAATTTGAAAAAAACTTCAAAAGATTATCCACATTAATCAAAACTAACATTTTAGCCACAAAAATTCTCGATTAACTCTTAAAATAGTCTAAAGAAAGGTGTTTTTATTTTGCCCCGAGCGAACCCCTGTAAAATTTAGAATTAAGAGACAGTTTAGCACTCCTCACATAGCCTACACAAGCCTCCTCTGCACACATCATATGAAAAAATAGCCTTGATGCAAGATTTGGAAAGGTTGAGAAAAAACACTTTGGCAAAACTTTTAGTAGACCCCTTCGCGTCAAACCCTTTCAAGTGAGCTTTTGCTGGGGTAATTCGATGCGCTGAGTACGAATTTCAACATCCCAGCGCCGGGCTTTGCGATTTCTCATAACTTTTTGTACCAGAACAAAGAAAGGGCGCGCACAGCTCCAAGAAAAAGGCGTCATTAACACTAAAAGAAAAATTGAGTTAAAACCATCATTTGCACGCAAGCTACACCAGTATGGCTTAGTCTCTTACATCAGCCGCTCAAAATGACCAGGATCAACCAGATAACATGAGTTTTCCAAAATCTTCAAAAATCGCAAAACCCGGCTCTGCGATGTTAAAATTTGTACTCAGCGCATCGAATTACCCTAGTAAAACCTCACTTGAGAGGATTTGGCGTGGGATCTACTAAAATCCAGTCAACACCTTTTTTAGTCTATCGATGATTTCGTTCCTTTAAAAATAAAGGGGGGAGGCCAGCCTTTTTTGAACTCTTTAACCAAGATTTCGTTTACTCAAGCGCGAAACTGAATACTTTTTAATAGAACTATAATTTCGAGCATAAACAGTGTCTATAAAAACACACTCGCGTGAGAAAATTACTTACTGATCGCATTGTCCCCAAAGCCAATCGCTTATTTTTCCCTAGATTCGTGTTAATATTATCTTTCTATTTCTATTACTAGTTTTCTGGACTTTTGATGGGGCTGAAGTCTGTTCCTCCTCGTGGTGGCCCTGAACAAGACCGAATACAAACAAAACAATCAAAATTTTGGTTAAAAAGTTGAAAAAGGTTGCCTCCCTCCCCCTTGAATCGCTTCCTTTTCTGCCCCTCCCCCCGTTATCCGTAAGGAACCGCGATTTCGTAAGAATTTTATTATTAGCATATTTCTGGTGTTAGAATTTCTCAAAGCAAGTTTACATGGACCCCTGCCGATGTAGGTTTCGAAGTATAGATTGATTTGAACAAATGAAAAACAAACTTCTTGATTTCTCTTGTTTTCTGATTAAGAAATTCTAAAACAATTTTTAGATTTTGGTTAAAGCGCTGTGATGGTTACAAGGCGGATATTTTCAACGGTTCTGTGTGTTTTTGAAAGGCGGATCTCTTCGTCGGCTATGAATTTTGCTAGGTGGGACAAAGATAAACTACGCATTAAGTCGTTAAATGGCGGGGGTGGCTACCTTGCGCAAATGACCTAGTTGCACAAAGAATTTGTAAGGCGCACATTAGCCACCCCTTTAAATGGCAAGTCGAAGATAAAAATGAGAAAGCTTTTGGACATGTTGTAAAGAACACACGCTCGAGTGTTCATGTTCAAGGGATTTTCACATGCTCGTGGGTTAAAACGTTCGGCTGGTCAAGAGTTACCGTTCGAGAGTTGTGGCCGTTCACTTTTTATGAAAAGCACGAATGACAAGTGATCTATATATGTGATTTTTCCGAGAAGTTGGTTTGGATATAATAGCGCCTATCAAACTCTCGAGCACTCGAAAACTCTAGCTTTTGAGCATTCGAGTGTGTGCTTTAATGTGCATGCCAAATTTTTGAAACATTTTGCAAAAATTAGCAGTTGCAGCTCCACCGTCATTTTCCATTTTCTGTTTTGCACAACAATGTCACAAGCGCTGTTTAGATTTGGCTTCAATTCTACAACACCTGTGATCAAGGAAATAGGAAAACTACTTCAGCCTGAAGATACGATTTATCCCATTGGACAGGTAAGTCGTTGCCTCACGGCTAAACGAAAGAGAATTCACATACACAACAAGACACCTTTAGGTCTTTATCCATCGACTATTTGCGTATCGTGGGGTTGTCGTACTTTCTGCGAACTGCAAAGTCGAGGAGAAAAGCGCGAAAAATAGGTGTGATTTAGTTTCTCAAAAATTGTATAAGTGCAAAAGTTTAGCGATGCAGGAAAGACTGTGATTGAAAAGCCTTTTTACCAAGTTTTGATTCACCGCGGCGATTGGGAGTATATGGGATTCCCAGTGAATCTAACAACATATTTGGGTGATGGAGGAACAAGACAAGAGAAAATATTGACCGTCATTCAGTAAGTGTTTATAAGTTGGGATTGAAAATGAAAAAATTAGTGGAATGGACTGTGTGGCACAAGAGGATATTCTCCCCATTGCCGCCCACGAGCAGCGACCAATCGAACACGATCTTTTTGATCGCATTTTCGTTAAAGTGCCACGAGAAAATGAAACCTCGAGTAAGTACTTAACACATTCACGACGAGGTTTTTTGATTTTTGCGTAGCTTATTTCCCTTCCAACTCGTCTAAAAACGTTCACAGGCAACCGATTTACTTAAGTTATGGGTCAAAATGAAGAGAAATGTTTGAGGATCATTTATCTGGAAACTGTTTGAAAAAATATTGATTTTGAAGAGAGTTATAAACCCTTGAATGCACATTAATTCCCGGGTCACCGGTGACCCAGGAAATTTCTCATGCTAAAACATTCAGAAATTTCTTTAAACTTAATATTTCTTTAATCTGTTTTCAGATAAATGATCCTCAAAAATTTCTCTTCATTTTGACCTCTAACTTAAGTAAATCGGTTGCCTGTGAGCGTTTTTAGACGAGCTGAAAGGGAAATAAATTACGCAAAAATCAAAAAACCTCGTCGTGAATGTGTTATATTTCCAAAATAAATATTTCCATTGTTTCAACAACAACTCATTTCCAGGTGAGTATAAATTTGTGATGCACCCCGAACTCGAAAAACACAGTCTAACAAAACAACAAAACAAATGGCTATCTCCGTATCACGTTTACAAGTAAGTTGATTTTGAGTTGAATGTAATTTTGCATATGATACTCTAATCCATGTTCATTGTCATTAGCTGAAGAAGTATTAGGTCAAATTTGGCCTGTTTCCATTGTTCAATCCCAGATCCAACAATCAAGCCAAATTTTAGGGAAGTGACCAATCATATTGAAGTGATGGCCACAACTTTTTACCTTGGAACCACGGCCTTCGGAGGACAAGTCAAACATTTATGGCGCTATGTGATTAGGTGAATTTTTAAAAAGAATACTATTCTGTAAACATTCAAAAAAAAATACATTAATCTATCGTAAAGTACAATTCCTTTAGAATACACAACCTCGAGCCATCCAAACGAGTCGTTTTGCGAGAGCGCAACATCAAGGTGTTTTCGTTGAATAACATGCATCAAATGACAGGGATTGGAGTGGTCGGCACAGTGAGTGAAAGAAAGGCAATTCTTAACGAAATTCAAACTTTTTTAGCAACCCGAGCTCTCGATTACGCAGCCAGCTTTTCAGTTCAGTAGCACGGTCGAGTTTCCTCATCCAAAGGGTGGACATCTGTGGTTGGTTTAATAGAATCTTGAGCTGATTAATATTAGTTCATATCAATAAGCTATAGTCTTAATTTATCGATTTTACTTGCAGTATACCTTTTAGGGGCAAATTCAAAATGGAACGAGTCGAGGATCGATCCCTTTTTGATGTGGCCATTCCATCGATTGTCTTGGAAAGTGATGACACTCGCTCTGAAGTCTACGAGAAAGCTGAGAATCCAACCGTGTAAAACAAAATAGAGGTATAGATTTTATCTTTAGATACCCAGTCTAGCCTATTATAGGATTTTCATTACTTTTATTCTAACTATAAATTTAACAACATGCGTATATTGCGGGTCAAACTTTTTGTTACATCTTTTTGAAGCATAGCGTTTTCAAGAAATCAATGTACGTTCGTTTTACAAAATTTCAATAATAAACATTTATCGAAAGTTATAAAGGAAAAAAGAGATTGAGCACAGAATAATTGAGAGAAAACAATCGATTTTAATATAGATTAAATCTATTTTTACTAGGAAACGTTTAGAGAATCATATTTTTAAAAATTGCACATAAAAAAAGCACCATGCACGACACGTTATTACAAAAATTGCATGATTTTACACAGCATGAGAATCAAAAAAACAAGTTGGGATACACTTTTTGGAATTAGAAACCTGATTTGTTGTATGAGAAATATTGGGATGATTGGCCTTGTTGGTGAGTTGGCTCAGATAATAACTGGCGCCATGTTTGCTAAAGTTTTTAATGTTTTCATCAAAACATTAATTCTTACTTCATTTCGTGGATTTCTTTCATTGGGACGAGTCTCGTTTTTCATTGGAATTCGATCAAGGCCTGTTCGAGGAGGGATTATTTCCTCGCGAGTGGTTCGATGCATCTAAAGTTTTCTCAAAATGCATTTATCTAGTTTGCAGCACTTGTTGATTTTAGTGGGTTTTCTAATTAGTCTTTCTAATTAGTCTTTCTAATTAGTCTTTCTAATTAGGCATAGATCGGTTTGATCTTTCTTACAGGGCTTGGCGGAGTCTCATAGATGCCCTCAACATCTCGGAGATCTCGTAGCTCTCTTCGTCCTCTTCTTCTTTCTTCTGCACGCAAACATTGCGGTGTATTAGCCAGTGAAGCCTGAAGTCAAAATGCAATATTTGTTGAAGAAATTCCATCTATATTTCCTTTCTTACCTCTGCTGGATGAATTCTCATCCGACCGTACTGATTCGGTTCATAGCGCCCTAAAAAGAAACGATACATTAGAGTAATGAAGTACTGTTGTATAAATAGTTTTAGTTAAAAGGAATATGATCTTTTGATCAACATGATGAATGATCAACACCTTCTCTAGTCTACGAACCATAGATTGGATCAGCAGCTCCGATCGCCAGATATGACGGCGGTGGAGCAATCTTTGGCATAGGATAAGTAAACGTTTGATAGATTCTAAACACCATTGTTACCATCTCTTATTAAACCTAACCCTTCAGTGGGGATGATTCGCCCAGCAGTTGGTATATAATAAATCGAAGACTCGTCATCAGCACCACTGAAAACAGACGACAGAGCTGTGCAAGCATTCTCGTTCAATAATGTCACCGCACTGAAAAACTTGATTAGTTGTCAAGGTTTTTTTGACAAACTTTGGCAAAAAGAGAAGCAGATGAGCGAGTGAAGCGATGGCATTGAGAAGCAAAATGCGCCAAATGTGCAAGATGATCGGAGCATCGATGCATAAAAGGGGCAGATAGGTGAGTACAGGGAGAGTGATCGCCATCCACAAGGGTAAAAGACAAGACTAAGAGTTTATAGATAGGCTTAAACATAGTCTATTCGTGACTCACTTGAAAGGTGTATTGTACCCTCTGAATTGGTCGCAAACCATTGCCCGAATTCGAGTACGCATAGCAAAAAGAAATTGCCACAACGCAGGAAAGTGAATTTGCTGAAGATGATTTTCAGATAAGCTTTCGTCTTTTGATTCAATGATTAATTTTAGCTTTTGATCAATTCAATGATCTTTAAACTTTGATCAATTCAATGATCAATTTCAATTCTTGATCAATGCAATGATCAATTTTAGCTTTTGATTTCAATTCAATGATCAATTTAAGCTTTTAATCAATTAAAATATATTCAAACTTTCAAATCCACCAGTTTACATTTATAATTTTATCAGTTAATCCACCAGTTTATCTAGCATTTCTTTTCTAGATTCAAGCTTTTAAATCCACCAGTCTACCTTTATAAGTTTATCAGTATATCCACCAGTTTATCTAGCATTTCTCTTTTTCAAATCGAAATCAAATCACGTTTGATATCATATAGAAAAGGTTTTTATAAAAATCTCATTCTTATTTTCAAAAACTCACCACAAATAGCCATAGTGAGTGTGATTGTATTCAACGGTACACCCCAATGCGATGCATAGCCAACAGTTTCGATTAAAACACATAACTTAATTAAAACAATTTGTATGTTAAGTAGACTATGATATCTAAAGATATGCTAGGAAGATAATCTTTTAGCTTTAGCTTTAGCTTTTAGCTTTTAGCTTTAGCTTTTAGCTTTAGCTTTTAGCTTTAGCTTTAGCTTTTAGCTTTTAGCTTTAGCTTTTAGCTTTAGCTTTAGCTTTTAGCTTTAGCTTTAGCTTTTAGCTTTTAGCTTTTAGCTATTGATAAGAATTCTTACGGAAGTAGCGACAACAACGAAAGTTAACGATGGTTGTCCAAAGAGAGCCAGTGAAATCACCAAGAGAATGCTTAAAAACACTCCAAATGCGAATAAAGCAGTGGATAAAGACTGAAAGTTTTATAAATAATTATACTGATATTTTTTATATTTTTATTCTGATATTACTTGTAAATCGTGTTGTATCGAGAAAACGAATGGTGCTTTGACGGAAATCGGTAATTGCATTGAGCGAGCTTTTTCCAGTAATGACTCGATCACTTCTCGTCTAAATTTCATCAGCATATTCGATTTTTTTTGAACTTATATGCAACTTACATTTACTACATTTTTGAATTTACATTTACTATATTATCTTTATCCAAAATCAAATTTTCAGAGAAATTCATTCAGCCAATTTCTTCGTAGATGTTTTTATAGATTTTTATGAAAAAAACACGTTTATCACTCTTGAATTTGTTTTTGTAAGTGAACCAAAATTGACTTTAAAAGATGAAAATTTGAACAATAAACACTTTTTATTGAAAGGAAATCATAGATTAATTGGTGGATTTGTTATTTTTAAACGAAAGCACGAAAAGGAACGAAAAGACTTTCTGAATAGCCTAATAGGTAGTGGTGCTAAAAAAGAAAAAAACAAAACCCAAGGATTCTTTAAACTTATATGCTTCAAACTTTTACTGTATTATCTTTTTCTATATCTACACTTAAAATCCTCATCTCATTAAGCTTTATTTAACTTTCCAGAGCCTCTCCATCGCCTCCACCTCCAAAAATTCATACCTTTTCAAAACTCCTTTCGGATTCAACTCTAAATACATCCGACTCCGAATGATTTGTGTTTGAAAACGATCAAAATAGATATCAGATGTATATCTAAATAAATATGATTTGATTTTTGATTTTTAGATTTAAAAAAACCTCTGGAATGGATCAGTCACCAAAAAAACGAGCCTCACCACGTGAACGAAAGTGTCCTAGAAAAAAAAAAGGCTTTTTCAGTTAATTTTTCACTCAATCAAACGTTTCAATTCATTTTCGATTTACCTGATTAATCTCGTAAGCACTCGACTTTTCAAATCTTCCGAAATCTGCAATCCAACTCACCGCCCTTGTTGCATACTCGTTTTTCTACAATTTTTCATTTCTCCCTTTTTCTTTTGAACACTTACCACTGGTTGCTCTAAAAGATCAACAATCGATTTCCTCAAATCTGCATCTTGATAATCAATCGTTTGCTCAATAGTCACTTCCAAATATTCCTAGATATGGTGAATTGAATTGAATTGGGTTGGTGAATTGAATTGAATTGGGTTGGTGAATTGAATTGAATTGGGTTGGTGAATTGAATTGAATTGGGTTGGTGAATTGAATTGAAATTGGGTTGGTGAATTGAAAACCATTCAAGATTTTAAGCAACATAGCTTTAAACAACTTAGCTTTAAACATTTGTCTACTAAAAAGGTTTTGGTTAAGGAAATCTTCAGGGAAGAAAGTTTAACAAAGCAATTCTCAATGATAAGTTGCGTTTTTCTAATTTACATCTCTACTATTGGGTTGGTGAATTGAGAACTGCGGGCTATTGTCATCTGTCATCAAAAATCAAGCTTATATCCAAATTTTCAGAACGATTCAAAAACTGGTTTTCAAGAAATGCCAAATTTACGAATTTTCACCAAACTTGCAACAAAACTTGCATTTTAAGCGAAACTACTAAGTGTATCTTTTTGGAAATTTGGCTATAAGCCTAATTTTTGATTCAACTACAAATTTGCCAAATTGACACTAAAAAGGGATTTTTTTAGAAGTAAATAGGTGCTCAAACTGGGACCAAATGGACCTAACAGACCTCCGCTTTTGAGAAAGCGACCGTTCTGTGTTGGGTGAAAATTGCTCCAAATCCCGGCCTTGTTTGTTATTATCTCTACAACTTTCGACCAAATGGGTTTCTTTTGAAGGTGCTCAAACTTGGCCTCTCCGCCCCCTTTTTGGTCTCACACAAAAACCAAAATCCTACCACGAAAGAGGAATCTTCAAATTGCCTGTAAAATGGGCACAAGTCGTCAATAATAATGGAAATTATTTGGAATGAATTCATGGTTTTATGTTGAATAAATTTTAGTTTAAAGTCCGGCAGTTTTCAATTGACCAACCCAATAATTGACTTATATAGCTTAACAAGATCAACTCAATAACTAGACTTGAGTTAAATAAAGTTAAATAAAGTTAAATAAAGTTAAATAAATAACTAGGCTTGAGTTAAATAAAGATTATTTAATTTTTTCAAAGTCCGGCAGTTTTCAATTCACCAACCCAATAATTCAATTTCTGAATTCTAAAACAAACCTGTGTTTTTCCAAAAAGTTGATAAAAGTTTTCGAGAAACTTTCGAGCCTCAGATTGAGATGGTAAAAAGTGTTCCTCTCTCAGATCGATTCTAGGCACAAAATTGTTTTTTTCATTATTAGAGCTGCTCATTTATCTAATTGTCAATAGGGCTACAACGGAAAACGAGATTTAACCACTTCAATAGCAACTTTTTCACAGGTTTTTCAGATCAAAAGATAGAGCTTAGAAAATTCTATCTTTAAGAAGTTCTGAAAAAGTAGCTATTGAAATGGTTATAACTTGCTATTCCGTTGTACACCTATTGACAAATCTCTAGTAAAGAGAATCTTACTTGATATGCACACATCCCCAAGCAGCAAGTAGGAGATAAATAGTGCAAAGGAAAACGAGCGGATATCTCAATGATGGGCCCAAAAGCCATGCTGCGAATTGTCGAGATGGGCTTGCTTTGCTGGAGAATGGAGTTTATGAGATTTGGAAATGAGAAAGATGTATAACACAAGTAATTCTAGTAGGTAGGATCAATGAGCTTTCTACCAGTAATCTCATTTAGTTGAAGAACTCACGTGTCCACGAGACGGCCATGTAAATGTTCAAGCTGTTTGTTATCAAAGTCGACAATGTTCGGAGCTAAAGTTAGTTCTTGTTCTTGTTGTTCTTGTCGTTCTTGTTGTTCTTGTTGTTCTTTTTCTTGTTGTTCTTGTTCTTGTTGTTCTTGTGCTCGTTGTTCTTGTTGTTCTTGTTCTTGTTGTGCTCGTTGTTCTTGTTGTTCTTGTTGTTCTTGTTGTTCTTGTGCTCGTTGTTCTTGTTCTTGTCGTTCTTGTTGTTCTTGTTGTTCTGGTTGTTCTTGTTGTTCTTGTTGTTCTTTTTCTTGTTGTTCTTGTCGTTCTTGTTGTTCTTGTTCTTGTTCTTGTTTTCAGTACTTACTTGGAAAATGGGTATCACCAGAGCGACAGAAATGAAACCATTTGCAGCCTTTTGCTTCTCGTCGACCGCTTCTATAAGCTTTATTTGATTGTTTTCGAAAAATCAACAAACTTGAAGACAAAAACGGCAAGGAAGAGCAGGGTAAGGAGGAGAAGAGCCGCAATTCCTGGTTTGAATTTGAGAAAAAAGCTATTCAATTGTCGCTTACCAGCAGCCATTGTGAGGAAAGCCGTTTGTACGTAGGGTGTCGCTGATAAAAGACCTGCGCCAACTGTAAAGATAATTAAATTTATCGCGTTTTTTATTTGTTTTAAAGCTAATCCCTGCTAATCTTTATAATATTATATTCAGATTTTCACTCACCAAACATCGCAATCAAAAGCAGTGACGATGCGCAAATGAACGTCCCCTCATAAGCCATCACTAATGCGATTTTCTCTAAAAATATCGATTAAATAAAGATTATATTGAATGAATTAAATAATGAAGATAATTTTGATTGATATTGAATGAATTAAACAAAGAAGAATTTGATTAAAAGTGACTATATTGAATGGATTAAATAATGAAGATCTTAAATCTTAAACAAAGAAGAATTTGATTAAAAGTGATTAAAAGTGATTAAAAGTAATTAAAAGTGATCAAATTACCTGATGGATGTAGAGCAACGGCTGAAAACTTTCTCCAAGCAGTGTGAAGAGCCTCGCAATAGCAGGCGCCGATCCCTGAATCGCTTACAGTTTATTGAATTCAAATTATTGACTAAATGTTTTCAAATTTATATACAGAAATAGATTTTCTTGAAGAAATTGAGAATCTAAAGAGGAGAGGGGAAAAGAAGAAGAAGAAGGAGAAGAAGAAGAAGAAGGAGAAGAAGGAGAAGAAGAAGAAGAAGGAGAAGAAGAAGGAGAAGAAGGAGAAGAAGAAGAAGGAGAAGAAGGAGAAGAAGAAGAAGGAGAAGAAGGAGAAGAAGAAGAAGAAAAAGAAGAAGAAGGAGAAGCCGGGTTCGAGGAAGCCCTTCATGGATTGAGGTACTTCTCGGATTTACATAATACCGTAGCCATCAAATATTCACGTCATTTGCTTTCTCTTTATTTTCTCCATCAACTGGAAAGATAAAGATCCAAAGCTCCTTTGAACTTTTGATCGTTTTTTAAAAATAGAATAAGTCCTGAGGTTTCCATTGTTACGTAGAGTTGAAAGAGTTGCAAGAGTTGTCAAAATACCGATGATGACGAAGAGAACAGGAAGTTGAAGTGGATTGAGGAAAGTCGAGCCAGAAAGTGACACACAGACGCCAGCAATCGCCGATCCACACAGCACAACACCAGCCGCTAGACCGACGATTGGTTTGCTCTAAAGTTTAAGAAGATAAGATTTTTATCGGAAAATCTATGTAGTTCATTAAGCGATAAACGGGCTAATCGATTTTCTATCATTTACTGTATTTCCTCTAATAGTAGTGCACCCCGGCGAGCCGAGTTGGCAACGATTTTACGGTTTTCAAGCTTTTCCCAGAAGCTCAACACTCAAATCCCCCACTAGATCTCATCGTCAGCTACATTTTCCGACCCCATATCGATAGGTTCTGATAAGCGGTTCTCGAGATTTCGAGCAATTTAGACGACGCTCAGGGTGCACTACTATTAGAGAAAATACGGTATCTAGAATTTCAAACCTGATAAGCGTTTAGTCTGCACATTGACAAAAGCAAGAGAATAAAGATGATCCCCGCCGATGCACCAATCCAAAGATGACACCTATTTTGTTTTAAGATCAGATTAAAATTCTTCAAAGAAAACCTTTGAAGTGCCTGAATGACGGTGCCAGCAAACTCCTCGTATGACCAACGATTCACTTCAAAATCAGAGTTTTCTTTTTTCACTCCTTCCACCTAATTTTTTTTTGATTTTTAAGCTATAAAATGAATAATTTTTGAATTACTTTTTGAATAAAAGCTTTTTCCCAGAGTAGAGTGTCTGGTGTGGAAAGAGCTCGATTTAACTCGAAAGAGGCTAGCAGTGATTGCGCAGAGGCGATCGCTCCATCCACATCAACGTCGACTCCTATTTGAGCAAAGATTTAGAAAAAAATAGATAAAGATCCCATAGCTATATAGATTATGATAAAATCTTAATTTAATAATGAATTCTATTAGAAATTTGACCTTACCGCCGATTATTGATGCAAGGAAAACACGAGTGAGATTCGAGTCTTCTTTTGACAATGAAACATAGGTTTCTGGATAGGTTAGTGCTATCTAAAATGTAATTAAAGTATATAATGGATTGAATATTCGATTAGATTGTCATTCTATTGATGTCATATTCTATTATCAAATCGAATTCAATTCAAAAACTACCTGCGAGCTTTTCTTGACAATTTTATCGAGTATCGACGCTCCAAACGAGCAGCTATTCCCTCCGCACAGTTCAGGCCACTAAAATAAAAAGTATGTAGTAAAAAGTTTGCATCAAATTTACATAAAATCTAAAGATTTCAAAAAGATTTTGATAAATTTAGGTTTCTTTCCGTGAAACCATGTTTTCTTTTTGTTTGATGGAATGAAAAAAAAAGAAGCGTTACGGTAATCCCTGATGAAAACAAAGGATAAGAAAAGCAAAATTTCAAAGAATCTCCAAAATTTTCGGCTTAAAATGGGTTCATTGAAAAGAGAAGAAAGAAATCTTATTCAAATTTCAACCGTTACCGTTTTTCCATGAAATCCGATTGACTGAATCATTGTTTTCATGTTTAAATAAGTGGCGATCGTTTCCTCGCGAAGGATCGTATCGTTTGCGTTTCTATAATGATAAATATTGTAAATACTTTAATAAAACGGCGCCTGTTCGTAAAGTCACGTAGTCTAAGTCTAAATCTAACTTCTTTTTAGAAAATCAAGCGCTATCCTTTGGTATCAAAGCGTATTTTTCGTCGAAACAGCGCGGAGAAGCGAGAATAAAATTTTGTGTTTGACTACGCGACTGTACGACTGTACCGACTGTACCCGACTGTACGCCATTACAGGTATTACGGTACCTATTTTTAAAAAGCACAGCATAAGCATGATGATTCATTCGATCGAGTGCTGAATACGAGGGATTTGTCGAGTTAAACTGTGGCACAGCCATCCTGCGCATTCCTACCCCTGATGAAGTCATCTAAAACAATTTCGTTTTCATTTTTTCGTCTTTCTAAAGTTCTTCTAATCAGATTTCCCGTTACTTCGAACTTTCAACTTACATCTCTATCTTCAACAAGTGTGCTAAACGGTAGCCCAACGTAAAGCTTATCCCAGTAAACAATCGGAGCCACCAAGCTCAACGCCACTAACACCAAAGGAAACACCTAAACCATCAATGATAATAAAATAAAATTTCTAAATAAACCGCAAAAATAGTGTTATGATTGGCGAGCGCTTTGCCGAGATACCAAAAGACTTGTCGCATCACTCGCTCGGGCCAATGTGTCAACCGATAAGCACCTGAAGCTTATCAAACATTTTAAACATTAGCAATCCAACTCTTTGTGTTAAGCTGTTCAATTTATAAATTATTAATATCATTGAATGTGCCAAATCTTTCTCTATCGATTCGTACAAAAAGTCTTTAAATAGCAAAGCTCAACACCAAGAGATTTGAGTTTAAAGTTGGATTGCTGTGGAAAGAGACGTGTATCAAATGTCCGACAGCTTACAAAGCTATCAATCTATCAGGCTATCAAGCTATCAAAGAATCTAAAGATTAGATTAAAGATAAACCCAAGTTTTCCTCTTCATTGATTTCGACTTTTTGCACAAAATGCGCAAGAGCCATTTCGTTGGTGACACGACGAACGAGTGCTGCGGCAGCTCCCTTAGCTTGTCGACGAAGGGTTGCCGGTGATGGAGGCTCCTAGAAAGTTTTGTTTCTTCTCGAAATTCATTCCAATCACCTCCACATAACTCGTCCGCATTTCCTGAGTCTCCATCTCTCTTGGCATCGTTCGATTCGATCCCTCATTTGGCTGTAGATCAAAAATACTTTGATTTAAAGAAAAGAGTTTACTGTTGCCGCAGATGATGTGGGGATCCCAGTTGAAGATGAGTACGATGACGAGGTGTTTGATGTTGTCGTGCTCGTTGAATGGCTTTGTTGAGCAGGCTAGAGGGGTTTCTTTTGAAAATTTCTTTTGAAAATTTAGCTCTTACAACAACTCCAACTGGTAGATCATTTAAAGCCGATCGCTTGTTCAACGAGTTGAATCGTGAGTCCGTGGTTAGCGGTGGTTTTGCTTGTGGAGGACCATTCTGAAAGGATCGACTTGTTAAAAATGGTTTAAAAACAAAAAGCTCATACTTGGCGGGCAGATTTTTCAACAGTTGAATATCCATCTACTGTTATTAGCATCGATTTTTCGAGATCAGGGCACAAAAAGTGGCAAAGATTTAGTGTTTTAGAAAAAAAAGTTCTTGGATTTCTAGTTATGCAATGTCGGCTAAGCCGAATGGGGAAAGGTTGGGGAGAAAAAAAAAGAAAAGAAAGAAGAACGGGGGATGATTGAGACGATGGGGAAAGGGGATGAATGAGTCGATCTCTTCTATCACTTTAGAGAAGGACCCTGAAATTGGGATGCCGATATCGGAAATGGGTCACTCTCTACCAACACGAGAGCGATCTCAGCCTTCTTTTCTCATTTCGCTCTCTCTCTTTCTCACACCTCAATTCGTTTCAGCTGATCACTTCCCCTGTTCTCACAGCTGGAAACGAATCTCTATCCAATATCACAATTGTTTTAACTTTGAGAGAATAGATACCGTAAATACTGTAATTGGACCCCACCACCCCCTCGTACAGTGGTGTAGTCGCAAAAGTTTTTTAGTATTTCATTTTTTTCAAAGCACCCGTACTTTCAAAAAATGCGTCTTTGGTATCAAAAAATAGCTGGAATTCAGGGCTATTTTTTGATAATTGTATTGCTATTGTAGCATAAATCAGTGTCGAGAAAAACTCGTTCAAAGCTAGACTACGCAACACTCCGCACCGTCATTATGGAGGTGCGGTACTATTACAGTATTTACGGTAGATTCTGTTTTATCATTCTTTAGATTTCAATAATTTTAGATCATTTTCTGAACTCGTTAAGCTTATCGAGTCTCCCGAAAGATTAATCGAAATCTAAAGAATGACAAAACAGAACGTAGCCATTTTTCGTATCAAAATGAAATCTAGAATAAAGGCTTGCGGGGGAACTGGGTTTGCTGCGGGGAACATGCTTAAAGGAGCTTTGGATAGTAAAAAATTCAGGGCTATTTTTTGATACCTAAGCGCGCATTGTAGCATAAACCAGTGTCAAGAAAAACTCGTTCAAAGCTAGACTACGCAACACTCCGCACCATCATTATGGGGTTGGGTAGATGAGTAGATAGATAAAGATAAGACTCTGAAAACTTTTCTAAAACCTATAGAAAAAGATTACAATAAAATATAATGAATTTCTCAAAGATTACCTTGACTTTGTGCTCTGGTGTGACTCTAATATTATAGACATGAACCATGAAGTAAACTGAATAAAATTCCAAATGATTTCAGAAGTAAGCAGCGGAAATTGACTATGAAAAAGGCTTGGAGGTGTTCGTTTTCCAAGCAGTTCATCAGTTCTACGCAAAAAGAGGGGAAGAAAGAGCCGGATTGTTTCCTCTACAAAAAAACACATCACTTGCCGCTCATTTAAGGAAAGAGGGGCAATAATTGTGACGAGGATTAGCCTGACACAGCAAGAGAGCGAAGAAAGCATTTGGTTGCAACTATTGAAGGTTAAGGGAAAAGGTTTGGAACGATTGAAGAAGGGGAAAGATTTACGCACACGTGTTCCGCTCGAATAAAGGGTTTGCCTTTTTCGAAACTTTACTATTACTAGTTTTAAAAAAAAGGTTACAGAAAGCTTTTTAATCTAGTTTTAACTGAATCTAGTTCTGTTTTACTTTTTTTTTTCCACAAACTCACATCATTTTGGGTGTTTGATGTGCGTCTCTGAATGCGAATCCCGTCACCGCGATGTCTGGGTGGCGACTCGGCTCGTAACGAGCCACCCACCCCGTAATACATCGAAATCGCTTAGCTGAAGGCTGAAGGAGTTTTTGAAATTCAAACCCAAAAAAAAAAAAATCCCGAAAATGAAAATGAAAATCAAGAATATCATCAAAATGGAGAAAGAGCGCTCATCAAAATTTCCCTTTCATACGGCGCATCGCCAAAGATCGACCATCAAGATATGCATGAATGCATCTTATTTCACGAATTTTGTACGAATGGTTTTATTTTGTAGAAATTTAATACACGGCAAAGATAGATAGGCTATTCTTCACGAATTTACTTTCCATTAAAAGTAAAGTAAAGTTTTTGCCTAGTTTATCGAGTTGAAAAAGTGAGATTTTCCTATAATCAGCTTTCGAATAGTTTCGTTGAAATATTAAAGTGGAAAAAAATAGGTTGATCGAACAAAAAAAAAAAACACTTTGAGCTAGTTAATTATTTCATAGACAAAGACTATAGCAAAGGTTGATGAATATGTATTGATGCAATCTGAGTGTTCGAGGATAGAGGAGGGGAAAAGAAAAGAGAAATGTCCTCCACACAGATTGACCGATCCCGATAACCACTCACTTATTGTTACCCATTTGAATCGGTCATTCTGTCGGTAAGTTTTTCCAGTTAGTAGTCTAATTGTAAGATAGACATTCGAAGATCTTTTTTAAAACTTGAGTGGCGATAAAAAAAGGGGGGTTTGGGTAAGAAAAATGGTTTGAATGTTCGAAACGATTCATAAGACAAGCTATCAAAAGAAAATTTAGAGTTATGCGAATTGTCGCCTAATGAAGACACCATTTCAGCCGGAATGTGGGTCATTGGTGCGAGCGGATGACAGATCCCAGCCGACCGCCTGCATGTGGATGAAGGAGGAGAATAGGGGAGAAAGATTGCCGCTTTTCCGATCCCTATCACTTGACTCCAGGAATCCTGATATGGATAGCCTAGTATTCTTCTTTGTCTTTGAGAACACCCGCATATCATTATACACATTCAGTGAACCAGATTTCCCCTTCACATTTGGATAATCAATGTGAAAGAGAACAGGAAGGAAGAGTGCTCGAAGTGGAGGAAAAGTGCTCGAAATCAAATCTAGATGTGATTTTTCTTGCGCATTAACCCAATCTTTATACGTTTTGCTAGAATTTGTCCTTTTGCAAGTTTCATCGCAACAAAAAACAATACAAACACGGAAATTATGGATAGGTATATCACAGTATTTCAAAAACACATTAACTTGAGATATTCGCAAAAAACTATCAGAAAACACACGTAAGCTTAGCCAATGCACATAAAGTAATCAATGATTAAAAGGGTTTAAAAAATTGAAGCCGCTAATCTCATCGAAGAATGCTGTAATTCTGTTAGAGTTGTCCACCAAGCCGTGAAAGCTAAAAAGCAAAGTTGAATATGATTGAAGCTGAAATTATACCTGCTCGATAAACTGCGATGGGCTAACAAGTTCGGTGCAACCATAAGTCACACGTTGAACTCCTTTGTCGTGTCCCCATTCAACAAGATTTTCATACTCCACGTAATTTCCTCCTCCCACCACGAAAAGAATGACATCCGCCGGGAGATGAGGTCGCAATTTCATCGATCTGAAATAAAAATAAAACTTTCACTGTTAATAAACGCACTCTTTGCTTGGCTGATGCATCATTTTCGGATCGAAATAGCGCAAATTATCTTCGGTTTGTGTTTGATTGCTTGCCATCGAACTCATTCCTACTACCGACGACGATGGAGGAGTACAAACCGAATCCACCAACTAAATAAATGCAGATTTTAAAGGCAAGTATGTATAAACAAATACCTTTGTGAGTGGAAGATTATGCTTGCGAGGTACGAGATTTTTCACCCCTTCCATGACGAACTTGCTGCTTTTGTCAAGCAACTTCCCGAACATGCTTACCTAAAGTATTAGCAATAGATAAAAAGAAAAATGGAAGTTAACAAACCGTTTTCGTTCCAGCACCACTGTGATCTTCACGAATCAATCCACGACCCAAATTAGAAATTGATCTAAACCACTAGTTAGCTGTACATAGTTATAATGCCTCGCTCACCTTAATTTTTCAACAAATTTTAAGGCCGAGCCATCAGCATTGCTATTGTTTAATAAGTTTCGCAACTCCTCGACTTCAGACTAAAAGATATCTTTTAAAAAGTCGAGTATCTAATTAAAGTACTTTAGAAATCTGATCGCTTGAGAGGTAGTGAATCAAAACAATTCGCAGCATATCATCTTTGTCTGTGATTTCTGATAGAAGCGACGACAGTGGTGCATCTTAAAGTGACAATTTTAATGCAAATAAATGCGGATTTTAAAGGCGAGTATGTACAAATAATTAATTTTCAATTTTACAAACCGAGAGAGCCTTTTTGTAACAGTTTTTGCTCCAATTCAAATAGTACATCCAGTTTGCGCACTTTTATAGCTTCTAAAAGAGTTGAAGCAATGTTCGTGTGCAGATCAATTAATCTAAAAAGAGCAAAGTTTCCGTTTGTTATTAAAATAGCCCTACCTCTTTTGCTCTAACAATTGAGGCAAAGATGTAACGGTTGAGCCGAGCTTTGAAGTTGTATCGATAAGTAATGAAGACATTGCTGCATCAGCATCTGTTCCATCCATGCCCTAAAAGTCAACCTTTATAATTGGAATTACTATACACAAAATACCATAGCATGTCGCATCTTTTCTATTTCATCCTTTGAGCTACGATAGGTCTCCAAATCTCCTTGAATGGCCTCAGCGACTAGCGGAAAGGCACTTCCCTTAACAGAATAGTTTTTTAAAAATAAAATTATGTATTACCTTATGCTGTGTCCAAAGACGATCGTGTCCACAATGCAAATCATAGTCCACCTTCTTGCCCTTGTCTGGCATGCTGACTCGATTCTGATCAAGTCCAAGTACATCATGAACCAAAGCTTGATACGTCCAAGTGTGATGAAGCATTGTTGCCAAATCCGCAGATCTAAACATAAGGTATTTTTCAAAAACCTCTTTTTAAAGCATTTAAAAATTCAATACAAACCTATCGGCAATGATTAGTACAGGACGAGAGCTGTTAAGCTGCCCAGCTCGAACACTTTCAAAGGCGAAGAGATTATTGCGTGCATCCCGTAAGTTGTCCCGGAGTTTCTGATCAAGCCTCTAAAACACAAGTAATAGCAAAAAGTAATTCAAAAAAATTACAATTGCAATTTGTTCCGCAGCATTGTCTTTGGGAGCACGAATCACTGGCACCAAACCAAGAGTAGCACACATCTGATAAAAAAATTGTTTATTGTTGTAGAAGAATTTTTACCGAAAAGAGACCATCCGCGATCGATTCAATCATAGATTCCATTTGAGTGTCGGATGTTGAAGGATCATTGATTGCTAAATTAATTCATATAAAAATGAAACACAAAACAAACCATAATAAGACATAGGACTTGCTTCAGAGTATCTTTTCAATACAAAGAGATCGTCTTCCAGAGAAATGAAATTTAAATACTGGTCAACTACCTAAACGACAATGTATTTAAAATAAAACCAAAACCAGAATTACCTTTTGTACTTGAGAGATCGCTCCGCCATTGACCGCCGCCGTTGCAAGAATTTCTAGTCGTGGTCGGGATAATGGAGAAATAAAATTGAGATAAAAGTTTTCATACAATCCCTAAAATTTTATTGAAAAAGTGAAAGAGTGAAAGGGATAAAATAACCAGCTTCAGGTCATTGCAGAGAAGTTCCACGTTTTCATCATTTGGGGCGACAAAGTAAACAGCTGGCACGTCGGGCAATGGTTCACGTTTGGAGCCAACCAACCTAAAAGTGAAAAAATTTATTTTAACCATAATCAAACCAACATGTGCAATGTGACACCAAGTTCTCGTAGTTGTTTTACGGGTAGGAGCGGCGAAATTATTTCTTGGCCAAATTTATCCATAATCAAAACCTGTACGCACAAATTTTCAATTATCAACTAAAAGCCAGACTCACCTTCCAGACAGGCTCCGAAACCATTGTGTTGATAGCCGGCTCGTTTAAATTCACAAGTTGTCGAAGAGCGCCTAGAATGATGGAAATATGAAAGATAATGGTAAGATCAATACAATTTAGAAAATTTCCAATTTACTACCTATTTGTCGTGCCCGTAGCGTTTCACCACCATCACTTGAAAGGCTCATCTTTCTAGAATAGAGAAATCATCATAATGTTTAAAAGTTGTAAAAATCAAGGGAAAATGTCAAGAGAAAGTGACTTTCCTCAAAAAATTTTGGGATAGGCTAATTTCCGCCATTTTATTTGCGCAACTCGCCATAACTTTCTTTTAAGTGGGCCAATCTTTATGATTTTGGTGTCATTTTATTGCACTTGTTGAGATCTACAAAAATAACACCAAAATCATAAAGATTTACCCATTTAGAAGAAAGTTATAGACCTAAATGACCCTGTTGCGCAAAAAAAATGGCGGAAATTAGCCTACCTGGAAATTATACTGGGAGAAATCTATTTATATTAAAATGTTCAAAAAATGATGATATTCAGTCGTTTAATTGAATAGCCTTTCAAGGTATATAACTGTGTTCTACTTGATATATAAAGCTTTCACTTTCATACAGGCATTACACGAGGGATTGTTGGTTTCTGTACAAGTTCTGTACAAAACAACATAAAATTCATGTGATTCAAAGCATTAAAGATGTTATCAGAGACATTTTGAGCAAGCTATCAATGCAAATAGCTCGCATAGTGGTACTTGAAGTGTTCACTTTTTAAAACTCCACGTCTAAATCTCTACCATAACCCGGCGTTTATTGGGAATGTGTTTGCTGCGAGACCTCGATTGAAAGTGTCAAGCGAGATCTCAAAAAGTGAGACTTTGACATAGCACAAAAACAATAACATCAAATTATTTAAAGTTTTTTTTTTGTCGAAGATAAAGCCTTGCATTTGTTTCTGTGATCGTTGCAGTTTTCAGTTTGAATATTTACAAAATTTATTTACTACCAAAAACCCAAAAGTTACAAAAGAAACATAAAATGAGTATCGGAAAATGAATTTTAAAAAGATAACACAATGACAAACAGGCTGCTGCGACAATGGGCAGCGAGGTATTTATATAAAGTGGGCAACCCGAAAAATAGGGCAATTATATTTCATTCACGATTAGAAGGGGGGGAGGGGGGAAGGGGTAAAATAACTGTACACAAGCAAAAAAGATACCACCGCAACAATGAGTTTAGCCAACATTCTCAGAATCAAATATCAATCACTCTTTATGAAGTCGATTTAAAGAACAAGTCACTGATCATTGGTAGTTTGTCTCGATGAGACCAAACAAGGGAATCTAGTCATGGCTTGTTCATGAAGGCGAGCATAATGTTCTTGTACTCTTGCACGCTCTTCTCGAGGGTGTTCAGCGTGGCTCGCAACTCGACATTTCTCATCTCGAGATCTGAGCATTCCTTCTGAAATTTGTTGATTGTTATGAATTCGGTTTTTATTTTCAAACCTTCATTTGCGAGAATTTATCTTGTCGCTTTTGACGGCTACGAGCGGAGGCAACGTTATTCTTGTCCCTCTTTTGGCGGTAATCAGTGACTGGGCCAAGATCCACTGCCACATAGGGTGGTGTACTCACGCGAACGATGGCCGTTCGACTACGAATGGGTCCTCCGCTCGATGATGGGCTTTGGGATCCCTCAGGAGATCCTACCGAGATAGGAGAACAAGAGCCCGACTCTGAAATTGTTCTTTTATAAAAGTTTTTTCGATTTAACAAACCTCTCTTGCAGTATTGGTCGAGTGATTGAGGAGTCTCAAGGAAATCGAATTGATGTTGTGGATATGAATCTCCATAAACTCCGAAGTTCTGCTCGGGATTCGTCGTGTGTGGCGGCATGTTAGCGTTAGCAAGATCAGGGAAGAACTCAGCGAGTGGGTCCTGAAATTGAATCTTGAATTTACATTGTAAAATTATTTTTTATTTTGTATAAGTAGTCGAAGCTTATATTATAAGTTACCCTAGTTGAGAGATCAGTAATAGAAATAGGCTTAGCAACAGAATTTAGTATCGAGGAAATAGTAAGGAGTTGCATTGGTACGAAACATTTTTGGGAATGACTCGTATGTGTGCCAATGGTTCAAGTATAAAGGCTCAGTATTTCGACATGTGTCATAAGGTTGTGCAATAAAGGGGCGGGGCTTGAGTGAAAGTCCCGCCCAGTCACCACCCCATCGCCCTAGATTGGGCCAGGCAGTCAGCCAGGCACCAAGCTTTAAGAATCAAAAACCAGTCAACTAGATTGTTTATCGAAATTGCTTACCATATACTCGCCGAAGGAGTCGACGGTGGATTGATTGATAGCTGAGGTGGAGGGTTGGCAGGAGTGTGCGGGGTTTTGCTTGGCGGGGAGAAGATTCACGGGATTCGTGGATCCTGAGGGGTAGAGGTAATTTTCAAGCTCGTGAATATTTGGCATCTCGTCGGCAAAGTGCTCGATGAGGCCATCGGGAAGGGGGAAATCATCGGGGAACGGTTGATGCTCATCAAAGAACAAGTCTTCAGAATCGAGATTCTGCCACTCCATCTTGCGAGGGCGGCGGTGCGTTTGTGGGACGAGGAGGGACGGCACTGTCGTAGCGGTTCGGTTCAACACAACCAAATCTGAAAAAAAGCGATTGTTCTTGCTATTTTTCATTTTCCTTATTCAACACTTCAACACTTCTCGTTAACTTCTGCAACTCACCGCAAGTGACTGGATTGTCCGGTAGATTTGAAGCCAGTGAGCGATGAGCCGTTGGCGGTGGGCACGGGGAAAACACAGCAGTTGTCGAAGGAGCCGAATGCACTGTGACTATCGTACAAGGCTCTCTGAAAAAAATTGGGTTTACTAAGTTGCGCTTTTTTTCCACTCACTCTTGATTCTGGTTTGCAAGCGTCTGATTCAGAGTCGCTTGATTGTTGCACGGAAGATAGTAACGTGTCTCCGAGCAATATTTCTTCGGACTCTGCACGTTCAAATTCCAAGGAGCTTCGTTCAAATCGAGACTCGTTTCGGCCAAAAGACACGGTGCATCGGCGATCGGAGCCATTGGAGAAGACGGTGTCGAGCCCAGAGACGAGCTCGTCGAAAGGTGGCACCACATGGGTTCTGGCGACCCTTCCGCCTAAATTATGTCCATAATTATGTCCATAGCATGTGTAATAGGACATCAGATAAGTAATTCTTGTTTTAACAATTCTAATATCCTATGTCCAGTAGTCTCTACACTAATCTGCACCAAAAATCTTTCTTCTCAACAAACCATTTGGCGGAAGGGCTCGTCCAGTGCCATTTCGATACATGGTATTGGCGACAGGGGAAATTGAGGAGACGGTAACGAGGACCATTGCTCGGTGAGCGATGGGGTGAGGTATTCACGGAAGAACTGAGAAGACACGAAGGCGGCCGGAGGGCCTGACCAAGCGCAGGCCTGAAACGACGACTATGATTCACGTTTTCTTTTCGCCTGTCACTTACCCTTTGAAGGGTCTGGGAGTTGACTGTTTAGCGATAAGGGCTCACGCCCGCTTTGGAAGCTCTCTGCCCACAGAAAGATCTGGGACAACCTGAAAATATCGATTGATTCATCAAAATTTTCAAAGAGATACGAAGCAATAGTAAGACAAAGCTTTTAAATCGTACATGAATGAAAATCACAAGGTATCATTTAGTCACAGTAGTCAAGCCGTTTTTGCTAACCTGACAATTACGCATATCTAGTTAGTTGCTTCGTGCTCTTTGAATGAAATCTCAATAAGTATAATGCTCTGTTCTAAAGTTAATTTCAAACTCTTACAATCTAATTTGCTCGTCTTAATAATTTCGGATATCACTATTAGTCCAATTGCGCTTTTAGATTTCTTTATTTTTTCCTTAAAAGTAATTGCTAGATGCATCTAAAAAGTTTTAACTTAGCAAAAATAGTTTAAGAAGGAAAATATAAAGATTTCGCAAGCGCATGGGTCGGAGCCAAGGAGAGAGACTGCGATGGGGCGAAAAGTTGCGCCGGTTTGCACAAGCCCCGCCTCCGATTGCACAACATTGTGGAGGTGAAAGACGCAGAGGAAACCTCACGTCACGGCTCTTTTTGTGAACAGATGGCCAGAGTCCAGAGCGCGAGAGACAAAATGGATCCAAAATACACATTTTTGATCAGCGCCGACCCAGGGTTGCCTAGTGACTCATCGTCAGCAAGAATAAACAGGTCGATAGTTCCGGGAATTTTCAATGCGGAGAAAAACTTTGAAAAACTAAAATCGTAAGCATCAACGAGAACTTCTTAACTTTGGGCACTGTTATGCGTTTAATAAAATAGCTTATACATACATACATAAGCGTTTATTACACAAGCATCATATGGTCATAGAATCGTAGCGTGATATGGATATAACTTTTCGGCTCTACTCCATTCCAGACTTCCATTTATCAAATTCGTTAGAACGCTGCATAAATCGTCTATCTGAATTTTAGGAAGCTGACCAAGACTTTAAAATCAATACTACCTGAACTCGTATTTGCGCCTGGTTTAGAGCGTTCCTTACTGTGACGGTGGGCGGGTTTGCAATACTTTCGAAATCAATCGTTACTCCAAAAGGGATTCCAATTTTATCAGTTCTTGCATATCGACGACCAATTGATCCATTTGAATCATCCTAAATAAACAAACAATCGTTGTATTATAAATCGTTCAATAAGGGAATCGGTTGTAAAGAGCTGACTCACTAACATTCTGAGAAAAACTAAAAACTAACCAATTTATACGAAATCCTGTGCCGGTGTAATCTTTTACAAATTTCTTTCACAAGTGGCTGCAATTTTTCCGCGTTTGAATTGATAGGAAGAACTGAGCATTTGATTGGTGCCACAACAGGATTTAAGTTTAAAAACTAAAACTAAATATAAATGAAATTCAGCAAACAAAACTTACGACTCGCTTTTCATCACCGTCGCGTTGGAGAAATGAATGCTCTAATGCCGCATAGAAAATCCGTCCAATGCCGAATGAAGGTTCAATGACCGCTGGGATAAACGCTTCTGTTTTGATCTAATTTTCATTTGCTAATCAAATTAACCAACAAGAACTTGCTTACACTTTTCATACTTTTCTTGAGTTCATACATATCTGGCATCAATTGGTATACCTGCTGATCGACTGTTACGCTAAACCAGTTACATTTCAAGACTTGAACTTAAACTACCAACCTTATCGTACCAGCTTGAATATTTAGTGCATTGAGTTCCGATAAAGACTTCTGTATCTAAACAGGTTAGCGATGAAAATTTCAGGCCATATAATAAAAAACCTTCTTTGCTTTATCAGGATAGGCTTTTTGTAGGATATTCATGTTTGGTTTTATCGATAAAGCTTCTTTCTCCGCTGAATCTATATCACGATTAGCAGTGAGCCTTGTTCCGGATATTCTAAATTCTCAGGTACATCTGTATGACAAAAAATTATTTATAAACCTTGAATGTTGTTCCAGATCGTAAACACCTCTATCTGCAATTCCAGCACATTCAATCCACCCATAGCTAGTCATCACTTCAGCGTCCCAACAATCCTTAAATATTTGTGCTAAATATATCAAATAAGTCACTCACCTTAGCATAGTGTGCCATTTCATTTGCCATATGTTGTCGAAAACGTAATTTACGAGTGTTAATTCCAACCTTAAAATTCGTAGCTTGAAAATTCATTACTATTTCGCACCTTCTCCAGAAAACTATGCGTCCTCGCAAGATAATATCCAATGAGCTGGCTAGAAACAACACCCGAAAATCACAAGAATTAATTTTTAAAAAAATTGTCCAACCGTATCTACAGCTTCTCTTACAGAGATCTCAATAGGGCTCGCACCATCAAGTTGTTGTCTTTGTGGATAAAAAACCAAGCGTCGATCAGCAATCTGATATAAAATTTACCTTTAAAAGCCTCGTCGTTGTTTAAAATATACCTCGTCAAATTTATGATGCGTCTTTTGTTGTGGATCATGAAAGTGCTCGATTTCACACATTTGAAATTCTCGTGTTCGTAACAAACCATGTCTCGGATTGATTTCATTTCGAAAAGCAGTACCGACTTGAGCGACTGCGAAAGGTAGTTTCCCCTGTAAAAAAAAGTTTGGTCAGAATCCACATAAACTTTACTTTGTTTGCTTCCAGGTAATTTTGAAACTCGACAAAGATCCCTTGTGCTGTTTCTGGTCGTAAGAAAGCTCGATCTCCATTAAATCCCATCTAAATAAAACTTTAACACTAACTTTTCAATAATAAACTTACTTCAATTGAAAGCATTTGGTTAGCTTTTGTTGGTTTTGAGACCGGATTCCCTGATGGTGATTTCAAATCATACTGCTTAATTAGCTAAATACATGTAATCAAATATTTAATCTAATATTTTTCGACCTCCTCTATCCTCAATTCGTCCAAGTCTCCGATTCTTTCAATCATACGCTCATATTCTTTCTTCAGTTCAGCAGAAGGCGCTTGCTAAAGTTGAACTATAAATGTTTGACTATTTTCCGAACCAGTAACAACTCTTTGAACGAATTAAGCAAGAAATGATCAGCACGAAATAGCTCTCCATTGATTGTGTCTTTGACCATGAGATCAGCAAAACGTTGCGTATGCCCAGAGGCACTGAATTGAATGAAATTAAATTCAAACTGACTAACTCACACAAATACAGACTCCGGAGTAAGACTTGTCGATATGATCTCATTCATTTCATCTTCCATTACAAAATGATCTTCCCAGGTAGAGATTATATTTTTCACCATCCGAGATCCATTCTGTCCAAAATAAAATCTAAACTTTCTAGTTTTAGTGTTATGAGCGTATTTGTACAATCCCGGAGCTGAGCTGTATAATGAAAAAGCTGGTCGAAAAAAGTGGCAGTCGATTAACAAGTCTTCAATCTTTGTTCGATCAAATGACGCATCCTGAGGAGCCAATTCCAATTCCTAAAATAATGATTATTGTCTTCTTTTAACCAATAAAGCTGTTTTTTTAGCTAGTCACAACACAAAAAAGTCACCGTATTTTCAAGAAGCGTTTTTCTTCGTTTCAACTCATGCAGCAGATTAGGTAGTTCATTGCTTGAAGGCTCCCTTTCTTTCAACGACTTAATTTCAGCCGCAACCTCGCGAACGGACGCCCGCAAGGGACCCAATCTCTAAAATATCAGTAAAAAGAAGCACTAATGAGCTTCTAACCTTTTCTATCAAAGGATCGTTTAAATCTTTCAAATATTCCGCGATGCGTTGTTTAAATTTCTTTGTAACTTCAGGAACTGTATTTCTTTTTCTGACATTGGCGCCTTTGTTTGCAGCAAGTTCCACCTAGATATGGATAAAATAAAAGCTATTAATAAAAAGCATACCTTAAAGAAAGGTTGCGAATAATTTCTGATGATGCAACTTTTCGTATCTCGAATAAATCTTAAGACCCGAAAAGATGTCATGTAATGCCTAAACGCAAACTATTGAAACCAATCCTTTCTTGAGACCATTAGAAATTCTATAAACTATGTAATGACAGGTAGGCTTACTGTACACTGAATGAATGCATAAACAAATGGAAAAACTATTTATCCACACCTAATAAAAGTTTGAGCAAAAAATTCTCCCGTAAAAATAAAAAAATACAAAATAACAAATTGACTAAATTGGACTGATTATAAAACAACAATAAGGCACCGTGGAATTATTTCATCTCAGAAATGCGCAAATTATGCTCATTTAAAATGCAAACCTAGTACTTAAAAAAAATTTCTCAAAAGAGATTGTGCAAAAGTTTGCTTGATTCCTCGTAGGCAATAAAGAGACACCCAGAAGCCACAGCGGTACGAATCAATGTCGGTAGTAAACCTTTGTAGAAACCCATAAAACCTAAAAATTCTAATTTTAGTTTGTTCTTGACTTTAAAAGTCTTACTATTAAGCATAAAAGTTTTTTTCAATTAAACAAAAAAGAATTACCTTGCTCCTTTAGGATCGTTTTAAACATATCGCCGAAATTGCCTCCGCCCTGTACTTGCATTCTGGATTTGATTACATCAGCCGGAAATATTGCCGCCCATAACGCCATCCCACCACAAGAACCTAAGCAAATACACAATTTTGTTATTTAAAAGATAAAATACCAGAAATTGCTGTTCTGAAAAGACCGATATCATCTTTCGTCTTCCCTTCCGGAGTTAATAAGAAGCGGCATAGTTCATATGCACCAAAAAAGCAAAAATACCCAGGAACCTAATGAAATAATTTTGAAAAAAGAGTTTTTCAAGAAAACTAACCTCTCTTGCCAAAGTTGGAGTCATGCCTATAAAAAAGCCACGGGGTCCTCTTTCCTGGAGCATATTACGACACACCGAAAATGGAGTAGACCGAACAGTCGGGTTTGTTTCACGAGCAGCCTATAAAATAGAAAATTTACAACAATTTCAACATAATGCTGAATACAATAGAGCTCAACGATTTGAAAAGCTAACCTGTAATCTACACTTGACCAACTCAGTGGGGCACAAAACGGTGGCTGCAAAAACAGCTGCAAATGAACCAGCGACAGCATTTTCAATAGGCGACATAAATTTAGAATCCTCGTGCCCGCAGAATGAGCCAACCAACTAAACGCCAATAAGTATTCGATACTATATGTGCATAAACATTCCATACCTTTTGACAGTATCCATAAGCGCAAAACAAAACGGCGTTCTCAGCAATGTTTGCAGCCAAGGCGGGAACAGTTCCTAAAGTTTATTTGCAATACCCAACATTTTAATCAAATAATTACTATTTGACAAAATAAATGATAGATTTACCTGCATAAAGTCCACGAACGCCATCAATTCGATAAGTATCTTTTAAACAAGTGACCCAATTCGCATACAGCTTCGGAAACGTTTGCACTTTCACTTTGACCGTATCAAGTGGTTGTCCCGCATAGACATTAGCAATGCCGCCTAAAGTCTAAATGTTAGCTTTTAAGACAAAACAAACAAACGAATAATCAAATCTAAGAGTTAAAGAGCAAAACAATACCCATTGTCCCAGCGAATAGGTCGATAAATCCATCTTTCAAGTGCGAGCCTCCGGATGATCCCGACTCGCTTCCACCCCCATGACCCATCTAGTGGGAATCTGAAAATAAAAATAAATTATTACACATATTTGAGCATTTATAAGCACAATTTGAACGTTTGACATTGAAGCATTTGCCCATCACGTCATAAAATAAAGAGTTTAGCGGGGTTACGGTCATTTGTGGGTGCATCCACGAAATAAAAACCGAGTGTGAGTAAATGTGTTTTTGTGCTATAGTTTTCGAGTGTTTTTGTGTTTTTGTGCTGCCGCGAATCTTGCTTTTAACAGCAGCACAGTCAAAATGACTTCGAATAACAGCGCTTTATGAAAAAAGAAATTACTAACTAAAGGTTTTAAGCATTTGTGTTAAGCTGTCCAGAAAGTCTTTTCGTTCCTCTTTTCGGCACGAAAAGACTTTGGTACTACGCCGGTTGGGGGGGGGGCAATTTTTTTCTTCAAAACCACTTTTTCTTGGGTATTTTTATGCGGATATTCCGAAAAACACAACGAGAGCTCGGGGAAAATGCGTTTTAAGTCGAGTTTTAGGGTTCCAAAATGCGCGCTCATACAGTGTGATGAGAGGGAAAGAGGTCTCTCAAAACATTTTTTGAAGCGAAAAACACTTCTTCTGGCATAATTTAACCTACTGATTATGTTTCTAAACCAATTGGAGGAAAATTAAGAAATTTTTTCAAACTTTCGACCATGTGGAATCCCCCACATGAGTCGAAATCTCGGTCAAAATCTACAAAAATATTTTTTCAATTCGTTTTGCCTCTACCAGACAATTTAAGTTAGAAAATGAACATTTAGTGGTTAAAAATGGTTTTGGCTCTAGTTTTGACCTTGAAAAGTGCTTCAATAGTCGATAGCTTCGGCTCCATATAGTCAGGTACACTATAGAAGCGACGCATTTTGGAGCCCCAAAACTCGGCTTAAAACACCTTTTCCCAAATTCTCGTTGTGTTTTCCGGAATCTACGCATGAAACTACCCCAGAAAAAGTGGTTTTGAAGCAAAAAAAGTGTTCCCCCTTTAACTTCATTAGTACCCAATAAAAATTTAGCCATTTATGCCATTTAGCAATATAGCCAATCGGGTATTATTGCAACGCTCAAAAATACATATAAAAAAAGATTTGTCTTGTTTTAAACTGGTAAAAACGCCTTACATCTAAAACCTTTGAAAAAGCGCTGTTAAAAAATGTGTAGTGTATAGAAGTTTGATTTTATTTGATTTTATTTTCATCCGATCGATGCGTGACAAAATTGGGCCCCTTTCGAGGGAAGAGTTGTTATTGAGTCGACCATAATATCTCTTTTCGGGAATGTTCGTTGCAGAGCTGCCTGTCATTGAATACTGATTTTCAATAAATTTCACCCCTTCCCCCTTTCATTTTTTTCTCCCCTTAATCCGTTGCTCAACTGAAATTTTGCGAAAATGTATATTCAATCATGGGTCTTAGCGGTAAGTGTACATTCCTATAGTACCAAACTCTTATCAGGCTTTATGTGTGATTGTCAGAACAGTGGACTCGGATTCAACCACTCATTCAACCACTACAAGTATCTATAATTTTTCCACAGATTTTGAGCTTTTAGCTTTGAGCTACAACATCGTCGACCACAAAAATTCCCCCGGTTGTGCGTGAGTAAAAATGAAATCATTTTCATCAAAGGAAAACCGTTAGATTGTGTGAGTGGGCCGGGAAACAAATGCTTTTTCATTGGGACAAATGATGAATGTGGTCGGTTTTTGAAAGAATCATTAGAAACTCGACGATTGTCTTACCGTAATACCCGAACGTCTGGTGTTCTTTAGCAGGTATTCGGTATTAATGACAGAAGAACTTTGTCATTAATAACAGTATCATCTAATAACAGTCATTAATAACCTTAGAAGTGCAAGATCGAGTTTAATATAAATCTATCAAATATGTATTTTTAAATGTGTTTAAATTTTTGTATTTTTATATTATTTGCTCAAAACTGTAACACACCTTGGCACATCAAATTTCACATATCCTTTCTCCAAAAATTTCTGTCGCCACGTCCGATCATCTTCACAAATTCGCTGCCACGTCCGCGAAACGCCAGCACAAACCATCAAATCGCACGGTGTCAAATAGCCGATGATGCGATAAGCAACCTAGAAATAAACAATTAATCCCACAAGCTTTGACAAAAGACAAACCTGGTCTGGTCTGGTCTGGCACACTCAACTGATCTTTTACCTAGACCCTTGTGCCAATGATCCTTGTGGGCCGGATCTTCGATGTTCTTTGAAACAAAATAGCTGTCAACCACAATGTTTTTGCAAGAAAAGGACCCAGCATTTCATTTTTGGCTCCTGCATGAGTAAGTCTTTTTAGCAGCAAAAAAAAAGCAAATTCCTTTATCAACTACAGGCATTTGCACTCCAAACCCGTGTAACGATCAAAAGTGTCAAGAGACTGGTAAATACGATAAATTTAAAGTTAGACTTTAAAGTTAGACTCTTTAGAAACACTTTCCGAAGGCTATCGATGCATTTGTGATGCTGATTGGGATGGGAAATTTTGTGAAAAATGTGTTTATGAAACTCAAAATATGAAAAATGAATTTCATACATTTAGGGAAAAATTATTGCTTAGAACCAAAGCCGACTAATTGCCCCAAAGGTCCTCATGATTGTCAGGTGTCAGTTAAAGGTACTTCAAATTAAATTCAAATTTTAGATGAAAGCCCCAGGAGATTATGAGTGTGAGTGTACAACGGGCTTTTTTCATAATCAAGCCAACAATAGCTGTGATAAAAGTGAGTGGAAATTTGGGGAATTGTTTTTAGAAAATTTCAGTTGGTCAACTGTTGGAAGTGAAGCTGAAATTCACCGGTGTCTACTATCACGAGTTGCTAAATAACATCTCATCTCCATATTTTCAAAATACAACTTTAGAAATCAATGAAACGGTTTGAAAAGCAATGCAACGGCCAATGCAATAACGAGATTTTAGTTAAGCGATATTTTCGGTGACGATTTGCTTGGATTAGCTTACAATAATTTTACGGAAGGATCACTGATTGCTAATTTCAATGTTTCCCTAAAGGTGCAAGGGTTTCCCGAAGATAATGTCAATAGATTTGAGGTCATTTTTGATTTTTGTTTATTTGATAGCTTTAATTGATAGACTAGACTGAAGCGATTGAAAGGTTTATCCAATTTACTCCATTTTCAGCGCTACATTGTCGATTGTCGGAGTCGTGACTGGAAAGAGAACGGCTCGCGTCTTTGCTTTCGCTCGCTCGGCGTGCCCTTCATTTTATTTGATGGCATTCACTCGAATGTGGGGTTTAAATTCAATTTTTTGTTCTTCTTGTTCTTTGTCTAAATGGTGACCTTTTCTAGGATTTGCGATGCTCTGGGATCTTTTGCCCGCCAAGAACACGGTGTATCCCGCTAGATAATGAGGTACTTTTTGAGGAGACTTAGCAAAAACGAATTTTCGAATTTTCGAGAGCAAAATGCAAAATAAAGTAAAATGAAAAGAGTTCTAGAGCTAAAGATCTAGGAAATTCTAGAGCTAAAGATCTAGCAAATTCTAGAGCTAAAGATCTAAGAAATTCTAGAGCTAAAGATCTAGAAAATTCTAGAGCCAAAGAGTGAGTTGTGTCTGCGAAAGGGGCTATAGAAGCATCGGAACAACGAGCGATCAATACGGCGACGTGATCGAGAAGTGCCAGGGTTTGAAAATAAAAAAGCCACAAGATAAAATCTTGATTGTGGATTGAAAGAAAAAAAAACAAATAGTTTCTTTCATTTACCGTAATCTTTCGTCTATTTTATCAAAAAATGGAAAAACTTGAATAGATATTGATGAATGCACTAGCAACGAGGGATCGCCTTGTCCCTTCGACGAGGTGTGCAAGAATCATGACGGTGGTTACAATTGTATCTCGACGCCGTGTGCCAAAAATCCATGCCCAGGTTATTTACTATCAAACCCATCAAACAATTGAACAAAAATAACCCATTTTTCTTTAAAAATTTGGATTTTTGAAGGAAAATTGAAAAAACAGCTTAAAATTTCATTTTTGAATGGTTAAATGCAAAAATCGGGTTGAAAATATGCAAATTTTTATTAAAGTATGTAAATTTATGCCTCCAAAAGATTTTCTGACTTTCTGGCTACAGGTCTGACTTCCAGGAAATGCTGTTTGTGTTTCGGATAGTGTCGGCTTTTACAAATGTGAATGCAGCTGGATCTATTCGGCAAGTGGTTGCACTTCGGGTTTGCTAAAGCTGCTCATAAATCTTATACTATAAAAAAAGTTTCAGCTTGGCCATTAGTCGTGCTCATTGTAGCCATTTTCCTTCTCATTTCCACCACCGTACTCATCATTTCTCTGATCTTGTGCTGGTTTCGCTCTCACAGAGGCACCACCTCTTTCCCCAGCTATCGATAGAGGAAAATTGATTCAATTGTTGTCCAATGTCCAATGTTGTCCAACAACAATCTCAATCTTCCAACAAAGAATAAACGTTAATAAAGTTTTCTCAAAAAAACGAACAATGGATCTCAACTTTCCGCCTCTTTCTCCATTCACTTGGAATGGAGAAAGAGGCGGAAAGAGAGAAGCATGCCTTTCCCGGACTCCAAAATTCTTTTCAAGTCAACCAAAAGCCGTATTTTGGTTTTTGAAAAAAGGAGGAGAAATGGAGGGGAGGATGAAGAGTGTCAGGCAAGGCAAAGAGGGTGAAAAGAGAGAGAGAGAGGCAATCGATGTGAGGGCCCCCACCGGGGGCTCTCCCCCTTCCCCTCTCTCCAACCATTCCCTCTAGAGGGCCTCTCTTTCCCCTTCAATCACCATTTTTCTCTTTTCCCACCTCTACCATTATCCTTTTTGTGGGGAATACCGGCAATTTGTGCTCTCACCGCTCATCTTTATCACATTTCTCAATTCTTTTCTTGTTTGAATACTTTTTGTCTCTTTTTATTGTTTTGAATGAAAGATTTCGATGCGTGCAACTAATTGCCGCTTTAAAAAAGATTCCCCAGAGGCTTAAATTGTATTTTAAGCGAAAACAAAACTGCTAGCAAAGTACAAGCCCTACCACAGCGTTTGATTCTGATTTCAATCATATGAAAACAACTTTATTTTATTACTCATTCAACTGTTTAGTTAAACATTTAGCTTTTTTTAAAAGCCTCCCTAAAAATAGCTCAAGTTTTGAAGCGATTAACGATTGAAACGATTGGGGAAAATAGAAACCATTGACTGAGTGAGTGGGTGGATTTTATGAAAAAAAAAGGGAATATGATGAATATGATGAATAAAAATGGAAATCCAGATCGCAATGTCACGGCTCAACGATCACAACAAATGATTGTCGATCCCTTTTCCACCCAGCCCTTTCAAACCAAATTCACCTCGTTATCCATCTTTTCGATCCCTTTAGTCTCGACTTCTAAAAAAAGTCACCATCAAAAACCCAATTAACTTTTCCATTCCATTTTTTCAAGCACTTTATTTTTGAACCCATCATTTTCAGAAGAGAAATCGGCTTTATGTTTAAAAAAAAAAACAAAACATTCATGTCAATTGCATTCGTTTAAAAAGTTGTAGCGAATTTGTGAGAATTAGAGAAATTAAAATTATATTGCGATCAAATCTAAAAACAAGCAAACAATTTTGAACTCATTTGACTCATTTGACTTTAAATTTCACTTGTTTAGTGACCAGGGAGTTCAGTCTTGTCTTGTCTTGTTTTTTTTCTTAAATATTGAATTGATTCGAAAACTAAAGCCTTATAAGCTCAGGGTTTTTAAGGTAAAATCTCAAAAAAAACATCAGCGATCAGTGAGAAAATTGGTACTTTATTTTAGAATAGAGAAAAGGAAGGGGAGAAAGGCTAAAAAAGGGGTGGAGAGTACCGCTAAGCGATTTTAGAAGGGATTTATAATGAGAGGGGAAAGACGGGAAAGAGGCGAAAGAGAAGCGAGTGAACCCGGGTCACAGTCACCACTCTTGATACCACAAAAACCCCCGGCGTGTGGCTCCAATTTGGGTTCTAGTGTTGAAAGTCAACTGGCACGTGTGCCCCTCCCTCCTCGACTCCAGCCTCTATCATTCTTATTTCTTCATCTTCAATCATGACCACACATTTTTTGAGACGTGCTCGCACTACAATACTTACATCCAGGTGCAAGTTTGGGTGATTAGAATATTTACGGTTTTTCGTTTTATAACAATAGCAATAGCAATAGCTTTTTATAGAAAATCTTTAAAGAATCTTTCCTATAGGATTTGTTTCTACTGTTTCTAATCTTACAGTAAGTAATTGAACATTAAAAATGTCTTCTTTTCAAAAAGAAACATTCCTTTCTGACGTAGTTAAAATGACTTGTGAAACCCGGGGCGAGAAAAGCTTTTTGTTTCGAGGCGAAAGTTGTGGGATCTTAGTCTCGAGTTGGTCTCTCGATCGGGAAATGGAAACGGAAAGGGGATGCTTCGTTTGACTCTGACTTTTGAGAAAAGAGGCTGAATGCAGGCCCACCCCCGGTGCAACTCACATCTAAAAAGAAAACTCATATAGTGACACCAGCTTATCGAGCACTGAGTAAACCTTGGCCACCGCGAAAACAGAAACCCCCAGACGGGGTGGCATCTTCGCGCAACAGATCGCCAAAGCTATTCAAACGATCTTTTCCCATGGGACATACCGTAGTCTCCGCTGTGCCCAGCTTGTAAGTCGTTAAAGATACTGTATATTCTTCTATAGTAAGTAAATGTTTAATCAGAAGATAGTTATTCCTATCCTAATTATCTTTTCTAATCTTTTCTAATTTCTAGGTAATCTGAAAGCTGTTTTATCAGCTCTAGCTTTACAATCATCTTTAATAAACAATCATCTATCATCTGTAGCTTTCAAAAAAGCATTCCTAGCTTTCAACAAACATTCCTCTCAAAGCCGAATCTTTAAAACCTTTCAAATCCAATTCTTTTTCAAAAATCAATATATTCATCAATAATTCTTTTCTGAATTCAGAGAGAGAAAAAAGTTTACTTAAGAAGTGTGAATCCGCTTGCTCGGTTCTAATCAGTTGGCAGAGAGAGAGTTTATCGGTGTCGGATTATCTTCCTTCACCATCACCCTTTTCCCCAAAAAAAAACCCCAGAAATTCTTCAATTTAGAAAATTTGATAGTTTTCAAAGTTTCTCGGCAAGCTGATAAATTCTTGAACTTAAAAGAGAGAAAAGCGATTAATACATTTACGTCAATTGCGGATTAAGTGGGGGAGTTTGCAAGGATTTTGCCCAATCTTGTTATTTAGGCAATTGTTCTCATGCTGTGGGAAATCCTTTTTTTTAAATTTGTGCTTTCAAGAGAAATGTGGCTTAAGAGGAAATCAAAAACATTTTTGAAATGATATTTGATCTTTAGCGTGCCCGAGCTAGAGGACGAGACGGCTCAGGCCGACAATTTGCGCGGAGGAGAGCTCGCCTCCGCGCTCTCCTCCTCATCACTTGAAAACGCCATCAATCGATCGAACGGTTTGTTTGAAAATGATAAGGAATCGATAAGGAAATCGATTCAAATCTCATCTGTTTATTAGCGCAAAATAGAAAAGGAAATACGGTAAAATGAAACCACTTTACTGGCACTTTTATGGATGTTCAGAAAAGGCGATTTTTGTCATTTTTGTCAGACAAAAATCCATTCTTGTCATGTTAAATGCTCATTTTCTACAGTTAACACAATCTAATAATACTTTAAGTTCAAAAGAATTGTAAGTAAGCAAAAATTTTCACTATCCAATAATAGAAAACTTTCAACTTTCTCATTTCATGCCAAAGAACGATTGATCGATGAAAAGTGAAAGAAAATGATGTTTTATTTCATTCTGATAAAGATTATCTTCAATTTGTAATCATTTTTTTCCCTCAACTCATTCCCTGATCTTCATCCCTTATAAAGTATTTTCATGAGTCGCCGTCAATCATTCGCTCTCATAAAGCAGAAAAGCGAGCGTTCAGAAACCGTTTTATACATACTCCACGAAAGATTGCCACAATTTCACTTGATTTTTATAGCTTTAAAAGTATCAGTATGAATGAAAGCACTTCCAGGTGGTTCCCCGTCATCTCCTTCTTCATCGGCTGAAGTAAATCTGGCGCCCGCTGATCCGAGATCCACCGAACCTTCGCGGAATCCCCGTGGACGGAGTCCGCTACTTAAGGTGGGTAAAGAAAAAATGAAATAATCTTTATTTAACTCGAGCCTAGTTATTTATTTAACTTTATTTAACTCAAGTCTAGTTATTGAGTTGATCTTGTTAAGCTATATTAAAGTGGATTTGAAAAAGATTCAGCTTTAAGCCTGTTCTTTAGAGCTTTGGCTTCAAGGCGCTGGATATGAAAATGCGCTGAGCTAAAGTGATTTTCAAAACCGAATACCAAGATAATCATCTATTGGGTTGGTGAATTGAAAACTGCGGGATTTAGAACTAAAATTTATTCAACATAAAACCATGAATTCATTCCAAATAATTTCCATTATTATTGACGACTTGTGCCCATTTTACAGGCAATTTGCGGATTCCTCTTTCGTGGTAGGATTTTGGTTTTTGTGTGAGACAAGTGTGAGACTCAAAAATCGAGGACTGAAGATGCCCCAGTTTGAGCACTTTCTTCAAAAGAAACCCATTTTGGTGTCAATAGAAAAGTTGTAGAGAATCAAAAATGAGGCTTATAGTCAAATTTCCAAAAAGATACACTTAGTAGTTTCGCTTAAAATGCAAGTTTTGTGAAAATTCGTAAATTTGGCATTGCTTGAAAAGCAGTTTTTGAATCGTTCTGACAATTTGGATATAAGCTTGATTTTTTATTCTCTACAACTTTTCCATTCACACCAAAATGGGTTTCTTTTGAAGAAAGTGCTCAAAATGTCACATATGACAATAGCCCGCAGTTCTCAATTCACCAATCCAATAGCTTTCATCAAGGTAAAGATCTAGTTTTAGTTGTAAAAAGTACAATGGTAAGCATCTTGCTTTACTAGAACTCAAAGGATATTTAATCTTGTTAACTAAATACTTTAGATATAGAGCTTTTATAGGACTTAAAGGAATTAGGACTTTTATAGGAATTAGATCAAGAGCTCTCTGAAGTGAGTCATTTCAAAAGTTACAAGGCTCAATCTTTCTAAACATATCCATATTTAACATTTTAATTCAAGTTCTATCTCTACAATGTTTTAGAAAACTTTGAAAACATGTAAAGATGACTTGACTCAAACAAACATCTGTGTTTTTTCTTCTTTAATTCCTTCACAGTCAGATGGTCAAGCTCGTGTTGCCCTTTCTCTTCCTCAGAAATTCTTGTATCACTTTTCTCTCAAAAACAAAAAACATAACTCTTTGTAATGATAAGATAAATAAGTTTTTACAATTTTCACCTCAAAAAAAAAAAGTTTTTCTTTTGTAGCGTCGATAAAAACCCCTCTCACGTCATTTGCCCGATTTTCAGCAGCGCGAAAAGTGACGAGGGGTTTTTTTTTTTTCGAATTTTCCCTCTAAAAAAACCCCCATTCACTTGTAACTTTGTGAAGATTTTTAAAGTAGATAAAGTGTGACAGGTTTTTGGTTTCTTTTTGAAATAAAACGATGAGTCACACACTCATTTCCTGTAATGATTCGCTTCGCGTTTTTCACAGCTACTGAAGCAATAGCTAATTAACAATTTTTTAGCAAAGCAATTGTGCCTAATTTCCCGCGTAAAGAAAAAACGTTGTACTCTTTTGAAGTTCTTTTTTAAAATTCTTTTTTAAGTTCTTTTTAAAATTCTTTTTTAAGATTTATTAAATTTCCGGATTTTTCGTTTGACAAGTTTAGAGATTTTTGGAATTTTGATCTTTATCTAAAGTTTTATAAGTTTTGATCTAACTTATGATCAACAACATGTACTTTAAGCAAAAGAAAATGTGAAACATTTGATAAACAGAACATCTCTGTTCGATTGTTGGAAAGGCTGACTCATCGCTCTTGAAATTCCCCATTTTAAAATAATAAACAAAAAGATTTTCTTTAAAATTCCTGAGAATTTTATTAACATAATCATGTTCGCAAGTTAAAGAAGAGAATGTAATACAGTAATGTAATAGAGTCAACTCTCTCTCTCTCTATAATGGAACTCGATATAGTGGAAAACTCTAGATAACGGAGCTCTATATAGTGGGAAACTCTAGATAACGGAACTCTATATAGTGGAAAACTCTAGCTAACGGAACTCTATATAGTGGAAAACGGTTCCAATACGGTTCCAATACAGTTCCAAAAGGGTCACTATTTTGATCTAATACGGTTCCAATACGGTTCCAATACGGGGTAACGTTATCCATTGGATAACGGAATGGAATTTTGACTCCCGGCCGATGCTAAGTTATATAAAACGGCACTCTATATAACGGAGACATTTTTTGGTCTCTTTCATTCCGTTATAGAGAGTCGACTGTAGTTTAATGGAGCTATTAAATTAGAACTATTTCCAACAATAATCTAGATCTATTAAACCAATTTTCAGCAAGAGTGAGCTTGATATCTGAACATTTCGAAGACAATCTACAGAATTGAGGATAAGCAACAATCTGTTGCTGAGAAAATGTCAAGAAAAGTGAAATTCAGCATGTGAACAAAGCGAAGACAACAATGGGTGACGAGGGAGTTCGTGAGGAACGCAACCAGCTCGCTCGTCAAGATGCATCCGTTTCGGCGATGATTCGGAGAAGTCCTCTCGGAAGGTTAGTGACAGGTTTATCATCTTTTCCTTCACAAGTCGAAGAAGTTCACTGATAAATTACATCTTATTGAACTGTTAAAAGTATTGGAAAATTCCAAGTTTTCTTTTACAGTCTGTACGCTAAAATTTTTCAGTAAAATGAAAGATTTCGTTTAGTTTTAAGAGATAAAAACTTGATCTAGGCATAGAAAATGAGTTCTGTGGTTTATTTTTAAATCAAATAGGCTAAGCTAAGCTGGCTAAGCTAAGCTGGTTAAGCTAAGCTGGTTAAGCTAAACTGGCTAAGCTAAGCTAGCTAAGCTTTCCAAACTGCACCCAAGTCAACGAATGATGAATGAAACGAACATTCGAACTTTTCCGAAGAATCAGTGACTGAAGAGAGAAATTCGAAGCTGGTAATAGGATGGGAAAAGGCGAGAGATTCCATGCGCGTATCTCTTTCGTTTTTTCTTTTTTGGCCAAAGGGGCGCTCCTCTCGTTTAATTACCTCGCAAGAGTGCTCGACGTGCAGTGGAAAGGCCCTGGGAGGGCACTGGCCGAGCCCTAGCCCCCCTCTTCCCTTTCCAATCCTCACACAACACACTTCGAGATGATACTTCTCATGGTCGTCTCTTTTACATAAAACTTCAATCTCCCATCATCCATATCTCTCCATTTTTTTTTGTATATGTCTCGCCTCGTTTCACAAACACAGCGCTTAGCGCCGGCCGTCACGGTTCATGATTGTGTTTTTCATCAATTCTCAACAATAGAGATTTACTCGACGTCTATTTTCCCCACTGACAATTCAACAATCCAACAAAAAATCCAACAAACTTTCTAAACGATTTTCTAAACGATAAAACTCTTTTTATATCATAAATTTTCTAGTTCTTTTCGTTGATTTAAAAAATTTTCTTTGCTTTCCTGACTTTCCTGGCCGGCTTTTCCCCATCGTACAATAGTATTCTGCAAAATCAATGTCAACAACGGAAATTTTTTTTGGTTTTGGTCAATGCTTGATTGTTATCCCAGGAACAGGTTTTGGTCGCTTATAAAACAAAATATTTTTTTTTGAAAACGCTTATAAAACAAAATCTTTTTGTTTTTGAAAGCGCTTATAAAACAAAATCTTTTTGTTTTTGAAAGCGCTTATAAAACAAAATCTTTTTGTTTTTGAAAACGTGATTAGTTGGTGGAGAGGTTGAAGACGTCACTCATTTCAGAAGATGAACAAAAATGAGAAGAAAAAGAAAAGCGGAAGAAAGGGTGCTGCCCATTTTGCGATTTCAATCTCACGCCGCCCTCTCGAGGGCTCATTTTTCGGCGCGTATTTGAAAGGGGCATGGGGAGGAGAGCATGCGAGGTGTGTGTGTGTGTGTGTGTGCCCCTCTTTCATTCAGCTCCCTTTTTCTTTCACCTAATGAACGTCGTGCTCTCCGATTTCGGGCACTCATGCCACTAAATATCAGTTGACACCAGTCTTCTTTTTTTTTCCCAATGCCCATATTCTTTGCTGATGAGAGCAAATCGATCATCGCCGTTGAGCCGTCCAACGTCGGCTCTTCGCTCCTCGTTACTGCAATTGCATGAGCTGAAAGAAGAGAGCTCGTGAGTTATCATTTGCAACATTGAATCATAACATTCAAAGGCAAGGTAAAGAAAAATGGCAAGGGAAAATGTTAGTTTTTTTTTTATTCAGCGTGAATCAGAGCCTAGCAATTATTCAGATAAAAGGTATAGAATTTTGGAAAAGTTCGACGGGTTTTGGTAAAGATGAGTTAGCGAATGGGGAAAAGAGATCAAAATGAGAAGAATTTTTATTTTAAAATCTATTTCTATGATCTATTTTACGTCTAAAAGGATTTTCTTTAATTGAATGGATTGAATGGATTGAATGGATATGATATTGAAAGCGGGGGTGGATAGGAGGTGTCCTAGCCGTCAAACTTTTCCACAACAAACAAACAAACACTCAGCTCTCGTTTTCTCAATATAAATTCTTTCTTTAAGAAACAATGTATCAAAATCAGTTTCACATTCTTGCCTTTTCACTAATTCAAAAAGCCTACAATGAATTATATTCTTACAAGTATTATTAGACAAGTATTAGGATTATTTTGGAGCCTAGTTAGTTTTCGAGCCTTTTCAAACCCTTTCAAACCTTTTTAAACCTTTCAAACCCTTTCAAACCTTTTCAAACCCTTTCAAACCCTTTCAAACACTTTTTATCAGAAAAAAAGACTCAAAGGATTAACGAAAATTTGGGTTTTTCTTGTTAAGAGAGAAGAGGAGATGCAAATAGGGCTACTTGTTGAAAAAGAGGCGTCAGAGGGTCCTCTCGGCCTCAGCCATGGGTCCCTCTTTGAATTATGCACGAGAACTTTCTCTCAATCGCAAAAAAAGCCACTTCTCATCCTTTTCCCTAGTTCTCAGCATTTATCTGATTGTTTGAAAATCATTTTATCTTGCTGTAAGCTTCTTTTCCATCCCCAGACAAATAGTCAAGCGAAATTCATCATTTAATAGTAATTTAAATTTAAATTTAATAGTTTTTCATGTTCTTCTTCTTTCCACAGACAGAATCAAGCGAAATTCTTTTTTTAATTCATTTTTCAATAATAAGTTGAGAGTGAGAGGAAGGGATAGAGATCTGATGTTCACGAAGAGGTGGTAAAAAATTCGAGTCGAGTGGGCTTGACATTTTCTCTTTTTTTTTCAATAGGCAGGTGCTAGATTGGGTGGAGACAGCCGGGAGCTATAGATTAATTCGTAAAACCTTCACTCGACAATTCTTTCATTCAGTTAGAGCTATTTTTATTTTGATTCACAATGGCCTCATCCTCTTCCACATCCGAGAATAAACTGCTACGATTGCAAGAACAAAGTAAACTCTCGCGCCTTGCTGTCATCATTAAAGCCACTGATTTCTCGAAGCTTTCAGAAGAAAGCAGGTGGTCTTTATTATGACTTTTTTGAAGAAATTCTCTGATTGTTTTTGTTGAAAAAAAGAGATAATGATTGGTTGTCGAGATTTGGAGAGAAAGATTGATCGAGATTTCGAGCTAACCGTATTGGAACAGTTTTGGAACCGTATCGGAACCGTATTAGATCAAAATAGGAACCGTATTAGATCAAAATAGGAACCGTAGTGGAACCGTATTGGAACCGTATCGGAACCGTATTAGATCAAACTAGGAACCGTATTGGAACCGTATTAGAGTCATAAGCAGAGTCATAAGCAGAGTTGTAAGCAGCGTCATAAGCAGAGTCATAAGCAGAGTCATCAGCAGAGTTGTAAGCAGCTTGTAAGGTCATTCAGTTTTCAGTTTCTTCTATCTAGATCTAGAATTCTCAAAAAACAATCTCTAGTAGATTATTAAGAAGCAATCATTTAACTAATAGGCTTTCTTTTTGAGAAGAAACATTTCTACTAAATTGTCGAGCGCTAAGGCATATAGAAAACAAAGCTTTGAAGAATCGTCTCGCAAAATCTGATGGGAATTGCCTGGCAACGCTTTTGGATGAATACCAGTTTGTGACTTGTGTTTCGAACTTCCCATCCAATTTCTCTTGGGAGAAGACCCAGCTGATTACCCCTCCTTTCTTCTTCACTTCACTTTTCACTCACTTTTCTCATCGTCTTTCTCCTTTCTGATTTGTCTATGGCTTTTTGTTGCACATAGTTTATGACAGAAAATCTCTCGATTGATCTCTTGCCTATTTTTTTTTGAATCTCTTGAATCTTTGGATCTCTTGAATCTTTGAATCTCTTGAATCTTTGGATCTTTTGAATCTTTGGATCTCTTGAATCTTTGGATCTCTTGAATCTTTGGATCTCTTGAATCTTTGAATCTCTTGAATCTTTGAATCTCTTGAATCTTTGGATCTCTTGAATCTTTGGATCTCTTGAATCTTTGGATCTTTTGAATTTTTGAATCTCTTGAATCTTTGGATCTCTTGAATCTTTGGATCTCTTGCCTATAACATTTTGATTCAACAAGTCAGTCTTACGGTTTTCAAGATGTTTCCAAAAGTTTTTAAAAATCAAAATCAAAACCTTTTTGACATTCTGTTTTTGGGAGAAAAGTGTAGGCGGTGAATTTGATTTTCAAATTGTTGATTCACCACTAAAACAAACCGACAATGAGATTAGAATTGATTATTGAAAAAAAGCGATTTTCAATATTTATGGAGACTAATAGACTAACGAAGTTTAGAGCTTATTTTGTACAAAATTTAATGCAGAAAATGAAACATCAATTTATCAATATGCCACCAACTTGAAGTTACTTTTTTTTTCAAAATGATTGCCTTTTGCTGTCTAGAAATGTCTGTGGAATGTCGGTTATTGTGGCAAGGATAAGTTGAGTTTATCACAAATGTTTTTGTTTTTATTTTTCTTGAAAGAACTAAAGACTAAAGAACTAAAGTCGAAATTTGTTTTCTAACATTTTAAAAGTCGTTGAGATATGAAAACTTTTGAAATAGTGAAGATTTTCTTATCAACGTGAAGATCTTATCAACGTGAAGATTGAAGTGAAGTTAGTGAAGTTGAATAATGAATATTTTCTTATCTTAAGAACAACTGGGATTGTTTTGGGTGAAATTTGGGAATCATTTTCCGATTTTTTTGAATCTAAAATCTAGTAAACTATAAAAATAATCGAGAAAATCGAGAAAATCGAGAAAATCGAGTTTTTTTCTAATTGCTTTCATGACAATTCTTTTCATAAATCAATTTTTAAAAGCAATAAACGAGCCTTAAAAGCTTAAAACCTTAAAAGTCTCCATAAATATTGAAAAAACATTGTATAAACATTTACTTTTTATTGTCTTCTTTTTATATTACATTACATTTGATTTGATTTCATTGAGAAATGAAAAAGAACAGATCCACTTGCAGTGGTTGATGTGAGAGAAGGGATGACCCCCTCTTCAAACTCATCCCAATCGGGCGAACCGAGTGGCACGGCTTCCACTCTTCCACCATCAACCAATGGTTTCCTCGGCGATCCGCTGAAGAATGATAGCCCGGGAATTCTCAAGAATCGAAACACCTCCAATGAGTCGCCTCTACAAAATGGGATCCCGAAAAACACGGATTCGCCTAGATCCAACAATTCGACACCAGGCTCTGGGCAAAGAGTGAGAATCTCGGACTCAATCTCGCAGATTCCACCTCGACGACGTTTTGATGACGACAATTTGATCTTTGACTTCTCATTGGTCCCTTTTGGGACTAAAGAACCGATTCTTGAAGAAGTCGAAACATCGGAAGTGTCTCAAAGTGTTGCTTCATCGCTAGTGATACCAAAATCGAAGTCAATCGAGCCGATTATAACCCCAAATTCGAAGAACATTCACAATTTATATATACGGTAGAGAAATTCAATGAAAAATAGTTTTAGAAACTGATGTAGGAGATTGAATTTCTTTTGAGATTTATTTTAGGACAAAATTTTAGGACCGACGATTTGTGGCTTGATTTGGATGAGGAAGATCTCGATTGTTTCGCCGATAATGCGTCCCCGATTTCGCCGACTAGCATAATAAAGGTTTATTATCGAAAATAACTAAAGATATACAATATAGAATGTATAAAAAAGAGCTCAACACATTAAATATTATTAATTTCCCCGATTTCGCCGACTAGCATAATAAAGGTTTATTATTGAAAATAACTAAAGATATACAATATAGAATCTATAAAAAAAAAAGCTATAGATTAATTCGTAAAACCTTCACTCGACAATTCTTTCATTCAGTTAGAGCTATTTTGATTTTGATTTATTTTGATTTTGGCCTCATCCTCTTCCACATTAATTTGAAATATTCAAAGCTTTTTTTTTCAGCCAGCAATCGCCTTGGCTCCACCACCAAAAAGTGCTCCACCATGTCCATCATCAGCGGTTCAAGTAAGCTATTGAAGAGATTTAAAAGTTAACACTTTCTTATCGAAACTAGAACTTTAGAATAAACTAGAACTTTAGAAGAAACTAGAATAAAACTAGAATAAACAAAGTTACAGGTGATTCAAGTTGGTGGAAAGCAAATTGCGAATGGACAAATGACACCGGTGTCGATGAGCAATGGAGGAACGCCAACAATTCTCAGGTTTCTCTTGTTTTTCTCAAGAAATGCTATTTAGCTGAAAAGTTAATAGAAATAGTCAATATATATAAAAATAACAAATTTTAGAGATGATTTGTTGAGACCGACCGATTTGGAAGCGATGCGACGCCAGGTGCATCATTCAGTTGATCAGGCGGTGGGCAGAGCAAGCATGCATAAAAAGGCACTCCCAATTGCTGTTTTTTACTAATGCCCACACTTCTGACTCTCTTTCTTCCTCGTGTTTCCTATTTCCTCTCGGGATGAAAAGGCGCCGATAGCTCAGTGGTAGAACATCTCTCCGGTAGGCGAAAGGTCTCCCGGTAGGGTCGAGGGTTCGATTATCCCTCCGGTCGAGATTCTTTGCCTTCATTTTTCTTTGCTATTCTTGAGCAATACGATTTCTAAAAGACATCTTTTGTAAAAAGATACCTTATACCAGTTTTGATTCGAGATCAGTTTCTCATTCTAGGTTTTCAAAGGTATCATTCGATCTTGGGATCAAAAAGCTCAGTCGATGATACCAAAATTGGTTTGATTAAATGAAAACTGGTAAAACTGATTATGATAGTTTTCGAAAAAGATGTCTTTTTTGAAAACGCATGAATCGACACACTCCTTTCGTTGTTGCCATTGTATTTAAAAGCAAATCTGTTTCTGTAAAACTGTTTTCAAATCAATGTTTCTTTTTTTCTCAAAGCTTTCTCAAAAGCCCGAAATTTAAACCCTAATGGAGTGTTTTTTTTGCATGGAAGCATTACCCTGAAGCTGATCAAATCCTAAATGGAAAGGTTTATCGAAAAATTAGGTAGTCGCAAATGGTGAGGCTCGTCTCCAGCAATCACTCTCGACTCCATGTCAAAATGATGGCTTGCAAAGCCCGCGAAAAGATGCCGAATATCGGCGCTTCAAAGTTTGTGAGAGGAGAGATCGTTACTGTACAATAATATTCACACAAAAAGCTTCTTTACCACTTCTCAAAACTTCTCAAAACTAATGTAGATACAGTATTTTAGCTATATAATACGCAATTATTTAAACTTGAACAAAGTTTTGTAGACAGAACATAGTGGAAATAGTGGAGATTCTAAATATCTAATATATATCTAAAAATGAAAACATTTCCAGTCCGAGGGCAGTGCTGGAGGGCCATTGCATCCAAGTGGAGGCCCAGAAATGGATGTGCCGTTGACCGATGATCTATCACCGATCGCCGATCCAAGAAGTTCACCACCACATCGTCTCAATCTTTTTCAAGTATGTTTGAATCATTTAGTTCGATGGGAAGTTGTAATTGTTGAGAAATTTTTGTGATTTTGGGAGTTTTAATGATTTTAGCAGTGGCCACAAGTTGAACGTTTCTTTCCGAACACTGATTTGAGAAAGAGCATTTTTTTTGAGGGAAAATATGAGTTAAAAGAGTGTGAAGCCAGTCTAATTAGGGTGACACGAGTCAAAAATACGGTAAATCCCCGAATTACGAGGTCGACTCGTGCGTCAATTCACCCAACCAATCGCATATTGAGTTTCGTTTTTTTGTTTGATCCCGACAGACTGATTGATTAGCTTTCCTTCGTTATTCATTATATTCCATTATATTCCATTATATTTCATTAGATTTGAATAGCTTCTATTGAATAGATTTGAATTTGAATTTGAATTTGAATTTGAATTTGAATTTGAATCTTATTCAATTTGAATTTGAATCTTATTCAATTTGAATTTGAATCTTATTCAATTTGAATTTGAATCTTATTCTATTTCAATTTCAATCTTATTCAATTTAAATTTCAATCTTATTCAATTTGAATTTGAATCTTATTCTATTTCAATTTCAATCTTATTCTATTTAAATTTGAATCTTATTCAATTTAAATTTCAATCTTATTCAATTTGAATTTGAATCTTATTCTATTTCAATTTCAATCTTATTCAATTTAAATTTCAATCTTATTCAATTTGAATTTGAATCTTATTCTATTTCAATTTCAATCTTATTCTATTTAAATTTGAATCTTATTCAATTTAAATTTCAATCTTATTCAATTTAAATTTCAATCTTATTCAATTTGAATTTGAATCTTATTCTATTTCAATTTCAATCTTATTCTATTTAAATTTGAATCTTATTCAATTTAAATTTCAATCTTATTCAATTTAAATTTCAATCTTATTCTATTTCAATTTCAATCTTATTCAATTTGAATTTGAATCTTATTCTATTTCAATTTGAATCTTATTCTATTTCAATTTGAATCTTATTCTATTTCAATTTGAATCTTATTCTATTTCAATTTGAATCTTATTCTATTGAAATTCAACGTCGATCATAAGGGATTTTTTTTTTGCAAAATGGCCGCTGACATTTCCATTCACAAAATTATCGAACCGGTAGGCTAAAAAAGGATTTAGATTTAAAGAAAAAGATTACTTTAAAGTAGATATAAATGTTAAATCAGTTTCTTAAATCAAAGCTTTAAATCTATTCATTTTCAGCAAGACTCGGTGGTGAATGGACCGCTTACAAAGCACTCACACACTGAACAGGTTTCGATAATCGTAATAAATAAGCAAATTCCAAGCCAAACCTAATTCCGTCTTCGTTTTCTCAGCCATCCCTTCGACGATCACTCAGAAAATCCCAATTTCTATTTGTAAGCAAAATTTAGAAGACCCAGCTAAAAGACAATTGAAAAAATGAAGGTGGAACTAGGTTTGGTTTGACTTGACTTGCCAAGTCTTGACTTAGCACTGACTTGACTTCACGAATTTTCTTATATCTAACCCATTGATATAAACAAAAATCTAGGTAATGATGATGCACACGTTGAAGACAAAACTCAGCAAATATCAATCCTTTATCGATAAAGCTTTTCAATTGATCGCTCAAAACACAGAGGATCAAATTATTGAGGTAAAAGAAAAAAAAAGAATGATAATGTGAAAAAGCTTTCTTTTAGGGTTGCAACATTGTCGCTAAAGTGATGATCAAAGCTTGGACTTTTCCAAAGGTTTTTTAATAGATTTTTTTTTCTTGAAAAATGACTTTGAAATTTAGGTGTCTCACGATTTGTCGTATGCTCTTTGTGACTATTTGAGAGATCAAAAATATTTCGAGATTCTGCTTCAATTTTTCATCAATCCGACCACATCGGAGACTGGTAATGGCTTGATTTTTTTTAGGTTTTAGTTCTTGTTTGTTAGTTTAAACTTTTTGAAAGTCAAGCTACAACTTTCATTGCAGATATTTGATATAAACTTACACAAGTTTGTTCAGTTCGTTTGACGTGCGGACGTGTTCTTGAAGAGTGCATGTCAACCAACAACAGAGACTATATTGTGACAAAAAGTGAGCTTTTTTTTTGATTGTAATCAATAATGTAAATGAGTTGTAAATGAGTAATAGAAAAGGTATAAAAAGGAAATGGTAAATGTACAATGAAAATGTACAAATGGTAAATGTACAATGAAAATGTACAAATGGTAAATGTACAATGAAAATGTACAAATGGTAAATGTACAATGAAAATGTACAAATGGTAAATGTACAAATGGTAAATGTACAAATGAAAATGTACAAATGGAAATGCACAAATGGAAATGTACAAATGGAAATGGTAAATGATTTAGATTTGTTGAAAAAATTGGTGAGTACCGCCGAGAAGCTCAACAAAAACCCCGATCAACAACGGATCAGTCTAAGCATTATGGAAAGCCTCTTCAAGCACAGCACTCAAACGTCTTACAGGTACATTTGCATTCGTAGAACTAAACTCTAAACATCTAATATACTAAAAAAAAGTTTAGATTGATCGAATACGGCGTACTAGATCATATCATTTTAACGTGCAAGCGCTCGACGGATACCCCAAGAACATTGAGGTTTATTTAAAACTTCATTAAACTAGTTTATTTAGAACTTTGTTAAATAGGTTTATTTAAAACTTTATTAAATAAGTTTATTTAGAACTTTATTAAACAGGTTTATTTAAAAATTTATTAAACATGTTTATTTAAAACTTTACTAAATAGGCTTATTTAAAACTTTATTAGACAAATTTATTTAAAACTTTATCAAACTAGTTTATTTAAAACTTGATTAAACTTATTTAGCATATTCTCATCTAAATATTAAATGCTATAAATTATAAAGAATATCTATAAATCTAAAGATAGTTTTCTATATATTTATATACTGGTCAACTTTTTTATGACTTTTTTCTTTAGACACGCAGCTTTGGCTTTAGCGAACCTTGCACTTTACAGTTGCTCTGAAGGAAAGAAGAAAATCATGCAGAAAAAGGTACATATAAAAAAAAGGATATTCAGCTAATTAAGTGAATTTATGATCTTCTTTTCAGGTACCCGAATGGCTGTTTCTTTTAGCTTCACAACCAGATGATCTCACAAGATATTATGCTTGTTTAGCGATTTGTGTCTTTGGAAGCTCAAAGGTTTAATAAAAATCTATTACTTTGATAAATAACTTTTTGAATATTTACATTATTCAGGAAATGGAAACGGCTGTGAACAAATCGGGAACTCTGGGTCTTGTCGAGCCATTCCTTCTCTCGCATAGTGCCACTCAATTCGCCGGTGATCACTACAAGTACAGTCAAGGACGTCCGAAAGAATGGCTTGTCAGGTGGGGAAAGCTATTCAAAGAAAAATACATTTATTCACACAATACAAAAGCACAACTGTTAAGCCCTAAAAAAGTTCATATATATATATGAGAAAAAGAGCTAATAATCTAGCAGGATTGACTTGATTGAACCATTGACTTGATTGAACCATTAACTTGATTGAACCATTGACTTTCGACTAGAGTACAGAGCTTTTAACCAGTCATCCATGGAGACAATCGGTCCCTGAAACCTTGAAATCTTTATATAAAAATAAATGGATTTGTCTTTTTGACATTTTAGACAAAAATGAATGTGATCAATGCTTTGACTATTCCGAAGTATTCTTCTTGAAGAGAATACACAAATTCCAATCATTTTAATCATTTTAATCATTCCAATCATTCCAATCATTTCTCCGGTGTTAAGAAATTGAGTCAAATCGAAGAAATTGAGCAAAAGCATTGTTTTCTTGAAAAAAAGTTTCGTATAAGTCAATTTAGTGATAAATTGACATTGAGTCATGCTTGTTTGGCTCAGAAAACAAAACAATTGCGAGTAAGTCAACAATCAAAAGGTTATGACGTAAAAAAGTTATCTGAATAAAGAAAAGAGTAGAAAATGATCTATAAAGAATGATCTATAAGGAAAACGGAGAACGGGAAACGGGAAATGGTAAACGGTAAACGGAAAACAGAAAACAAAAAAAGGAAAACGAAAAACGATAAACGGTAAACGGTAAACGGAAAACGGAAAACGGAAAACGGTAAACGGTAAACGGAAAACAGAAAACAGAAAACGGAAAACGGAAAACGGAAAACGGTAAACGGTAAACGGTAAACGGAAAACAGAAAACGGAAAATAAAAAACGGAAAACGGTAAACGGAAAACGGTAAACGGTAAACGGTAAACGGTAAACGGAAAACAGAAAACGGAAAACAGAAAACGGAAAACAAAAAACGGAAAACGGAAAACGATAAACGGTAAACGGAAAGCTTTAGATTGTTGCCGTTATTGCAATTCAAAATCAATCAATGTCGAGAAGCTCGATCAATGGCTGCTTTTCATCTCACAATGGAGGCGACGATCAAGAAAGATCAGAATAAACTCGACGTTTTTCAGGTTTGGCTAGATACAAGAGAAATCTTTTATCCAACTACAGAATACCAAAAATTAAGCCGAAAAGATATTACAGGCTTTACAGTTTTCTGTCATACAATAGTGTAAAACAAAACTCGTTTACATGTTCGTTTTCTCTGTCAAAGATCAAGTTAAAGCTATTTTTAACTTCTAAAAACTTGTTCTTTAACTAAAAACTTCTTTCTTATTTCTTTTATTTTCATTTCAAGTTCGACTAGCATCAATAAATCTTCAAATTCTCTAATAATCTAATAGTTCAATATGTACAAATTAAAAAATTCCCTCCATATCAAAGACTCCTCAATTTTTCTAGATTCTGTTCTCTTTTTGAGGGCGCAAAATTTTGTGTAAAAAAAAAAAACGAGAGATAATAAAAGTCGAGAAAATCGTCTCAGCTTATTTTAATTTGTTTATTTTAGACTCTTTGATATTAGGGTGGGGTGAATGGGGGAAATGAGTGGGGGAAAAGTGATCAACTTCTCCTTATCTCCGAAACTTCTCCCCAGATTTTCCCAGGACTCATCAAAACGTGAGCGATTGAAACCTTTGACGGGAAATCACTTGTTGAAAAGTTTCTTTTTTTTTTTTCCAGGAAATCAAGATAATATTTAAAAGCACAGCGTTCGACAGTTGAGAAAATTTTGAGAAAACAAAATGTATAAAAAGGGTAAAGGTTATTTCGAAAATTTTCATTTCATCTGCAAAGCCCATCAGAAATCGCGAAAAGTAACCAAATAGGAACTATAAAGGAACTAATTTGAGGAGAAATGTCAATGTCAAATTTGAAGATTCGGAACGGCATAGAGCGAAGGGGGTTATGTGAAAGCCCGGCGCCAGACGACGAGCGATTACGCACAAAGAACACACAGAACACACAAATTTTAAGGGGAACTACTAAGTGTATCTTTTTGGAAATTTGGATATAAGCTTAATTTTTGATAGGAACTATAAAGTAGCCAAATAGGAACTATAAAGGAACTATATAAGAACTAAATAAGAGCTATACAGTAACCAAATAGGAACTAAATAGCAACTATACAGTAACCAAATAGGGCATTCTAGACAAAACTTAAGGTAATTTCGGCATTGTTACTTTTCCCAATGAATCCTTAGCTAACTCCTGACCGTTTTAAAACTGTTGCTAGGTGAGTTCATGTAACTTTTAGACAACTAGGCTACTGTAGCTCGTTGAAATTGAGCTCCTCTAGATTTGCTCCCAAAAGAGCACTGTTTACATAACTGTATCGGAAATCTGTGACTTAGAGGCACATTCAAAGTGAGCTAAGTGCTGGAATTAGCATTGCACCTGTCGCTTGCTGCCAGAGAGAGTGGTATCCTCAAATGTCTGACTTCGAATACCAAAGCATTCAGTGTCTTTGCCTCCGTTTGAGGTCAAGAATTATGAAATATGTGGTACGGTACTGGGGTCATAATTGGCACCTCTTGGGTCTTGGTCTTGAGCAAATCTCCCCTCTCGATTATCGCCGCCCTTTGAGGTAGGCTCGTTCGAATTTGGCGCCAAACGGCTACCCTTTGGCTTTGGCTCAATACTTGAGCAGATTTCCGCACAGATATTTCATCATATGTTGCATAGAATATTGGGTTACTTGGAAATCTGGGTCAAAGAGGTTCGAGCTTTCGCTAACTGTTGGAATGTTCCTGTTGGAATGTTCAAATTTGAAAACCTTTTGCGCTAAGCGAAAGCTTTCAGCTTTTAGGTGATCGAGATGGTTTATAATAAGAGATCTAAAGTTACTGCACCTATTATGGGCCACCCTGCAGTCAGAGCTTCCAATTTCTTGTGATGAATCATCACTAGAACTATCTACCCATGTTTGCATATGCTTTTTTTTCCTTTTAGATTTATAGCCTAAAGATCTCTTAAGCGTTAGCGGTTACACAAATATGCAAATATCGAATTGGGGTCGATGAGTCATAGAGAGGATTTTTGGGGGGTTGATTGAATGATTGACAGGTGAATGAGTCACTTAACAAAAGGGATAAGCATAGGATAGTTTTGCCAAAATGTAACAATGCCTAGAAAACTGGATTTTCAATGACGTGATGGTTTTAGAGTGAAAGTAAAGTAAAGTAAAGTAAAGTAAAGTAAAGTAAAGTTACTTCTCTCTGCCAGATAGGTTCAACGAAAAAGATTGGGTAGAAAATTGAGGGTTTTTTTTGACGCAAAGTGATGAGTGCCAATGTTGGCTGATCGCCAGAATCATCACCGGTCAATAGGTTATGAGTATAAGAAGAGTCTTTTCCTTTCTCGTTGACTGGTACCATCAATGTGCTGATGCAATGGTGACCCCGCGAGTACTTGCCGCACACTTGGGTCACCCGTGCCCACCGTACTTGTATCCCCGTTTCCTTTACTTGTTCACACAGGAAATTGCTATTGCTATTGTAGCATAAACCAGTGTCGAGAAAAACTCGTTCAAACCTAGACTACACAACACTCCGCACCATCATTATGGGGGTGGGGTACTATTACAGTATTTACGGTAACTAACTATCATATCATATCATTTTCTTTTCCGTGCAAATGCCTCTCGTGCTTTTGCTCGAATGACGTAATAAGAGCACATGGTTGATCGGTGAGAGACCGACAGAGTTCAGTGGGGGTTTTTCCAATTAAACTTGACAATTACTGTACACGGTGAAAGCTGTTCCCGTTACAGAGGGATTCAATGTTCAATTTGTGCAAAACCAGTTAGCCAATGAACCAACCAGTGAACAGAATTCAAAACTATCTATTATAAACTATCTAAACTATCGATAGTGTTAAGAAGTTATATTCAAATCCATTCAAAAGCTTGAAAAATGCTCAAATAAGAATTATTATCTTTTTTCTTTGTTTATTATCTAACATTGTCTTATGAAAGTTCAAGCTTTTCCCAAAAAAAAAAACAATTTTATTCATTGAATTTCTTCAAGAATTTCTTTTCAACGTGCAATTTGAAATAATAAACATCAAAATTCCTTTAACTTTTCGTAAAAAAATGAAGTAAATAAGTAAAGTGCATTTATCTTTAAACAAAAAAAGAAAAAAAAAACAAAATATTTTGTCCTTTCTCTTTGCTGGTCTCTTTGCTGGACACTTGTTTGTCAATAAAGCAATAGTACAAAAAAAAAGTTGAACAAATGTACTTAATGTTTTAGATTTTTTAAATCGGAATCTAATTTAATAGAATCCAATTCTTTTTCTGTTCAAAGGACATAAAATATCCCCAATTTTTGATGACAAAAGACTCGGAAACAGGAGGAAACAGGAGGGCTAAAAAAAAGGAGTAAATAAGTAGTGGTAAAGACAAAAGATTAGAAAGTAAATGTTGAGTCATACGAGTGGGAAAAGCTCGGGAAGAAAGCTTTATTGAATGTTTATTCATTTTTCAAACAACTAAAAATACTCACTATTGAGTACAAAAATAAAACGAAAGGTCAAATGGTGACCGCAAAAAATTGCATAACTTTTTGTTGATTTCAGTTTTTTTTGCTTTTCAATTTTGCTAACCGAATTTTAAGCTTATCAGAAAGTTTTTTTCTTTATTGAATTTTAAAAGAAAAATCTATTCTTGCGTAAAAGAATAGCTTTGTTTTTCGGTGCTGAATTTGATGTTATGAAGCTTTTGAACATATTCAGCATAGCCGATGATATGCTACATATATTCAATTCTAAAAAGCTAATCTAAATCTAAAAGCTAATCTAGAACTTTTATTTTTCTTTTCTTTTGATTTTTCTAATAATCTTGATTTTATAGCTTTATAGTTTAGTGATTGATCACAAGTGTTTCAATTTTAAAATTTACGATCACTACCTATGATCTTTGATTCATTGCCTAGAAAGGAATCATTCCATTCCATTCCACTCTTTGCCTGACCCTCATCTTTTTCTCACATGAATCTTCTTGAGCGCAAATATTTTTAAAGAACACAACGAAATACAGGCTTTGACAAGAAAGCGGGACGTGTCGTAAACACATAAACAAGCTAAAAGAGTCAAAAGAAATGAAAGAGTCGTCTTTTTTGAGTCTAGACAGAACAAAAACAGTCCCTTTTCGTTTCCCTTTTCGATTCTTGAATGGATTTAAATTGAAACCCTTTCAAAATAACCTTTAACGATAAAACCTAAAACTTTTAACGATTTTGAGTTTTTTTTTTGTTTTTGTCTATATGGCATCACTCCCGGAATCGCACAAAATAATCCGATTAGGTGATAGTTTTAAAATGGTGGTCGTGCGTCATTGTTGAAGTGTTGAGGGTGGCGATGAGCTGATGAGCTGATTGATCTGATGAATTTGTCGCTTATCGAAAGATAGATTTTGATAGGAAATGAAATTCATTTTCTTTTCTCTTTAAAAGAACATCTTTCTCTTGGCTTTTCATCATAAAAATCTCAAATTTTAAATGAAAAAAAATAATATTTCCTTTATGAAAAAACAAGTATTTGAAATTAGCATTTGCATTTGCTGAATTAGCATTTGCTGAATTAGCATTTGCTGCATTTGCATTTGCTGCATTAGCATTTGCATTTGCTGAATTAGCATTTGCTGCATTAGCATTTGCTGCATTTGCATTTGCTGCATTTGCATTTGCTGCATTTGCATTTGCTACATTTGCATTTGCTGCATTAGCATTTGCATTTGCATTTGCTGCATTAGCATTTGCTGCATTAGCATTTGCTGCATTTGCATTTGCTACGTTAGCATTTGCTGCATTTGCATTTGCTACATTTGCATTTGCTGCATTAGCATTTGCTGCATTAGCATTTGCTGAATTAGCATTTGCTGCATTTGCATTTGCTACATTAGCATTTGCTGGATTTGCATTTGCTGGATTTGCATTTGCTGCATTTGCATTTGCAGCTGCATTTGCAAGATTAAGTGACGCTTTTTTCTTTTCAAAAATATTTACCCAATTTTTTTTGATTAATCGAATTGAAATGAATTTAGGCTACATTGCCATATTTTATTTTTTTCATTTTTTCAAATAAGAATCAAGTTGTCTTTCGTTAGACGAATAAAAATAAAAGACGTTAGACGAAAACGCTTCAGCTTCTTCCACTAACTTTATCCGTTCAAATAACTCCCCTCAAATTCACTGATAACCCGACTCAACCCCTAAAAACAACTCCGGATTATGTGAAATTATTTTAAAACTAAAACTAAGCATTTTCTTTCGAAAATCTTTCTCTTTCTTTCCATTAAACCAAATATTTTTCTTCAATTGCGTTTTTGAAAACAATTGTAAATTGTTGATTATTAGATTAAGATTTTATAATAAGTTATTCATGTTATAACAAGAGAATTGCACGTAAACACATGGTATTTTTTCCCATTGGCCTCATCCGCCCTTTTATGACCTTGATTCATGAAAACAATTGTAGATGGTTGCTTGTTAGATTGAGATTTTATAATAAGTTGTAGCTATAACTTGTTCATGTTATAACAAGAGAATTGCACGTAAACATATGGCATTTTTTTTCCCTATTGGCCTCATCCGCCCTTTTATGACCTTGATTTACGAAAATATTCTCAAGTTTGCCTTTGGGGGAAAATGAGAAGAAAGATCGGTAATAAGAAAGAGAAAAAAACGAAAAAGAGAAAAGAGAGAAAAGAGAAAAGAGAAAAGAGAAAGAGAAAAGAGAAAAGAGGTGACAAAGATCGGTGCACTCTCGGCTCCGCCCTTGTCTCCCCGATTGATGGGCGGAGTCTAAGTCTTCTGATTCTTCTCTCACTCTCCCCAAAATCATTTCGGCTTAACAAATCATTCCATCATTTCCATCATTTCCATCATTTCCATCACTCCCATCATGCAAGGCGATCAACGCTTTCTTGACGACACAAAACCCATTCAAAACTTTTGTCGAATCGATTTCGATTTACCCCAACATATGGAAGAAGATGTAGACGATTATAAATGTTTCTACAATCAGATTCCTATTGTGCAAACGCCTGCCGGTCTCACGCAAAGCCTCGATCTCAGTGAATCTCAATCTGAGTGGAATGACGATGACACTGGCTATTCAACTGATTCCACTGATCCAAAAACTGTCACCGCGCCAACGATGCTCAATATTCTGCCGCGTCCTGATTCTCTTGGCTTAGTGAAACTTGGGCCTAAACAAAAACGTGGAATCATTCCGAAACCGATCTATGTGAGCACTCCATCAGATATTCCTGGTACATCACGGATTCGTACTCCGCTAGCGGTGGCGGTGGCGAGCCCGGTTTTAAAGACGCCAATCGGCAAGGCTCTAGCCAGCACACCATTGCCACCAAAAACTCAATTGATTGCAAAACCGAATGCCATTTGCGCGCAACGATCTGTTGCTTTACTACGATTTAAACGTTCACGTACACGAAAATTTTTCCATCCATATGCTCAGGTGATTTCAAATTTCAGCTTTTAATTTTAAAAGTTTCTTATCTATCGATTTCTCTGCCTCATTTCTCTGTCATTTCTTTTGAGTTTCTGAGTTTCGTTAATCGAATTCTTATCTTCAATTATATTTTGGGGGTTTTTCGAAAAGATTGAGACAAAATGAGACCAATGATTCATCTAAATTTAAATGTTAATGTTTTTCTTAGGTTTTTCTTGAGAAAATTCGAAGATTTAAAGAGTTTTTGATTTGTTTTTGATTTGTTTTTGATTTGTTTTTGATTTTTTTTGAAGCACCTATCGAGAAAATAGTCATAAAACAGAAAAGAAAGATTCTCTGTGTGTAGCTGTGATCAGAGGAAATCACAATGTACAACACCAGACTTTCGCTTTTTCATCAAAATTTAAATATTAATGTGAGAGGTTTTTCTTGAGAAAATCTTGATTTAAAGAGTTTTTGATTTGCTTTTGATTTGTTTTTGAATCACACATCTCACACTTTTCGAAGCGCCTATCGAGAAAATAGTCATAAAACAGAAAGGAAAGATTCGCTGTGTGTAGCCGTGATCAGAAGAAATCACAATGTACAACACCGTTGAGACTTCTTTCCTTTTTGCCCCCTTGTCTTTCTTTTTCTTTTTCTTTCCCATCTTGCATCATCTGTAAACAAATTTTAGCCAAATCTAATCGCCGAATTTTCACCTCATTCTTTCTTTTATTTTAATGTCAATCAAAAAAAATGATTCACAAGACTTTTTCAAGAAAAAAGTCAGAAATTGAAACGAATTATTAACGAATTTAAGCTATAAAAACTATAGAAGTAACTATATCTAATTAACTAAGTAAGTAACTATAGAAGTAACTATAGAAGTAACTATAGAAGTAACTAATAGAAGTAACTATAGAAGTAACTATAGAAGTAACTATAGAAGTAACTTCTATAGAAACTCTAGAAGTAACTATAGAAACTATAGAAGTAATTATAGAAACTATAGAATCCAAATTTCAAATTCATCAAAGCTATTTGTTGATTTTCTTGAATAGTTTTCCAAATTGTTCTGCGAATAGTTTTCCTTTCTTCTTTGGCTAGATTTTCTTTGCTAAACAAGGAAAGTTTCGTTTCGTTGAACTGATGGATACGTGAGAGAAAAGGAAAAGATTTGAGAGAGAGAGAGAGATCGCTAGTCGATCTCTCTACGTCTATCAAATCTCAATCCAAAATCCAAAAGACTAAAATCTGTTTCCTGTGAAAATCACCAATTCGGTGAACGTTTGATTTTAAGCCTATCATCCATTAAACTCATAAAGAAAAAGAAATCCAGTCAGTTCTAATTTTTAGCCTTTTCTAGAGGGAAAGAAGTGTTTTGCGCAACAGGGGCCATCTGAGGACATGACCTGAAAAGAAGGGGATTTGGCCTTGAGCCAGAGATCTCTAGATCTAGAGCTTGTTTCCAGAAGTTTCTCTAGACTTGGACAATGACTAGAGCCAGTATAGGAACGGTAAAAGATGTAGATTCAATGAGTCAGAAAAGGAGTTTTGTTTACCAAAGTGATGCGCAAGCGAAGCTCTATAGAAAAAGGGGGACAGGCTATTTCGAAACAGCTCAAAGACTGGTTCCGGGGGAAAAGGAATCTAGAGGGAAAGATAAGAGGCGCCAAGGAGCTAGGAAAGCGACTCTAGAGTTGTGCAATCGGTGGTAATGCAAGGGGATTGCCGGAGGGATTCTTCCGATCCCGATAGGTGAGACAATTAGAGTCTTCTCTTGGCTGAGTCACCAAAGGTGTCAATGAAAAGTGAATGAGATGCGCGTCTTTTCTTTTCCTCTTTCTTTCATCAATTTGCGCGCGTCGACCTTTCTTTTTCTCTTCTCTTCTTTCATCAAATCGCTTTCTTGCGTAAATAAATAATTTTTGAGGGTAAAACTCATTTCCTGTCATTTATCAGTGTTAAAAATAGCTTTAAAAAAGAGTGAAAGAGTGCGAAAGTACAAAAAAGTCAAACAAATTTTTCAGGAGATCGGTGCAATTCAAGCGTTAAAAGAAGTGGCCTCATCTCCAGATGAAGTGGCGGCAAAGTTCGCTTCAGAGGCGCTGACAGTGATTGGCGAGGAGTTGCCTTACAAACTTGCTCAACAAGTCCCTTGTTGGACAACAGCTGATGTGCAATACTGGGTTCGAAAGGTAAGATCTCAATGATTAGCGATTTCAAACCATTTCCCAACCATACTAGTGGTGAGGTTTTTCTCTGGAATGTTTAGAGAAAACCAATTTACCAAATAGTTCTCATGACGAGATTTAAGTGATTCTAAAAAGGCATCTTAAAAGGCTGTTTTTTTTTTTCCTCTTTGTGAATCATTTTCACAATCTTTTTTTTTGCACAATATTGCATTGATCTAGGGATTTCTAGAGTATGGTTTCTAGGTTTCTAGAGTAACCATATTCAGAGAATATAGTTTAAAAAACTAAATAAAATATGTTTAGATTGGTTTCGAGCAATATGCTGATTTCTTTCGAGAGAATATGGTTGACGGGGATTTACTTTTACATTTGAGTGAAAGAGATCTCGAAATGGATTTGAAAATTCAATCAGGAATCCTCAGAAAACGCTTTATGAGAGAATTGGAAAGCTTAAAGGTATCATTTATCATATAGATTTTCAAAAAAAAAACTAAATTTTTAGATCGCTGCCGATTACAGCTCTGTTGATGACTCTCAACTTGATCAATTTTTAATGTCGCTCAGCCCTGAGCTTTCCGTTTACACCTATCAAGTAAGTAAAAGTTTTTCGGGTATTTGAAGATATTGAAATCTTTGCTTAAGATGCTTTCCTCTGGAATCAGTCGTCCATTGTTGCCGAATTTGACAGAGGAGATGATGCAAAATGCTTGTGGAATTACGAATCCAATTCATCGACTTAAACTCAAGAACGCTTTTCAAAGTGAGATTTAGAAAATTCTAACAAAGATTCTAATAAAGATTCTAATAAAGATTATAATAAAGATTCCTAATAAAGATTCTAATAAAGATTCTGATAAAGATTCTAATAAAGATGCTAATAAAGATGCTAATAAAGATGCTAATAAAGATTCTTGTTAAATGTAAAATTAAAAAAGCTTATAAATATCTTTAGATGCAAAACACATTGATGATATTGAAATCGCAATTCTTCGACAACAAATTGATGTGTTTATTTCATACCGTCGCAGCACTGGAAATCAATTAGCTTCTTTGATTAAAGTATTGCTTCAACTTCGTGGATATAAGGTTAGAAAAGAAAGATAAAGAAAGAAAGATAAAGAAAGAAAGATCAACAAAGATCAATAAAGATCAATAGAGAACAACAAAGATCAAGAAAGATCAACAAAATCAATTTCTAGGTGTTTATCGATGTTGATAAGCTATATGCTGGAAAATTCGACTCATCTTTACTGAAGAACATCCAAGCTGCAAAGCATTTCATCCTCGTTCTCACTCCACACTCTCTCGATCGTTTATTGAACGATCACAACTGTGAGGATTGGATTCACAAAGAAGTAAGCATTTAAAAAAAAGATTATCAGATCTAATTTTGGTTTTCAGCTTCGTTGTGCACTTGATCATCAAAAGAATATCATCCCAGTGTTCGATCAACACTTCGAGTTCCCGACAAATGACTCAGAGATTCCATCTGATATTCGAATGATTACAAAAGTTTGTAACAAGAATTTTAATGATAAAACATTGCATTCATTTTTGCATTCATTCAAAACTCATAATTTTCGAATTTTTTAGTACAATGGAGTTCGCTGGGTGCACGATTATCAAGAGGCTTGCATGGACAAAGTCGAAAAGTTCATCAAGGGCGAGCTCAATCGGCAACCATCTATCAATCAGGTAAATAAAAAACAGATTTCCCTATAAATTTATGTGATTACTAAGAAGATATCATTTGCCTATTGCTAGCTTATCGATTACCATATAATGGAAACATTTCAGCCACTCACCACCGCCACGACAACAGCGCGCAAGCCAACTCGCTGGAATAGTGGCGCGGTTCGTCAGCCGAGCACTGGCTCTCATCGCTCTCTTGCACGTCTTGACGCTCCCCCAACTCCTAGCTGTAAGTTTTCAAAAAATTATTGTAATTTTTCTTACAAAAAGCTCCCATAATGACGTAATAGAACCCCGTAAAATGTAATAATGGTATTGCCGCGTAGTCTAACTTTAAACACTCCATTCTTCACGTTCCTTTTTGCTACAATGTTCGTTTTTATATCAAACGATAGCGCTTTTATTCTAGTATTTTTTGATATCAAAAACATAGGGGTCAAAAATCCAGGGGGCTGAGAAAAACGACTTTGTAACTAGTAGACCGCGACTGTACGCGATTGTACGCGATTGTAAGTGATTGCAAGCGATTGTACAGGGATTCTATTAGAATAATTATCGTATATCAATATCTAAAGCCTGATCAATCCTACAGTATCAATTTTCAGTCGCTAATCTTGTATAGCATTTTAAATTTTAACTATTTTTCTAGCAGTAAGTCAAGCGCTTTCAAGTTTTTCGTTTCAATTTCTGAAAGGCTGTTGTAAAGATATAAGGAAAGATTTAAAAAAAAAAATCAAAACAAATCAAATTTTTAGTCGGAGGATCAATTGAAAAACAACGACGAAAGGCTTATCATACTTCTGTGAGTACAGTGAATGGGACTCATTAACGCCTTTCATCTTCCGCTCTCCATTTCCCCCCTCCAGACTCTACCAAGTGCCTTCACCATTTCTTTTTGATTTAAGTTAACTTCTCGTACTTCTCACAGCTCTTTTACATATAAAATTCTATATAAACTTTGTTATCAAACTGAGTTTTAAAGAGTCAAGAACCAATTTTTCGAAATTTTCGAAATTTTCTGGATTTCTTTTTCTTGCTATTCTTGGCATTCCGTCAGGTTCTGTTCACTTTATTCCGTTTTTATTTTATTTTTTTTTAATTTTCGTTTAAAATCTATACGGACCAATTCACCTCTTTGTTTGTAACGAAAAACTTGAATTTTTTTTACATGAGAAATCGCTCAATTTCTATCAAAAAAACTCCCCCGCCTGTGCATGAAAAGATTTCCGGTGATTTGTTTTATTAGATTTGTTTATTATATTTGTTTATTTGTTTTATTATATTTTTCTTTTTGCAAATTTCTACTTTTAGAATTTCAGAGTATAGATTTTAGAGTATTTTCCCCCATTGGCCTTCTTCTTTTGTTGTTGATTTTTCTGTACAAAAAATTGTCTTACTGTGAAACGTGAACGAATGAGTGAATAGAAGAGAAATGAGAAAGAAATAAGAAAGAAATGAGAAAGAAATGAGAAAGAAATAAGAAATAAGAAATGAGAAAAACGTTCACGCGTCTACCGTAACCCATTCGTCTACTTAACGACTGAGAAAATGAGACCACCGTACTCGTTTTTCGTCTCCTTTCATCGATCATTCCGAATCGCAAAGCTTTACCACTTAAACTTAAATAATATTTTCCTTTTTTTTGTAGCTTGTTTTTTTAAATATTTATCACCATTTGTTTTTCGTCTACGTTGGCTTTTTTTTTTGGTTTAAAATCCTCTTAAGCCACAAATTACTCATTTAACAAAGGCTTTACATACCGAACTGTGTTGTAATATTGAGACAGGTCACCTTTTTTTTTTATGCAAAACGATTTTCAACTATTATTTTTCTGAATTGCAAATCGTTTTGCTTGTTTTTCGTTTGATTTACATAGATTTTTATTGAGATAAGAGATTTTTCTGGTATTTTTTTTACTCCCTGACCGCTTTATCGATTTGCTTGAATGTTTAAAAAGAAAAAACTTTTCAAAAACTTTTCAAAAAAGATGAGATAAGCACAAAAAGATGAACAAAAAGATGAAAAAGATGAAAAAGATGAAGAAAAAAAAGATGAGATAAGCAAAAAGATGAGAAAAGCACAAAGAAAGGAACAGATAAAATGAACGTATAAATGAAAATTTATGAAAATTCGATAAAAGATCACAGAAGAATGGCAAAAACCGTGCGCTAGATCGATTGCGCTTTTGGGAACTCGAATTGTTAAGCATAAACAAGCTATAATCCAAAAACAAATCTATACCTAAGAAAATCTCAGCTCAAGATCGATTTAGATCCCTTACTTGACTCTAAAAATGGTTTTAACCAGAAATTTATCTTACTATCTTACTGCTAAAGCAATTCTGAAAACGAATTTAGATTCTTCATCAAAGTAGAGTGATACTTTGATGAAGAATCTATTGGGTTGGTGAATTGAAAACTGCGGGACTTTGAACTAAAATTTATTCAACATAAGGCCATAAATTGATTCCAAATAATTTCGATTATTATTGACGACTTCTGCCCATTTTACAGGCAATTTGCGGATTCCTCTTTCGTAGTAGGATCCTACCACGAACCTATCCCACGAACCTAACGATACCTGGTTTGTGTATGAGACAAGTGTGAGACTCAAAAATGGAGGACTGGAGATGTCCCAGTTTGAGCACTTTCTTCAAAAGAAACCCATTTTGGTGTCAATAGAAAAGTTGTAGAGAATCAAAAATGAGGCTTATAGCCAAATTTCCAAAAAGATACACTTAGTAGTTTCGCTTAAAATGCAAGTTTTGTGAAAATTCTCGTAAATTTGGCATTTCTTGAAAAGCAGTTTTTGAATCGTTCTGACAATTTGGATATAAGCTTGATTTTTTATTCTCTACAACTTTTCCATTGACACCAAAATGGATTTCTTTTGAAGAAAGTGCTCAAACTGTCACATGTGACAATAGCCCGCAGTTCTCAATTCACCAACCCAATAGTAGAGATGTAAATTAGAAAAACGCAACTTATCATTGAGAATTGCTTTGTTAAATTTTCTTCCCTGAAGATTTCCTTAACCAAAACCTTTTTAGTAGACAAATGTTTAAACTTTTTGCTAAGTTTTTAAGCTCAAACTGTCACATATGAAAATAGCCCGCAGTTTTCAATTCACCAGCCCAATAAATTCGTTTTCAAAATTGCTTTAGCTTGAAAAACAAGCGGTTCTGAAGAGGTTTTTACTCAAAATTTAGCATAAATTTTTTATTACTGGAGTTTACTTTTACAAAAAACAAGTTCTATTTTTATCAAATAGAATTTTTTGAAGTAAAACTTTATCTTTTTAAGTAAATCTTTGGCAAAACAAGTGCTCAACAGGATAAATGTGAATTTAAGAAAACACATTTCGAATTCGATCGTTGATGAATTAAGTGCATGTATTGGTTCAAAAAATCAACGAATACATGTAATTCTCTTGAATAATATGAATATTGTTAGAGTGCTTACAGATAGAATTCATTTCAAGAAAGCCAAACAAAATTCTTGAACAATATGAGTGCTTTTAGAGTTAGAAAGTTAGTTAGAAAGAAATTTGAATTCAAGAAGATCTTTTCGTGTATTGTTGCTTCAAAAAAAAGCTTCAGCTCAATATCTAAGAAGACTTCAAAAACTCTAAAATTCAATAGGTGTTTAGAGAAGTAGCTAAAAGCTAAAAAAGCTACGCTAAAGCTAAAAAGCTCTTAGCTAAAGAAAAACTATAATCAGATAATCTTATACTTGTTTATAAACTGAAAAAAAAAGATCAAGATTTGAATATTAAAAGCTTTTGTCCATTGCCTCGTGGCTTTCACCGTTTTCTCATCAGTTACCATGGAAACTCTCACACAATTCAACAGGGTTTTCTCAAGAAAAACAATAAAAGATAACTGAATTTTTTGATTCATAATTCTTTACTTAAATATTCTTGATGTCTAGCTCAAAAGAACAATGGGAAAAGGAGAGAGATCGAGTGCTTGATGAGTGGAGTGAGGTGAGAGGATTTTCTTAAGCTTTGGCTTTCTATGATAGTCTTGAAAGTACTATTTTATCGTCTCTTTATAAAGTTTCATTTCACAATCAGTTTAAACCTAGTCTCTAGTTTGAAAGGATGTAGGATGTAGGGAAAATTGCTGCCAAAAATTTGTGCATAGGATCGGCTCTAATTCAGACGGCGTCTAATCAACATAATACAATCTTGCCACCATAATCTTGCCACCAATTTCCCATATTCAACGTGAATTCAAAGAATCTAAGTACTTAGCAGCTGATTCCTTGAGATAATGAAAGAAATTGACTTTTACGGTCTACCCTAACAGCATAAACTTGTGTCATTTTGTTACTTGTAAAGATTTTTTCTCTCCAATAATTTTTCTTTATAAAGTTTCAACCAGGAATTTGTTTTTTTTTCTCATTCTTTCTTATTTAATCATTTAATCACAGAAAAATTTGCTATTTTTCAAAGTTTCATTTCTTTTTTGACTCATAGAAGAAATTTTAGAATTGAATAAATCAAAACAAAAGGTATTCGAATGTGTTTTATTCGATTTTAAGAATGCAAAGTATGAAGATTTTTAAATGAAAGGGGTAAAACAATAAAAACTGGTTACATTTTTGCAGATTGAGCTTCGATTTCAAAATAATGGATCACTGCCAACATCAACAAATGCCTGTATATCACTGAATGATGGTCATTTTTTTTAAATCTTTAAAATAACACCAGTACTGTTGGCTAATTGAAATTAATAACTAAGCGCGCAGAAACAAACGTACTCGTGCCGAGATACGAGCGGTTCCTTGAGTGCAAACTTAGACTACGCGATGCTCCTATAGAGGGGTCATCTATTAGAGCTTTTACGATATATGTGTGTGTGTGTGTCTGTTCCGCTGTTTTAGAAAAAACGACTGAACCAAATCGATCTGAAAGTTTGAAACAAATCTAATTTTTTACGTATTTTCCAAAAATCTAATAACTTTTGACACATGAGCGTTTTTTCTAAAAATCGGAATTAAAGAATACATGGCCAATTGGCAATGCGTACCGCCGTCCGATCGATCAACTTGAGCAACGTTGGGCTCGGTTAGTCTCGGGTTCGATCCCTGCTCGATGCAATTTTTCTTTTGCTGTTTTTACACTTTTTTGAGTGAGAAAGGTCACGGTTTTGATTCCTCTAGGGTTGAAGAAAATAAAATCCGTCTGTATGGAGCCAGAAAAAACTCGCCGTTAGGCGGGTTTTTCTTTTGATATACCGTATTTTCTCTAATAGTAGTGCACCCAAAGCGTTGCCTAAATTCCTCGGAATCTCGAGAACTGCTTATCAGAACCTATCGATGTGGGGTCGGAAAATGTAGCTGACGATGAGATCTAGTGGGGGAGGAAAGAGTTGAGCTTCTGGGAAAAGCTTGGAAACCGTAAAATAGTCATCAACTCGGCTCGCCGGAGTGCACTATTAGAGAGAAGACGGTAATTACCGTACTTTCTCTATTAGTGCATCCAAAGCTTTGCCTAAATTCCTCGAAATCCCGAGAACTGCTTATCAGAACCTATTGATGTGGGGTCGAAAAATGTAGCTGACGATGAGATCTAGTGGGGGAGGAAAGAGTGCTGAGCTTCTGGGAAAAGCTTGGAAACCGTAAAATAGTCATCAACTCGGCTCGCCGCGGTGCACTACTATTAGAGAAAATACGGTAGAAAAAAAACAACATAACTCAACTTTTGAATACTTTTAGAAACTAAATTAGGAACAATTTTTAGAAAAAATACCCTTCTCTGAGAATTCGACAGAGAACTCGGATGGCGTCTTACACCGATTACTTAATTTAGACTACGCAAGAGAGAAGGTTTAAATTCTAAATGAAATTTCTAAGAACATTTTCAGAGTATGGTAACGGAAGAAATGAAAGCAATGGCAATAAATCAACAAGTGAGACAATCAAGAAAGGACAGCTGTAGATAAAAGTCAAGTGATAGCTGTAGATAAAGATAAATGTGATGCTGGGGTGAAATTTCTAAAAAGCTGGATTGAACGATTGCTGGATAAACCATAAACCATTGTTAGTATCATCTAATATTTCGATTTAGAACTATTTTGGAGCGAGACTCATCAAAAGTTGTGTGTGCAGGCCAGGCGGGGTGGAAGCGTTGAAAAGTGCGGCCCTCAATGACGAGCGGTTGACGCTGTTGGCTCTGAGTTTAAGTGAGGAATTTGTTACGATTCGAATATTGTTTGGCTGAGATTTTCAATACCATAAACCATTGGTTTTGCTGTTTTTTCGATTCAGAATACAGAATTATAGATATTAGGTTGGAAAGAAAGTTCTCGGAAAAAAATTTGCACGGTGATTTCTCAAAAACCAAACCATGAATTCTTTCCAGATTTTTTAATAAAAAAAAAATCAGAGTGGGCTTAAGGTAAAAAAAATGAAGACAGTGCGTCGCCCTCATAAAGAAGCCCCAAAAACGTGTATGCCAAATATCTCGCGATAGAGAAGCGTTTGGCAAAAACTGATTGCAGATTTGAAATCAGCGTGAAAAACTGCATCAGATAGGCTATTTCCCGAGTCAAAAGCCACGATAATTTAACAACATTCCCTAGTAAAAACTTGAAATTTGATGAAAATCTTGCTTTTTTGCTGTTTTGCTGTTTTGCTGTTGAATTTTGAATAGAAAACTTTAGAACCTTATTCGAATTCGATTTCCGAACATTGGAAAATCCTTTCAGAGATATTTCGGTATGTTTTAAAGTCATAGAGAAAGTCATTTATGAGAAAATCTTTCGAAAATGCACACGACTCATGAATGACAATGTTGAAGTGTCTTGTGATCGCTCGGGCGGTCATTGGGAAACAATTGGATTTCAAGGTAACAATTCTTAAAGATTTAAAGATTTAAAGCTTTTTTTTTCGAATTCGATCAACTATAGAATACTATAGGTTACTATAGAATCCTAGAATACTATAGATCAACTATAGATTGGGTCTTCAGTCTAGATTAGCGGGGTTACGGTATTTGGTTTAGATCAAGTTATTCAGTCTATTGGGTTGGGGAGAATGAGTCGGCGCCGAAAATCAAAAAAATGTCTAAAACTTCTATTCGACTTCGTCAAATAATATGCGTTTGATATCAGTAGAATGGTTAACTAATTCTCTACAAAATGACATTTAAAAGAAAATTCAAACAGCGCCTCCGCTCAAGAAAAAGCCATTTTTTCACAAAAACTACAAACCGTCATCTAGAAAAAACCATTGGTGGGATCTTCCTGCAAATTTGGCAACTTGAGTAATTGAATGTGCTCTATCTTTTTTATATAAACACCAAAGAAGGTTTATGTGAAAGAAACTGTTCAAATGATGAGTCGGACTCTTTGCCATTTTAACTAGCTACGTTTGGAAGTTCATACACTCCACGAAAGAAAAGCTTTGTGGAATCTCTCAAAAGTCATTTTGTAGAGAAATAGTGGATCCTTTTGATGAAACCAAGCGTATGTTTAAAGAAGGCTTTATGTGTGCAAAAAGTCCCTTTAAAGTTTGGCGCCGACTCATTCTCCCCAACCCAATACATTGGCAGGATTACGGTATTTAGTCTAGAATGGGTATTCAGTCTAGATTCGCAAATTCTCATTCGATTCGCAAATTCTAGGAGCTGATCCAAGCACAGATTTACGATCTGCTGGCATGCTCGGCCTTCTTCAACTCCACTCATTCGTCACTCGATCTATAAGCGATGAAATTTTGGATATAATTCTGAAATTAGCTCAAGATAAAGATCAGGTATTCATTTAAAAGCTTTAAAATCTATTTGAGATTCTTTATATATTCGCAAAAATAAACCCCCAATCATTTTCGCAAAATTTGCATTTCTGGTCGAGGTGGTCAAACCGGTTTTACCCACACTCAAGTCAACGACAAGTACAACTTCTTGAATCCTATTGGAAGCGATGATTGAACACATCGAGCCGGAAACCTAAATTTACTCCGATTTTTGGCGAGCATACAACACTCAACAGATGGAGGAAACCGGTTTTACCCACACAAAAGTCAACGACAAGTACAACTTCTTGAATCCGGATGACCCTGCCATTCACACGCGGACGATCGAGCGTTTATGGGGATCTGCCAAATGAAGAAAGAAGAAGCATCGCGGCACAGCACATCATTTCCTATCGAGCCACCTCGCTGAATTCATGGTTTGACAAGATGTTGGGAAGGACAATTTCTACGAATGGGTTTTGCAACAAATTGCTATTTTTTTGCAACAATTTTGCAACAAATTGCTACGGTATCGATTCCTCATTGATCTTATTTTGATGTTTTATTCTTTTTTGAGTAAATTGATTGATTTTTTTTATTCTTAAATGATCAGGGGGTTATTTTTGCGGATTTATAACGAAGAATTACCCGATTTTATTCATAGAATTTCCCGTTTGCCGTTGTTGGTATTAATTTCACAGCGTTGATCATCGAGCGGCTCAAGAATGGCACATTGAATGAGTGGGTTCTTTTGAAAGTTCAAATTGAAAGACGATAAACCAGTTAATAAATTTTATTATGTAAAAAGAAAGACTAGATTTAAAATAATCGAATTTACCCCTGGAAGCAAAACATCCTCAAGAATCTTTTTTTTGGTACACATCCTTATTGATTTTTACCCCAGAATCGATGAAAATGAGAGGAGTTTTGCCGGTTGCGCCGGTGCCGGTGCCGGTGCCGGTGCCGGTGCAGGTGCAGGTGCCGGTGCAGGTGCAGGTGCCGGTGCCGGTGCAGGTGCCGGTGCAGGTGCCGGTGCCGGTGCAGGTGCCGGTGCCGGTGCCGGTGCAGGTGCAGGTGCCGGTGCCGGTGCAGGTGCGGTGCCGGTGGGCAGGTGCCGGTGGGTGCCGGTGCAGGTCAGGTGCGGTGCCGGTGCAGGTGCGGGCCCGGGCGGTGCCGGTGCAGGTGCCGGTGCCGGCGGTGCGGTGCCGGTGCGGTGCCGGTGCAGGTGCCGGTGCCGGTGCCGGTGCAGGTAGGTGCCGGTGCCGGTGCAGGTGCAGGTGCCGGTGGTGCAGGTGCCGGTGCAGGTGCCGGTGCAGGTGCAGGTGCCGGTGCAGGTGCAGGTGCAGGTGCCGGTGCAGGTGCAGGTGCCCGGGCAGGTGCCGGTGCAGGTGCCGGTGCAGGTGCCGGTGCAGGTGCAGGTGCCGGTGCAGGTGCCGGTGCAGGTGCCGGTGCCGGTGCCGGTGCAGATGCCGGTGCCGGTGCAGATTTCGTGAAAAAGTAATCCACGTTTTTAACGTTTAAATATAAAAGACCGTAAGTTTCGTTAAAATAATTTTTATTCAACGAAGTAATCACGATTCGAAAGAACAACCTTTTGTCAACGTTCTACAAGTAAAGACATTCCACGATAATAAAAATCTTGGTCCTTAGAGGCGAAGAAAAGATCAACCTCGGTTTTGACATCTTCTTCGGAATTGAACCGTTTATTGGCCAAAAAGTTAGACAGAGACAAAAATAAATAATAACCAGATGGAGAAAGGTCTGGACTATAAGGTGGATGTGGTAAAACCTCCCATCCAATACTCTGGATTTTTTGTCGAGTCTGTAAAGAGACATGTGGTCGCGCGTTATCGTTCATGCGGTATCCATTTGTCCAACTTTTTGATAAAATTCATGGCATTCAAGCGTTTCCTTACGGTTGACCCATCACAATTTCATGTAAAGCCTATTTCTGAAGAGGTTGAACGCGAGTTTTCGAGAAGACAGCGTCTTATTTGCTCATCAGATAAAAATAAAAAACGTTGATTACTTTTTCACACACCTAATAGATATAGTTTTAAGAACTTGTAACCATTTCAACAGCGTCTTGAAAGCAATTCTCTTGATCTACCGTGGATGTTACTTTGAATTTTGTAATCGATGGCATCAAAATCATTGCACAATTGTCGATTTTCAGAACACCTTATCAAGTAAATTTTTTTGAATAAAAGAAATAATAAAAAATAAAAGAAATAATATTAATGTCAATTTATGGGGGGGTAGTCAAAACAGCACCATAATAGAAAACGTTCAAAACAGCGCCATAATAGAAAACGTTCAAAACAGCGCCGTCAAATTTCTCAAAATCCAAAAAACCAAGCCGGTTCAAGTTTTATATCAGAAAATTCCTTGCGTTCTTGGCTACATGATGGGTGAAACAGTTTTTAAAAAAAGTTAATATTTCATAGATAAAAAGAGCACTCAAAATGTGTGTCGAGTGATACTCATTTGGTTAACTGAATATCTTTAGAGACCCATTTTGAGTGCTCTTTTTATCTATGAAATATTAACTTTTTTTAAAAACTTTTTCACCCATCATGTAGCCAAGAACGCAAAGAATTTTCTGATATAAAACTTGAACCGGCTTGCTTTTTTGGATTTTGAGAAATTTGACGGCGCTGTTTTGAACGTTTTCTATTATGGCGCTGTTTTGACTACCCCCTCAATTTATGACCAATATACAATCAAATTTATTTCAGCTATTGCAAAGATTTTGGACAAAAACCCTGCACAACTTGTTGATGTCAAATTTTTGCTACAATGATCAACAAAATTATGCTGTTTTTTTTTTGAATTTAACAAAGAATCGTAGTGCTATTCGTAAAACAAATTTAATAATAAATAATTTATAGAAAAAAAAACTTTAATATACAATTTGAAACTGTTTTGAAATGGTTATACCGTATTTCTTCGAATAGAAGACCGGGTAAAGAGTATGATCGCGGTAAAGAGTATCATTATACCTCATGGTGTATTGGTGAAGTTCTCACTTCCAAACTGAGGGTGTGGGGTTCGGCCCCCCTAGGGTTCTCTTCCCTAGCCCGTGCGCCCAGACTAGAGGTGTCTTCTCTAGAGCTGACTAGAGATCCCTTCTCTAGCGGAGTTCACTCTTCCACTGGGTTGGCCCATTCATGGCCTGAGGTTATTAAAGCAAGAAGCCTATCTTCTATCTATCTTCTTTTCTCCCCGCCTCCACATCGCCGAGTAAAATATCTCATCTTTCTCTATGTATTTATGTGTAGATTTGTGTATTGTCTGACTGATTACGCTTTATTTCATGTCCTGAATAAAGTATCAATATCAATTATATTTGGTTCCTTATCTCTCTAAATTTATTTCCTTCCCTCTCTAAATTTGATTCCTTACTCTCTAAATTTGGTTCCTTATTCCTTCGGTAAAGAATACCGAAGACCGGGTAAAGAGTATCATCGCGTACTCCTGCGTAGCAGCCCTTTTTAAAATTACCACATGAGCTAACAGATTTTTGAGCCATTTTCCAGCTCTATAGCACTTGATTGAAAGCTTTTATGCAGAAAAGAAATTTTAAAAAGGGCTGCTACGCAGGAGTACACGATTATACTCTTTACCCGGTCTTCTATTCGAAGAAATACGGTATATTAAAGATTTTCTTACAGAATTTACCAATCTGGTAAATACTGGATTGAAGTCGAGATATTGTATTGAGATATTGGATAAAAAAAAATCAATAGGATTTCTAGGATTTTAATAAAGAATTTTATTGTTTAACTTTGAAAAAATTGAATTTCAAATTTTAAAGTCAATAATTTGGTTTTAAAGAGAGAAAAAAAAATGATGTAATGGGAAAAAAGGAGGAATTTTGTGGGTGGGAATATGGAAAAGGAGGAATATGGACCACCCATAAAGATCTATGGGTGGTCCCGGTGCCTCAGCTGAGAAAACAAGAAAGAACGACAGCATCGAGAGTTTTAGTTCTTGTTTTTTTTTTTTGTTTTTCACCCTTCTTTTAGACCTATAGTGCATCTAATTCGAATTTGATTTCGAGAAAATAAGTGTAAACCTTTCGAAATCCAACTTTTGGCTTCATCTTTTGATTGACATGATAACACCCACTTTAACTACAGTAATCCTTGCATTACACTGCAGCTAGGAACTACACCAGCTACAGTATCCCTACAGTAATTCTAATTAGCTAGCGTACTCTTACAGTAACACCAATTAGTTGATGTTCCTTACTTTAGATTGAATGCAAAGTATTGTATTTGATTACAAAGTATAACGAAGAAATTTCGACGAATCCCCTGCTTTTCAGGCCATTTTCAACCCTATACTAGTGTTAGTGGAGTGTTTTCCTCTCAAGAAATAGTGCAAAATAGGAAACAAGTTCATTTAAAATAAAATTATCTTATAAATTCTAGGAGATATTTAAGATATTCAGTTGATTTCCACCTAACCCGTTTCCGATTTCCACACTATTTCTTGAGAGGAACACACTCGAATCGCTATTGGTATCTAGTAGTTAGTATCTAGATCTGTAGTATCTAGTAGTATCTAGTAGTTAGTATCTAGTAGTTAGTATCTAGTAGTGTCTAGTAGTTAGTATCTAGATCTGTAGATTTCCGAGTTTCTCTAAAGTTTCTAAAACGACCACTCATTAGAAAAAGTTTAGTTGCTATGTTTTTCTACAAATATCAAAAATCAAAGCTCACAATTGACTGAATATTTTTAAGAAGGAAAGTAAAATCGATTAATCCTTTTTGTTTGTTCAATTAGCCAACAGTACTGGTGTTATTTTCAAGATTTGACAAAATGAACATCATTCAGTGATATACAAGCATTTGTTGATGTTGGCAGTGATCCATTATTTTGAAATCGAAGCTCAATCTGCAAAAATATAACCAGTTTTTATTGTTTTACTGCTTTCATTTGAAAATCTTCCTACTTTGCATTCTTAAAATCGAATAAAACACATTCGAATACCTTTTGTTTTGATTTATTCAATTCTAAAATTTCTTCTATGAGTCAAAAAAGAAATGAAACTTTGAAAAATAGCAAATTTTTCTGTGATTAAATGATTAAATAAGAAAGAATGAGAAAAAAAAAACAAATTCCTGGTTGAAACTTTATAAAGAAAAATTATTGGAGAGAAAAAATCTTTACAAGTAACAAAATGATACAAGTTTATGCTGTTAGGGTAGACCGTAAAAGTCAATTTCTTTCATTATCTCAAGGAATCAACTGCTAAGCACTTAGACTCTTCGAATTCACGTTGAATATGGGAAATTGGTGGCAAGATTGTATTATGTTGATTAGACGCCGTCTGAATTAGAGCCGATCCTATGCACAAGTTTTTGGCAGCTATTTTCCCTACATCCTACATCCTTTCAAACTAGTGACTAGGTTTAAACTGATTGTGAAATGAAACTTTATAAAGAGACAATAAAATAGTACTTTCAAGACTATCATAGAAAGCCAAAGCTTAAGAAAACCCTCTCACCTCAATCCACTCATCAATTTTTCCTAAATCCTACATCCTTCCAAAGTAGAAACTCTGTAATTAAATGATCAAATAAGAAAGAAAGAGAAACAAACAAATTCCTGGTTGAAACTTTATAAAGTAAAATTATTGGAGAGAAAAATGATGGGTGTAGTAATCTAATTTTTACTGGTTTTATGTAGAAATGGTTAAAGAAAGTCGGTTTATCAATAATTGATCTAATCTATATGATTTTATCAGATCTTAAAGGCATTTCAGGTTAGTTTCAACCTTATAGTTAGTATCTAGGCTTCTAGATTTAGGCTTCTAAAAGTTTAGATCAATTAAACCCGAGTTCTTATTTGGTGGACTCAATAGAATGAATATCTTCAATCCTTGGCTACAAATTTACACCTGAATATCTTCTGTATCATCTACAAAGCAAAAGAGAAATGTAAGTGACTGGATATTCTTTGTAATCACCCGCGTAATCGCCCTTCATCTGGCAAACCGCTCAGGTATGAGGTGCTTTCCTCGAAGAACCAGAAGAAGATGAAGGAGCGGTCTAGTTCAAACGCAAGCCAAGAGTCGCTTGTTTACTTGGCCCCTTTTCCAGTTCTCCAACTCGTGGACCATCTACCGTATCCCATCTTTTCGTGCATTGCTGTCTCTTGTAGTCATCCAAAGGTTCTACACGTCAGTTTTTTTTTTCAGCTTCCAACTTAAAATCTTTTCAAGAGTTTCACTTAACAAATCCTTTTCCCAACTTTCAGAGATGCGACATTTCTTGGTGATTTTGCTGTGCATTTACGTCACTGACGCCTATTTCATTCACATTGACGCGAATGAGCAGCTGTGCTTCTTTGAGCGTGTCACATCAGGTAAAAATTAACAGGAAAATTTTTGAATCTAAATCTATTTGATAATCTATTCACTAATCTATTCACTAATCTATTCACTAAAATGTGTTCAGGCACAAAGATGGGTTTAATGTTCGAAGTGGCCGAGGGTGGTTTTCTCGATATTGATGTAAAAGTAAGTCTATCTGTAGATGATCTTGATCTTGAAGCTCTAGTGGATCCTTGACGTTATCTGTGCTACCCACATTTTACATATATTATATCGTGTTTCTTTTTATCGGCCCTTTTCGTGTTATGTGTATGAATTCATGCGTTTTAATCTTAAAATCTAGCGCACTTTATCTCAGGTCCTGAATAAAGTATCTATATTTCCTATAATTTCCTCTAATTTTTATAGATCACTGGCCCGGATAATAAGGAAATTTACAAAGGCGAACGGGAATCTTCGGGCAAATACAACTTCGCCGCGCATATGGATGGCCAGTACACGTTCTGCTTCGGAAATCAGGTAGAAAAAGAATTTTTGAAGAAAAAATCTCTATTACTTACTGTTGTGCTAAAGTGATTTGTTATGCTAAATCACTTTTCAACAACTTTAGATGTCGACAATGACACCGAAGGCGGTGATGTTCTCGATTGAAGTCACTGAGCCCCACGCACAAGCGCCTGGTGCTGCCGCAAACGCTGATGCTGGTTTGTTTTTTTGCGACAATAGACTTTATGACTTTATCAAATACACAGATTGCTTTTAAAAACACCCAAATTTCAGCTGAGAATCAAAAATTGGAAGAAATGGTGCAACAACTCTCCTCGGCGCTCACCTCAGTGAAACACGAGCAAGAGTACATGGAAGTGCGAGAGCGAGTGCACAGGAATAGTGGGTTTTTTGGGAACGGATTTGACTTGGGGAAATATCTGAATACATCATTCATTCGACATTTGTCTGGCTACAGTTCTTTGTAGCAGATTTGGCCGATTTGGGCAAAAACTGTTCCAAAGATTTGAAAATGGTGAGTCCTAAATGCGGAAAAACCATGCCAGTTTGAGCCAGTCTCTTTTTGATTGACAGATTCCAAAAGGGAAGCCCCTTGTATCGGGACGATGTGCTAGATGAAGAGCGATTACATGGCTGCACGAAGAACATCTTGGCAGTCATTTAGGGATTTCTCTTTTGTAGATGATACAGAAGATATTAAGTTGTAAATTTGTATCTGGGGGTTTTCAGGGTCGGCAAATCGATTGCCAGTATTTGTTTTAGTAGATTTTTCATCTGAAGTGCTAATTCCTCGCATAAAACAATCAGTTCTTATCTTTTGAAATTTAAATGACTAGAGCTTGATCAATTCTAGTTTATTTTTAGTTAACGAGAGCACGAATTCACGTGTCGTTTATTGGGCTGTGTTCGAGGCATTCGTTTTGGTTTCAATGACGCTTGGACAGGTTTGACAAAAAAAAAAAAGAAAATTCTTTTATGTTTTTTGTTTCCAATCTTCTAACTTTTATAATCTCTGCATGAAATTTTTTTTTTCTAATTATTGCGAGTAAACGATTGTATTTAAAGATAGATTCAAAGATAGATTCAAAGAAGTAAAGTTGTCTTGTTAGTTCATTTAAAGGTTAAATAGATTCAAAGATATAAAGTTGTCTTGTTGGTTCATTTAAAGATTAAATAGATTTAAAGATGTAAAATTGTCTTTTTAGTTCATCTTTTACGACTACAGTCATCATGCTTTTAGTGTTTTAAATTTAATTCATCTACTTTTCCTTAAGAAAAACAATCTTTTAATAACCAAAAAAAAACGTTAGAATATCCTTAAATTCTTAAAAAAAAAAGATTAATTAACAAGTAAAAGTTGAAATTTTCTTACAAAACAGCTATAAAAATTTATGGGTTTTTTTCCAGGTTTGGTATTTGAAGCGTTTCTTCGAGGTGCGAACATTGGTGTAAAATGATTTGAAAAACTATTTTCGTTAAAAAAAAACAAACATTACAAAAGTCTTATGTCACCATGAAGTTTTTGATGAAACACAGAGTTTTCCCTATTTCTCTTCAAATTTTCCTAATGTTGCCAGCAATACGAGTGTTGTGTTATTTCAATGAATTCCCTTCGTCTAAAAATTGACTATCAAATGTGAAATCGAAAACAACAGATACCGTATTTTCTCTAATAGTAGTGCACCAACAGCTTTGTCTAAATTCCCGGAAACCTCGAGAGCCGCTTATCAGAACCTATCGATGTGGAGTCGGAAAATGTAGCTGACGATGAGATCTTGTGGGGGAGGAAAGAGTTGAGCTTCTGGGAAAAGCCTGGAAACCGTAAAATCGTTGTCACCTCGGCTCGCCGCGGTGCACTATTAGAGAGAAGACGGTAATTACCGTATTTCCTCTATTAGTGCAACCAAAGCATCGCCTAAATTCCTCGAAATCTCGAGAACTGCTTATCAGAACCTATCGATGTGGGATCGGAAAATGTAGCTGACGATGAGATCTAGCGGGAGATTAGAGTGTTGAGCTTCTGGGAAAAGCTTGGAAACCGTAAAATAGTGATCAACTCGGCTCGGCGGGGTGCACTACTATTAGAGAAAATACGGTAAATGAATATCATAAAAATAAATTCAATTTTAAATTCTCTGACTTTATTTTTTAGCACTTTGTTTTAAATAGCCAAATTTCTCTTTCATCTATCATAATTTATTTTTTTTATAATTTATTTAACTTATCAACGGTTATCTAGGTTATCTAGGTTTACTTTTTTCCTATTTTTTTCTATATAATTTTTAAAACTAAGCCCCTACATGCCTAAAGTATCCAAAAAAGATACTGGATTCAAACTGTGATCCTTTTTTTTCGGATTGACTTCATTTTTTCGTATTTTTTCGTATTTTTTCATTATTGGGTGGAATATTTGTTTAAGAAATGAGAAATATCAATTTTTTTTTAAACTTTTAAAACCGTCCAACCGATTTAGGGTGTTTATTTTTGATTTTCAACAAAGTCTTTTAAATAAACGGTTTCATAAATTTGGAAAGTTCGAAAGCACAAAAAAAAGACAACTTAATGAAAACTATACACTATCTCCATCAGCCAGAGTACACCTTTTGAGCAGCTACAGTATCCCTTTCATTAGCTACAGTACACCTTTCATCAACTACAGTATCCCTTTCATTAGCTACAGTACACCTTTCATCAACTACAGTATCCCTTTCATTAGCTACAGTACACCTTTCATCAACTACAGTATCCCTTTGCTTTATCAACTTACCCACTTTGGACTCAATGGTCTTTTTGATATAAACCAAAATTCTCCGGCTAACTTTCAAAAACCCTGGCTTTGAAGATTGATAATCGCAATGGGTTTCTGAATATGAAATCATATCGAAAGATAGAATTTGAAGGAAATTCTGCCATTTCGGTGAAATGAATGAAAATGAACCTTTTATTAAATGACAGTCGGCATTGTTTTCCTGTCAATCAATTCTGAATTTAATTAGCTCACTCAAGCTTCAAAAAATGGTTGTCATTGTTTGGCCTTCAATGCACAATTCTGGTGATATGAGGATGAAGAATTGAGTACGCTGGGAATGTTCTCTCGGTCTCGTCTCCTCCAGCCTAGGGCTCCGGCGATGCGCCAGACTGGACGCGATTACGCTGGACGAGAGAGAACGCACCCAAGTAAGTTAAAGTTTTTTTCAACTGATTTTTAAAGTATCAATACAGAAGATTGATATAATATTATTAGTATTAGAGAATCTAATAATGTTAATGCACATCTAGTGACTCTTTCTTCAACACCCCATTCATCCCAATCGCTGTCCCGTGACGCTTTCCCGGCTACGGTAATCTCAGCTTCTTTTATGTTTTTGTTGTCCGACTAAGCTGGTAACCTTATCGAAGTCAAAAATCCATTCTTTAAATTACTAAATAATCATTTTTCTTCTTAAATCTTAATCAAAATTCTTTCTCCGTTTTCCAAAAGAAAACAGTTTTTACAAAAAGCTTCAAATCATTAAGTTCTTTTATCAAAAAAAAGGCTGATTGCTGAAAAATTGTAAAAAAAAACAATTTCTTTGATTAATTTTCTTTCCATTTTCACAATAACAGATCATTTCTTTCGATTACTAACAAACGGAATTGCAGCCGAATATTTGTTTCATGACGTCAACACTCGAAAATTTGGGTAATATTTTATTTTATAGCTTAAATTCGTTTTCTATATATATATATGTAGTGTCCGATTTAGATTTCCGTCCGATTTAGATTGAACTTATCGCGGACGTTCGATTTAGATTACAGTCTATATCGGACGTCCGATTTAGATTCAATCTAAATCTTATATAGATTGAACAATAATATAAACATGTTTAAGAACATATATTAAGCGTTCGTATTTTTGATTTTTCGAAGGTCTGTTACGTCTTTTCGAAAGGAAACCCAGCTATAGACTGTAATCAATAAAAGACCTTTGAAAAATGCAGAAAACTACAGAAAACGCTTAAGAACATATATTAAGCATATTTATATTATTGTTCAATCTATATAAGACGTATTATTGTTCAATCTATATAAGATTTAGATTGAATCTAAATCGGACGGCTGATATAGACTGTAATCTAAATCGGACACAACATATATATGTCGTAGCCGTTTACAAAATTCAGCCTTTAACGAATGATTCATTAACGGCTAGCCGTTTACGAATGATTCATTAACGGCTAGCGTTTACGAATGATTCATTAAAGACTAGCCGTTTACGAATGATTTATTAATGGCTAGCTGTTTACGACTGATTCATTAACGGCTAGCTGTTTACGAATGATTTATTGACGGCTAGCCGTTAGCGAATGATTCGTTAAAGGCTGAATTTCGTAAACGGCTACGACATATATATTTTTATAGAAATTTGTGTCAAAGAAATAAAAATTTAAATAGTAAAATGCAATATTGTTGAAAAGTTGTTTAGATTTAAAGTTAAATATTAGTTGCAAAGCTTTATGAATATCATCAAATGTGGATAGGGTAAGGGAAAGGGTAAATGGCTGGAGGAATAGTGAATAAAAACTGTTCATCACACAGCTGTTGATAGAGAATAGAAAGGAAAAAATAAGAAAAAAAAAAAAAGTGAATCCAACTCCATAAAACGTCTCTTTCTCGATTTCGGCAACACATGTGTCACCTGGGATTCTCCTTTTCCCTCTCGCCCACACTTTCCCTATCCCCCAGTCAGCTATTTTCTTTCAAGCTGGACCCAATGATCCCTTTTTGCTAACTCTTCCAACATGCACCCGTTGTGTGCCATCGATTGATCACTCGCTTTTCTTCTAGCTCCTAGTTTACTCTTAGATCTCTACTCTTTTCCTTTCTACCGTGTAAACACCCATCACTCCCCCACTCCTCTCCACTCCTCCACACTTCCCCACCTCCAACTTTTCCCCCATTTTCTTTGTCTTTCTCTCTATTCTTTAATTATCAACAATTTTTTTTTGAATGCAATTCAATCTTTGATCTTTTTATAGCACACTGTGCTAGCCTAGCTTTCTTGTCTACAGCTATAATCTACAGCTACAATTCTTGAGTCTATAAGCTCGACTTTTTCAATATTTTGTACTTGTCTAGCAATTCTTTCACTGTACTTTGATCTTTATTTCTTTAAAGTTCATATCTAACAGTCTTTTTTCAATTTTAAGCTACGATAAGCTTTCCTCTGTGCGTTAATCTCGATCATTGTCCATTTCAAATGCGGATTTGAAAATGATACAAATTCCTCTCTTGTTTTATTAGATTACGTAAATACACACGTGTTGACGAGTGAGGTCGGGGCTTCTTCTCTGAGAAATTATTTGCACTGCGTCAGTTTTTTTTTCTCGAGGTTCTCGACTCGGGGCGGTTGCTATTCCTGCCCCCTCTTGTCTTTTCTTTTCTTCCTCCCCCTTCCTTTTTTTCTCCTCTCCTCTTCTTCTTCTTCTCTTCTTCCCTCCCCTTCTCTTCTTTTCCTCCTCCTTCTTCTCTTCTTCTTCTTCTTCTCCTCTTCTCCCTCTTCTCCCCTCCCTCTTCTCTTCTTCTTCCTTCTTCTTCTTCTTCCTCTTCTTCTTCTCCTTCTTCCTCTTCTTCTTCTTCTTCTTCTTCTTCTTCTTCTTCTTCTTCTTCTTCTTTTCCTTCTTCTTCTTTTATCCAACTACAACAATCTGACACGTTTTTTTGTGGGAAAGCTTGGTTAGGAATGTTTTAGAGTTAGCCGAGAACAGTTTGAGCACTTTTGGTTACAAGATTTTCCATTTTATCTTTCAAATTTTAAAACTAAAACTTTGATTAACTTAACTTCAATCTGAATTTTTCTATATTTACATTTATTCAAACTTTTTTTTTATTTTGATGCCTAGCTTATGATTAAAAAACTATAAAAGATTTTGAAATCGTGATTTTTCGCTTAAACGAAAGACAAACATAGCTTCATTTCTTTCCTTGATCAAAAGATCTTTATTTGAAACTTTGAAGAAAAGAAAAAAAACTTCACAGATCGCTTAAACTTGTCTAGTTGTAGAAGTGGGCGAATGCCGGGTGACGACAAATTCGCCGAAGCTGTCAGGCCGGCATTAGGTATTTGATGGAAATGCGAAATCTCATTTCATTTCCGAATGGCTTTAAACAATCACAACACATTTGCAGCACGAAATTTTCTCCCCAAAACTTCACTAACTAACATTTGTGTGTGTGTGTGGGAGCTAACAGCGACAAGAGTTTTTCTAGGAATGCCAACCTCTAGTTTTTCTAGCCAACCTAACTGTGTGAAAAACGCTAATGACTTACAAGATGTGGTTATAAATTTCTTATCTTTTAGAAGCCCTCCTGTCTGATTTACAGCACACGACCGAGGTGCTGCGTCGGGCGAATCTCAGTGACAGGTTTGATATTCAAAAATTTGATCTATCAATCAAATAAAATACTGTAATCATTCTAATGTCCATTTATTTTCAAAAAAAAATTAAGTGTAATAGATAAGTTTAGCTTAAAAACGCGTAAAAACGAGCTCTTTTGCACAATCTTTTATTTAGATATGGTGGCTCACAAGATTTAGAACCGATTTATCAAGAGCAGACAAGAAGGTAAAGGTTTTAAATGTAAAAATAGTTGCTAGAAGAAAAAGAATCTCATTCACATGTTTCCCCTGGGTTTAATTATGCATGAACATTAATTAACAAGTGAAAAAACGCTTCATTAGAGCCCCCGTGAGTGTCACTTTGCACAACGTTGATGGAGAAACGAAGCCATCAGAAGAGTTGAACGAAGTCGCGCAAATGATCGGCCGATACTCAATGGAGAGAGCTCGTCTCTCACCGAATACATCATCGCACACATATTCTGATGCTGAGCGACGATCGTATGCTGGTAGCGTTTTGGTTTTGATTTTCTTGAGTTACTCTAACATTTCCCCCAGCTAACAGGACTTTAATTAGATTAATAGTTTAATCGATTGATCGATCGTTTAATCGATTGATCGATCGTTTAATCGATTGATCGATCGTTTAATCGATTTTTTTTTTTTTTTTTTTTTGGTTTTTTTTTTTTTTTTTTTTTTTTTTTTTTTTTTTTTTTTTTTTTTTTTTTTTTTTTTTTTTTTTTTTTACGATTAATAGTTTAATCGATCGATCGATCGTTTAATCGATAAAAATCTATCCAATTTCCTTAGTAGATTCGCCAATAAATTTTACTGGATTTTTTTTGCCAAATAGAAAACACTTACGGTAAGAAAGGACTTAAAACTATTGTACTATTGTAAATTTGTTTCAAACTATTGTAAACTCCTTTCTTACCGTAAGCGTTTTCTATTTGGCAAAAAAAATCCAGTAAAATGTGTAGATTTCGGAGCTCTTAATCATTTTCAAGTATCTGCAAAAATTTCTGGGTTTAGTACTAGATTTTAGAGTTGATTATTGACAAATTAGTGACAAATAGAAATCGCTGACATTTAATATTTGTAACCTTTTTTCTCTAATGAGCTAAATTTGATTGAAAGGCAAGTCTATTACGTAGATTTTTACTCCCCGAGTGTCTCTCACATGTTTTACATGATTTTTACCTTTGAATGTCTCTCACTGAGTTCTCAGATGTGGACTCGGATTACGCGAATACCTCTCCTCAACCAACAAATTCTGCAACGATCATCTCGAATTTCCCAACAACATCTAAAGTTGATGAGCGACTTGACCGTCCTTCCGTTCACAGCCTCTTAAATCAACTCGACGTTGCCGCTGGGTGTGTTTTCATTTACATTTCATTCTTCTTTCTCGATATAGTGTGCTAGCTTTTTTTAGCGATCTAGTGATCTAGTGATCTAGTGATCTAGTAATCTAGTAATCTAGTGATCTAGTGATCTAGTGATCTAGTGATCTAGTGATCTAGTAATCTAGTAATCTAGTAATCTAGTGATCTAGTGATCTAGTGATCTAGTAATCTAGCGATCTAGTAATCTAGTTTTCTATTCTATATCTATTCAAATCATAAACTATATTGTTTACATAGTTAACAAACTATGCCGAGAATCATTCCCCTTGTTTTTGATGATTGAAGTTGAATGGATCATTTTGTCCCTATACTTACAAACAAACAAATCAGCTGACCGTTTAAAATAAGAATCGATAATCGATGATCGATGATCGAGATGGGAAAAGGTTGGAAAAACGATTGGAGATGGGAGAAAAGTTTACTGAGTGGAGGCGATGGGAAGGGAGAAGCGGGGGTCAGGGCTCTCGAGTCTTCTCCCGGGTGCCACCACCTCTCCAAGTGTCCCTTCTTTTCTCCCAGTACTCTCATTTTTCCCTGCCAGCCCTCCCACACATCTTCTTTTCGAAACTAATATTTTCCATAACATTATTCATTTGCTAAAATGATGTACGAGTTGCAACAACGTATGGGTGATTTCAGCTCGAAGCGCTCCCTCGGCGCCAACTCCTACAATGATGTGGTGAGTTTAAAAAAAGTTTTCTTATTATTGTTCTTACAGTATTTTATAAATATACAGATTTATATTAATTATTATTTGTTATATGCTATATATTTGCTATACGTTTGTCTGTCTGTCTTTGCGTCAGCCCTCAGAGGACCGTTTCAAATATTTATAGTTAGTTTGGCTTAGGATTCCACGAAGTTATGCAGCATGTTTCTAAATTTTTAAAAAACCAAACAGGCTGACGCGGACGGGAGTCGAACCCGGGTCGTGTGCGCTAGAGACAAGAGCACTCTCACTGTGCCATCGAGTGGCCGAGTGGTTAACGCGCACATCTTTCAAACGAACAGAAGAGAGAGGTCGCGGGTTCGACTCCTCTTGCCGCCAATTTTTTTGCTTTTTACTTCAGAAAAGCTTCAGCTATATCTAGATTTTATATAAAAGCGTAGCAAAACGATTGTTTAGATTAAAAGCCTTAAATTCTATTGTAAATCGTTTATCAAAAACTTCTATTGGGTTGGGGAGAATGAGTCGGCGCCGAAAATCAAAAAAATGTCTAAAACTTCTATTCGACTTCGTCAAATAATATGCGTTTGATATCAGTAGAATGGTTAACTAATTCTCTACAAAATGACATTTAAAAGAAAATTCAAACAGCGCCTCCGCTCAAGAAAAAGCCATTTTTTCACAAAAACTACAAACTGTGATCTAGAAAAAACCATTGGTGGGATCTTCCTGCAAATTTGGCAACTTAAGTAATTGAATGTGCTCTATCTTTTTTATATAAACACCAAAGAAGGTTTATGTGAAAGAAACTGTTCAAATGATGAGTCGGACTCTTTGCCATTTTAACCAGCTGCGTTTGGAAGTTCATAAACTCCACGAAAGAAAAGCTTTGTGGAATCTCTCAAAAGTCATTTTGTAGAGAAATAGTGGATCCTTTTGATGAAACCAAGCGTATGTTTAAAGAAGGCTTTATGTGTGCAAAAAGTCCCTTTAAAGTTTGGCGCCGACTCATTCTCCCCAACCCAATAGTTGATTTTCTTTTTTGTATGAGTAAAAGAATATTTCAATAATCGGCGGGTAGTTTTTTTTTTGACTTTTCCATGAGCTTTCCGTCAATAAGCTGAGACAAAACACTCAGCAAACAAGCAGATAGACAAACGTCGACTCTTTTCATCAACCCACCGGCCACACAGCTTCTCTTTTCCTTCAATACTCTTTTAAGAATAATAATAATTCTATATAAATAGATAATATTAATATACTAGTTATTAGAGTCGATTTTTTTTTAATTAATATAACATTTTAGCGTCGCTCCCCCTCACAGGATCCGATGCATGCGAACTCGATGATCGGCACTCTAAAATCCGATTATTCGGCTCAAGTAAATTTTGAGATTTGAGATTTGAGAGTTTCAAAATAAAATCTTCTTTTACAGAAACAATTTGTCTACATAATTTGCATCAAATCCTTAAAAACCTATTCATTTTCTAGCATGGAGTGAACACGATTCCAAAAGGAGATTGTGCTGGATGCACAAAGCCGATCATTGGACAGGTATTTGAAATGGAAATGAAATGGATGAAAAAATGCAAATTTCTCTTTCTATTATTGAAATTTTCATCAAAAACATATTACCATTTTGAAAAGCGATATAAAAATCGATGATCGAGATGGGAATCGATGATCGATGATCGAGATTTTTCAGGTCGTCATCGCTTTGGGGAAAATGTGGCATCCAGAGCATTTCAACTGTTGCGAGTGTAATGATGAGTTGGGGCACAGGTAAAAATACTTAAAAAGAATCACGAATAAACTAATAAATAGTCATTTATCGAATCGATTTATCTATTTATCTTTAGAAATTTCTTTGAACGAAACGGAAAAGCCTATTGTGAAGACGATTATCATAATGCTTTCTCCCCGCGGTGTCACGGGTGCAATCAAGCGATTCGAGATGTTAGTGAGATAGAAATATATTCAGTTATTCGTCTAAAAACATGTCATAATATTCTACTAAACTTAAAATATTCTACTAAATATTTAAAAAACAACAACAACAAATTTCTAGCGTTGTGTGACGGCAATGGGGAAAAATTTCCATATGCAATGCTTTGTTTGTGTCGAGTGCGGTCGTGAGTTCGGCGATGAGGGTTTCCATGAGCGAGTAAGAGAAATTGTTTCAATTTTAACAAATTTTTCATTTATTTTACAGTTTACTTAGAATTAGTACCATCTTTTCGTTTTTAAACTTTCAAAAATGCTTTCAAACCGTTCAAAAAAGTAAACCAAACCTTTCTAGGACGGTCGAGCCTATTGTCGACGCGATTTTTTCCGTCTCTTTGCCCCAAAATGCAATGGATGCCAGGTATTTAAAAAAAAAATACATCTATTCACATCTATTCACATCTATTAATGTTGTATAAACAATACAAAAGTACAATCTCTAAGTCCTAAAGAAAAAAAAAACAATATATATGAGAAAAAAAGGATTAGTAATCTAGTCAGCGGTCAATCGTCAATCAGTCAATCTAGTAATCTAGTGAACCCTTGATCTCTCGACTAAGATACAGCGTTCTTAGCTAGTCAGCCAGCCAATCACCAGCCTGAAAATTTTCGGGTTTATCAAGAAAATTTCCTAGAATGCAATCACGAACAACTTTATCACCGCTCTCGGAACACATTGGCATCCAGATTGTTTCGTTTGTCAGGTTTGATTCAAATAAAGATCAAGAATAACTTTTCAAAGCATGGTTTCGTTCAATTTTTGGTTTATATGTGTCTTTGATTGGGGGTTTAGATGTGTGGAACGGGTTTTGATGGTGGATCGTTCTTCGATCACCAAGGAGCACCCCTTTGCGAGCAGCACTACCACGAGAAGCGCGGTTCTCTGTGCTCGGTTTGTCGTCAACCGATCAGGTCCGTGTCTCGTTCTTTTTCCTCTGTCCAATGCTCACCGTTTTCAAACAAAAAGAATGTGTTTTTGAAGTTTAAACATTAGCTTTTAAAAGAAAAAAAAAGAAAGCTTTCAATTTTGTGCTTATTTTTTTGAAATTTTCCATAAACTATTCAGCTTAATGGTTTGTAAAGTAGCCTAAAACGATCTCGTTTCTTCAAGCATTTTGGCTGAGTGACTAGCAGTCTTGGCTGACGTTCTAAAGTTCAATGTTAACCATTCAACGGTTCGAATCCGGGTACGGGCTTTACGGAAGCTTTACTAGTCTACTTGTTTAGTCTACTTTACTTTGCTTTACTTTAGTCTACTTTACTTTAGTCTACTTTACTTTACTTTACTTTACTAGCCTACTTGTTTAGTCTACTTTACTTTGCTTTACTTTAGTCTACTTTACTTTAGTCTACTTTACTTTAGTCTACTTTACTTTACTTTACTTTACTTTACTTTACTAGTCTACTTGTTTAGTCTACTTTACTTTACTTTAGTCTACTTTACTTTACTTTAGTCTACTTTACTTTACTTTACTCTACTTTACTTTACTTTACTAGTCTACATTCTATTGCCAGCGTTGAAAACGGTGCTTTGTCCACTGCAAAATGATTATTGTCTTTGTGTTTTTTTCTAGTGGTCGTTGTGTGTCAGCAATGGGACTGAAGTTTCATCCAGAGCATTTCCGCTGCACCTACTGTGCTCGTCAATTGACCAAGGGGATCTTCAAAGAAGTCGACCGGAAACCATTCTGTCATAAATGCTACAATACCACTCATGCGCTCACTTAACGCATTCACGATGACGGTATTTTAAGCGTACATTCGCGTTAAGTCATTAACTATTTTACTGAGAATTTAGTGTGAATTCAAAGAGAAACAAAACGATTATAGTCATTCGATAGCGTTGCATTTTCTCTTGAAAACTAATATAAGATTTCTCAAGAACTTTCTATAAAACAAAAAAATAATAAGTCTACTCTGGCTAAGATCAATGTGTAGGATCAATGTGTAGCTTCTGATCTTTGGCTAAGATCAATAAGTCTTCTTAAAGTCGTTAAAAACTTGAATTTACATTAAAAATCTTCGTTATTAGTGATGGATCGTCGTGAATGTGTTTAAAAAGTTATTTTTCAAATGAATCAAATTTGATTTTTCGATTTTCAATGTCTAGCAATGAATGAATTGTATTTTCAAGAGACAAGAGACCTAAAAAGTTACAAATTCTAAATAGTAAATGTAAAGTAAAGTCAAATTTCTAAACATTTCTTTAACTACTTTATAGTAGGTTGAACGCAGACGCTAAGCTGAGTATCTTTAACTGCTTTATAGTATGTTGAACGCAGACGCTAAGCTGAATATCTTTAACTGCTTTATAGTACGTTGAACGCAGACGCTAAGCTGAGTATCTTTAACTGCTTTATAGTATGTTGAACGCAGACGCTAAGCTGAATATCTTTAGCTTCAGTGTTCAGTCAATCAATCAATCAGTCAATCAAAAGAGATTCAGTCAATCAATTGAGCATCTTTAGCAAGAGTTGACCATCTTTCAAAGTACGAAAGATATTCAGCTTTTCAATTGAAGCACTTTTTCAGCATACTTGCAATACTTAGAAATGACTCAAAGCTACAGTAAACCGTCTCGTCTCTTGTCTCATTTTTTTCCCTTGCATGACCTTTAAATCTGTGCCTTAAACTTAAAAAAAAAGTTCGAATTGCAATAAATGTACCTTTTTGCATCTCCAATTCACTCAAATTATTCGAAAAATATATCTAATTTCCCCTTTTTTTCTTAGAAAGTTTTTTTTTTTGATACTCACCCACTTCTCCTTTGTCTTTTTTTCTCATTTTTCATTTTGTGTGTCATTCACTTATCCAAATATTTAGATTTCTCAAAGAATAACTCTATTTTACGCAATGAATTCTTTTTCATGTAATCATTAAACAATTAACACAATTTTTTTTTCGATTCACTCATTCGATTTTCCTTTTTTTTATATAGTTTTAGTAGGGAAAATTGCAAAATAAAGATTTTTATTGAAATAGAACAAGAAAAGTTGATAAGAAAAGAAATCATAGAACAAGTTTACTATAACGATAATATAAGAAATCTATTTTTAAAGTTCTATTTCTCAATTCACAAATGAGATTTGATTCTAGTAAAGTCTTTGAGGTAAAGTCAAGAGACAGATGCTAGCTTTAGAAATGACAAAGCTTCTAGTAAAGTCAAGAGACAGATGATAGCTTTAGAAATGGTTAAGCTTCTAGTAAAGTCAAGAGACAGATGATAGCTTTAGCAATGGCAAAGCTCATAATTGTTACCGTAAACTCGTAATTTGATCAGTTGAGTTGTAGAAATGCAAAAAATGCAAAAAATTTCATCTAGACAAGAGAAAAGTCGAAAGTTTGATATCTTTCAAACGTTCAGGGGTACTGAAAGCCTTACAGTATATTGGAATCAAGAATTATCCGTAAATTTCTCCTTTCGTTGAAAGATTTAAAAGATTTTCAGTCTTCTCAGCTGAGTAATGATTTCAGTAAACTGTAGGACTTGTAGTATCACTATTTCGGTATACTTTAGTATCCCCGAACGTAGTGACAAGGCTCGAATTTTCGTTGATCTCGAATTTCCGTTTTTCTATGGTTTCGAACCTGATTTTCAGCAAAATCAGTAAATCTCATGATCAGTAAAAGAGCTATTCATCATTAGAATCGTTTGATTGGGAAAAAAACCTAGAAACAAGATTATGAAATCTTCAAAAATAAGCTAAGAAGTTTAAAACTTTAGGGTGACGAGCATTTCTCGGCGCTTTGCCCCTTCGCGGTCACGTATTTCGAGGAAGAGGAGCTCTGAATGAAAAATGAAAAAAAGGCGCATCTCGAAAACCTATTTCTAGCATAAAAATGTCGATTCTTTGATTTATAAATGTTTTTTTTTTAATTTTAAAACTTTTAATCTTTATACCAGTCAAAAACATATATAGAAATAGAAATACAAAAAAAAAGATTATCGAAGAAAAAAGAAACACTGGGAAAATAACCAAAAAAAAAAAAAAAAGATATGGCTTCTCAATACCGGTTCTAATTCTAAAAGAAAATCAAAATACGATCAAGAAAATATAGAAATCAACTTAAAATCTCTAAAAAAAGAATAGGAAAAGAATAGGAAAAACTTTTGAGATAACCGGGGCACAAAGATATGCAAGAATTGAACGTTAAACGGAATTCGTTTGGAATTCGTTTGAGAATTCGTTGAGGATTTCTCAGAATAAGAATGGAGAGATCTTTTGAGCAATCTTTTTTTTTCATCATTTCTTTCTCATCTAGAAAATAAAAACAATGAAAAAACAAAAAAAACAAAAAAAAAACCAACAAAATCATATCGGAAAGTCTGAAAAAAAAAAGGTAAAAAAGAAATCAGCAAGGAATAACTCAAAAAGCTGATTGTTTTGGCACTCGCTGACTCACTTTTGGCGGGATTTTCTGCGGAGTTGAGGGGGAAAAATGGTTAAAGTAAGTTCAATTTGATGATGATGCTGTTAAGAAGTCAATCGTTTTTAGAGATTTTTCAGTTTTCTAGATTTTCTAACGGCAACAATTGTTGTAGGAACTATTTTGAAGACGAAAGTCAGTTTTTTCAGGTATAAAACGGGTATGAAATCATTAGAATGAAATCATCATTCAATTTCATTAATTTCATCTCTTTTATCAAATAGGTAATGAATTTTTCAAATCATAAAACCAAGTCTCTTGTCGAACATTTGAGGTTGCGGGATGAAATCACCGTGCATTGTGATAGGCGCTTGTGAAATAGCCATCGATTGAGGATCGGCTCGGAAACAATCACATACGATCTAGAATTTATTATGGATTTAATTTCATTTGCTTACAATTGATTACAATTGATTACAATTGATTACAGTTGATTACAATTGATTACAGTTGATTACAATGGATTACAATGGATTACAATGGATTACAATGGATTACAATTGATTACAGTTGATTACAATGGATTACAATTGATTGCCATTGATTACAACTAATTACAGTTCATTACAATCCATTACAATCCATTACAATTAATCTTAGTTTAACTTTAAGCTCATTATCTAACAACATCTAGACTTCTAACAAGGTAACCAAGGTACAAAATACTTTTTTTTCCTTTTTCTTACTTGTTTTACTATCTTGTGAGACAGATAAATAATTAGAATAAGCAAATTTTTCTATTTATAAATATAATAATTAGAATTTCATTAGTTACTTCTAACAAAACTTTTAACAAAACAATTTGTTTACCTGTAGAGATGGAGGTAAAACGAGGCCTTGTCGTAAACAGTTCCCCAAAGCATCCAATCCCATTCGATTCATTACATCAAACTTCTCAATCTAGAATTTTAACTATACAATCAATTTAAAGAACAAGATAAGTCAATATTTTTCATTTTTCATTTCTCGTTTCTCATTTTATTCATTTTCTCTCTTACCTGTTGCACAATTTTGGCTAGCTTGCTCGGCTGAGTGCCTGTCGCACAATGATCTTTCAACGCATTGACAATTGTGCTTTGTGTCTTGTCCACATGTGGCTTTGTTCCAAAACCCATTGAATTCGTTTCTAAAAAGTATTCAGTTTTTAAAGATTAATCAATAAACAATCAATAAACAATCAATAAATAATTTTTTTCAGACTTAAACTTAAGGATTTCTTCCACCCAGAGATTGGGTGTTAATTGGTGTGTTTTGGAAAGTTGATATGAGGTAAAAAGGTAAAGGTAACTCAAGATGTAAAAGTTGAATCAACTCAGGGTTACTTTTATTAGAATCTACATGAAATTTGAGTAAAGAAATATGAATATGAATGTCAAGCAAAAAGCTAATTGAATGATTGATTGAAGAAAAGACTTTTAGACTACTATTTTCTCTAAAAAAAACATTAAAGACCAACCATTATTGCTTGAGAAAAGTTGAAGAGCCAGTAAAGCACAAAAGCTTGGCGGCTCCCAGTCAATGCTTTGACGAAATGGTCGCCACTCGAGTGCCAATGTCTAAAATTTTTTTTTTTGAGTTAAAGTTAATTTCTTTTACAATAAACTATTTAAGATATCGATTTTAACGCAATCAACTAGTGAACTCACATGAAAAAATGCGGCAAACGGCTCCGGTATCGCGCCAATTGGCACACGCTCACCGCTCTCAAAGATAAACTCGTCTTCAGTGCTTCTAAAAGTTCAAAATTGTTCAATGATGACATTTTTCAATGATTATCACAAAAGAATTTGTTCAAGGTAACCAAGGTTGATTACAACTGATTACAATTCATTACAATTGGTTATAATTCAATACAATTCACTACAATTCATTACAATTGATCTTATTTTAACTTTAAGCTCATTATCTAACAACATCTAGACTTCTAACAAGGTAACCAAGGTTGATTACAATTGGTTACAACTGATTACAATTGGTTACAATTGATTACAACTGATTACAATTCATTACAATTCATTACAATTCACTACAATTCATTACAATTGATCTTATTTTAACTTTAAGCTCATTATCTAACAACATCTAAACTTCTAACAAGGTAACCAAGGTTGATTACAATTGGTTACAACTGATTACAATTGGTTACAATTGATCTTAGTCTAAGTTATCTAACAACACCTATTTTTTTAAGTTCAAAATTGTTCAATGATGACATTTTTCAATGATTAGCACAAAAGAATTTGTTCAATCTTTTACCTCATTACAATTTTTGTGGCAAAAATCGGGAAGAATGATCGATGAGCCATTAGGGCGAGATCGTCTTTGCCGATATCGTTAATGTGCGGGATGTGCTGAATGAAACGAGCAATTCCCCGGAATTCCGCATCCAAAAGTTGAAAGAGTTGAGGCAATGAGGGATTCTTCTGAAAATTCTTTGATTTAATTGAAGTCAATGAGTTGAATGAGTGAGGTTAAACGTGCTTTTTGGTGTCTTATTTGAGCGCAACTTTTTGGTGACTGACTCGCGTCAGTCACCAAAAAGTTGCGCTCAAATAAGACACTAGAAATACCGTTAAAAAAGAGCGCCTCTTTTTCCCAGTTAGCTAGAATTTTCTCTTATTTTTGTTTACTGGTTTCTTTTGTTTCACAATTCATCAAAATCATTTTTTCTGGGGTTTCTTTGAGCTTTCTTTTTGAGGTTTTCTTTTATTTCTTTGAGCTTCGTTGAGTTTAAGCTTTAAGCTTTGATATTAAAAGAAATCTTTTTCCATTTGCTATTAAATAAACTTTGTTGTTCATTTTGTGTTATTCATTAAAATAAAAACGCATAGATCTAGCCATGTTTAGTGAATTCAAGAAAAAGCAACCCAATTCATAATATAGAGCATTAGTTTTGATAAATATTGCTTACAATTTGCAGTGCTGTTTGTGAGCTCTCTTTGGCAAGATCGAAAGATTTGACGAGAAGCGAGAGAAGTGGAAGCGCTGGTGATGGAGGGCCATCAGTCTAGAAAAGGTTAAAGTTTAAAGGTTGTTTTTGAAGATTTCCCTTACTTGGTTTGATTTTGTTTTTGATGAGAGTCGACCTCGTCGACCAGCCAGTGAACCATTGCGAACAACTAGAATAGAAATCTCATTTCAAAACCTCAAAAAAAAAGAACTCACTTTCTTTCACCATGCCCACTTGAAGGCATTTCTGATAGCGACAGTATTGGCAACGAGATCGATATCTTAACCTTGAATTGAATCGAATTAAGAAAAACACTTCGAATTACCTCTTATCAATTGGGCAATTCTTGTTCCCCGCACAGACATATTTCGCCTTTTTCTGAACAGTTCGCTTGAAGAAACCCTTGCATCCTTCACATGTCCGTGCTCCATAGTGCAAACAAACCGCTTTGTCGCTGCATACAGCACACAACTAGAACTTCATCATAAAGAATGGCACAGAAAGATTTCCGGAGAGTTTGAATTGAACCCCGACCTTTTCCTTTCCGTTGCTCTAATGCACTAACCATTGAGCTATTCGGTGTTCTTGTTTCCAGAGAAGAAAGAGGAAATACAAGAGGAAAGAGAAAGGAAGAAAGAGGAAATACAAGAGGAAGAAAGAGAAGGAAATCTCCGGCTTCAGTAAGAATATAATTCTCTCTCAAATACCTTCTCTTGATCATCTTCACCAGCTTGAGACGAAGTGGGAAACTCTTGCTGAGCAAACATTCTGAAATTTCCTTGAAAGGTTGTCATTTTTTTCTAGTGTTTACCCAAGACGGAAAAATGGATGAGTAGTTTGTTGATATCCAGGACTTGTCGGTTGAATTGGAGTCGATGCAGTTGTATGAGAAGATGGAGTTGAGCTTAAAACCCTCATACATGAGTTTAAATCTTTTCCATACCTGATCGTTCCATGGCTTCCTCGTCTCGCATCTAGTTGAGCAAAAGGTACACTCTGTGGACAGAAAAGATTCTGGTATGGAGCTAATCCAGTAGGTGGTGGCATGGGAAAGTCGCATTGTTGAAACGGAGACGGTAACGTGTTTAAGTGACTAAAATCTTTCAATGATTGGATGTTTCAATGACTGATCGTTCAATGATCGATTCAACAATCTTTTCACTCACCAAGAGAAAGCCATTTAATTATAAAACTTAGAAAGAGGGTTGATAAAGATCACTAGTATAAGTAAACTATGGGAAATGAGAAATTGAAGGTGGAGAGAAAGTGGTAGCCAGTGATTGGGGCGAGTTTAATAGTCAGTTATTGAAAGGTCGGATTGTAGTTAGTCTGTGGCTTGGTCTAGAGTTGGGATAGTAAATTACAGGTCTCCCCTCTTCCCTAATTGCCATACCGAATGAGAAAAGGCCAAAGTATTGAGTGAAGATGATCATCGCTGATTAAGAGCATAGCAACTATTATGTTAGTAATGATCCATTTCATTTCCCCCCGGCCCGTCTCCAGGCTCCATAATGCTCTATTTGTACAGCTGATTTTAGCCGTATCATTTCAAAAATCCCACTAATGCCGTCTCTTTCAAAGTTTATTGACTTTCACATAAAACACATTGCTTTCTATTTCTATTGCGTTCTATTTTAAATAACGCTCACTCACTTAAAGAAGCGATTTCCTTGATATTGTGGCATATAGCCAGGTCCAGCGCCGAATGCCAACGATCCCATTGGCTCAGTTTTAATCTAAACATCATAAATCAAATAAACTGAAGAATGTAATACTTGAGTCAACATTTTTTGATCCATAGGCGGCGCTTCAAGTGGTGGAGTGGTGGATGGAGCCTAGAAATTCTTTAGTTTTTTTTTTTTTCAAAAAGTCTATTCAGGTGAAGAATGAAATGTCAAAGTGATGATCGTGCAGAGTTTTTTTTTTCTATGACTAGTGAAGAGCTAAGAGATGTGCCTTAAACAAAGACGGGGTTGGCCACCAAATTCTGACTCAGCTCTTCTCCCAAACACGAATGCAAATGTTACAGTGACCGCCAAAAATGGTGGCAAAGTAAAGAAAAAGAATTGGCGTTTTGGTTTTTCGAAAATTTTGAAAAGTTTTTGGGATTGAAGTGGAGGAGTTACTAGAGTTAATCTATTAATTGATTTATTACAAGAGTTACTACAGTTAATCTATTAATTGATTTAGTAAAAGAGCTACTAGAGTTAATCTATTAATTGATTTAGAACAAGAGCTACTACAGTTAATCTATTAATTGATTTAGGAAAAGAGCTACTACAGTTAATCTATTAATTGATTTAGGAAAAGAGCTACTACAGTTAATCTATTAATTGATTTAGAACAAGAGTTACTACAGTTAATCTATTAATTGATTTAGGAAAAGAGCTACTAGAGTTAATCTATTAATTAATTTATTACTAGATACTAGAGTTAATCTATTAATTAGTTTATTAATAGAGTTACTAGAGTTAACCTATTCATTAATTTATTACTAGATACTGGAGTTAATCTATTAATTTATTTAGAACAAGAGCTACTAGAGTTAATCTATTAACTAGTTTATTAATAGAGTTACTAGAGTTAATGATTAATGATCCAAGACTATTAATGATCTGCAAGAAATAAATAAAAATCTCATAAAAAAAAAGATCAATTGTGGTATTCTCTAAAAACATTGCGTAGCGGATTAGTGTAATTCTTTTTTTTCTTTCACAGTTTTCTTTGCAATACGTCAATGTTTATAAAATTGGTTTTTGTTTTTGAAAAGATTAATTACTTCTTGAATAATAGAGACTTTTAAGGCGCTACGTAAATAGTGAAGATCGAGTTTTTGCTAAAAATAAGTACCAGATTAGTGTTTTTTACAGATTTTTTTTCTTTTTCTTTTCATTTTTCTGCACTAATTAACTGCATTATAGTAGATTCTCAAAAGGGGAAAATCGAAAGATTTGAAATAAGCAAAGATAGAGATGATTATTTCAAAGCTAGCAAAGATAGAGATGATTATTTCAAAGCTAGCAAAGATAGAGATGATTATTTCAAAGCTCGCAAAGATAGAGATGATTATTTCAAAGCTAGCAAGGTTTATCGCAAAAATCGTTGCTTTTAGTTCTAGATTTAGATTTGATTTGATTGATTAAGATTAAACTTTGATTTTAACGATGAGATTCAAGTGAAGCATTTGAAAAATCGAATTTCTGCATAAAACTAATCTGTATTATTGTGTGCATGGGGAACAAAAGGGAATAAGAAACCTAGGAACAAAGTAGGAACAAAAGGGAATGAGAAACGTCAATGTCGCCGTGAAAAGAAATCAAGATTAAAAAATGATATTCAAAAACAAAAAAGATTCATTTCTAGATTGATTTTTAGCATATAAAACACTGTAATATTATAAAATGGGACTTTTTTTTTGCGGTTTCCTACCTGTGAAACGTCGTCACAAGTCGGGAAGAAATGCGGTGTCGATGCTGGATCCACCGAGTGTTCCCCAGGTTGCGGGGTGCCCGTTTGAGATTGATTCTAAAAGATTGAACAATTAGAAACTAATAAACTAATATTTAGCATTTAGATGAGTTTTTAAGTATTTAATTCCTTTTTAGCTCTTTGATCTTTCCACTTTTACCCACCCAAAAATTGAAGAAATTCTTTTGAGCAAACGTCGTGAAAATATCGTATTCCATGGTCTGCAAGTAACGCATAAGAATCGAGGATAAAGGAAAGTCCATTTCTTACAGATATTGGTAAAGAATTAGGGTTTACTTTCGGCATCAACTATAGGAAATTTGAGTTAACATTGTTTCAAAATTGGATGTGAATCGAAGAGTCGAAGAGTCGAAAAGTTTAGTGTGAGAATGCAAGGAGATTATCGAGACATCCCGCAAATGTATTTATGGGGTTGAATGAATGAAAATAAAAGTAAAGAAAGTAAAAATCAAGAATTTCCCTCTTTTCTTCCATTTTCGCACTGAATTTGCGTAATCTCTTGACGAGATCTTGAAATTAATCACTTTTTGAATTTGAATTAGGCACATTGTTTACAATTTGATTATATATTTCCAGAAAATCTTTGGGATTAGGTAAAGAGAAGGTAAAGAGAAGGTAAAGAGAAGGTAAAGAGAAGGTAAAGAGAAAGTAAAGAGAAGGTAAAGAGAAGGTAAAGAGAAGGTAAAGAGAAGGTAAAGAGAAGGTAAAGAGAAGGTAAAGAGAAGGTAAAGAGTTATTCCTTTTATGAAATAACAAAGAAAACATTAATATCTGAAGAGCTAAAGAACAAAAACAAGTAAATTAGTTAAGTTAAAAACAAGTTAAAGAAAAAGACAAGTCATTTAAACTATCCAAAACAGAAAACAAAACTAATTGAGCTTTAAGTTAAATAAAATCTGAGTAAGTTCTGGAAATCGTTTGAAAATGACTGAAAAAATGGCTAGAGTTGAAGGAAAAACTTTCAACGCTCAAGGGAAATCTTAAATACGAGGAAGTTTTGAGAAAATAGATATACGGAAGTTGTTAATTAGGCTGCTGTTGCTAGCATAAATAGAGAAAAGACTAATTTTTGAGGAAAAGATCCCCGGGGATGGTGACAGTTCTCAGAAGAGACAACACCTCAACTCAAACACTTGAAAAGATGAAAATTGTAAGTAAACAAAAAAAAATTTAGTTTATCTAACTATAGTCATAAAATACTAAAGCTAAAAGCTGAATAGGTAAGTTGAGACATTGTAAGTTTTGCAAAGTTGTCAAGCTGTAAAGTTGTAAAGTTGTCAAGCTGTAAAGTTGTCAAGTTGTCAAACTGTAAAGTTGTAAAGCTATAAAGTTGTCAAGCTGTAAAGTTGTAAAGCTATAAAGCTATAAAGCTGTAAAGTTGTCAAGTTGTAAAGTTGTCAAGCTGTCAAGCTGTCAAACTGTAAAGTTGTAAAGCTATAAAGTTGTCAAGCTGTAAAGTTGTAAAGCTATAAAGCTATAAAGCTATAAAGCTGTAAAGTTGTCAAGTTGTCAAGTTGTCAAGCTGTAAAGCTATAAAGTTGTAAACAAAGAAATTGTAAAGTTAGAAACTTTGAAATGAATTTAAACTATTTACAGATGAAATGAATTGACTGAAAGGTTCGTTTTGGGGATTCCGTAGAGGTCCCTTTCGACCTTTCCTATGGTTTGATCTAGAAATAGGCGTGTCTTTGAAAAAAACTCAACAATTTACGTATATATATTAATGATCTCACCTTTTTTTTTCTTATTCTTTCTGTTTTTAAAGGATTTATATGAGATCAGTGGTCAAAAAGGACGCCACTGATTATCGCCTGTGAGTAACTTGCAAATGGAGAGGATTAGCGCTTTCAATGACGAACTAAATAATCGCAATCGTATTTTGCTAATGCTAGAAGATTTCTAAGCTTTAGAAATCTTTCAAAATGAAAGTCTTTATAAAATTTTGATGTTATAAAAGCAGAGAAAGAGGAGGAGAGGAGGAGACGATAAAGGGGCGGAGTTTAAGAGCAGAAAGAGACACCGTAACCCTTAAAAGATATGCAAATTGAGAGATTCTTGAAGAATTGATAGACTAAAAGCTTGTAAAACTTGTAAAGCTTGTAAAACTTGTAAAACTTGAAAAGCTTTAAGTCTATAACTATCAAATAGAAAGCTAATAGCTATAACAAGTAGAAAAGCTAGTAGTAGAGCTTGAACCTGTTACAAATCTAGTTTCCATACAAAGAATTCTTTCAAATGATTCGATATTCAAATTTATGAGCGTAAATCAAGGACAACATTTGAAACACTTTGAAGAAAGTCATTCAAATAATGACCAAGAGTTTTTTTTGTGTGTGTACAATCCGTGTAAGGGAAAGGGCAAAGTTGCCAAAGCGTTTCCCTTTTCTCCGATTGCTTTTGCTTTACCAAAATGGAAAGGAATTCCCCCAAAAAAACCCTTCGTTTGCTTTTTTTCAGCCCTCTTTTTGCTTGGCTAACGTTTTTTTTTTTTTTGGGTAAATTTTGGTGTCCAGGCCTTCCCATCGCATATAGGTCAAACATTCGGCTGATTCACAAGCATCTCAACCCTCCATCTTCTCTGTGTTTCCCCCTACCGTTTCCTCCAGAAAAATTCGCCAAAAGAAAAAGGGGAAAAGGAAACTCTTTTCTTGAATTCTTAAATTCATTTTCTTTTTTTTTTTATGAAAATTTCTTTTTTAGATTAGAAAAAGTGATAAATTGTACCATTTCAAGATTTTCTTCGGCTATGTTTTTTTTATGTGTAATGTCAACGTGTTAATGGTGCAAGAGGTGATGTTATCAGCTGAAGAAAGAAAGAAAGAAAGAAGGAGATAAAGAAAGAAAGAAAGAAAGAAAGAAAGAAAAAAGAAAGAAAGAAAGAAAGAAAGAAAGAAAGAAGAGAGTCCCACACAGTCAAAACATAGCATTCTACCATTTCACCATTTTTAAAGGGTATTTTGGGATTTCAATTTCACATCTTTTTGATGACAAAATGGCAAAAAAAGCAAAAACATAGCAAAATTCTTGAGATTTACTTCAACAAAATTTTCTGGAGCTCAATAAAAAACCCAAAAAGCAGTGAAGTGATTAGCAAGAAGTGATTAGCAATTGGACAAGCGACTAAGTCAAAGAATCATGTATAAATTTGTTGTTTTTATGCAAATTTTCGTCTTTTCGGGCCTCTTTTGTGCACACATCGACGAGCAACGGTGAATCCGCTGCCGCCTTTCATTCGAAATGCCGCAAGATTCTCTCCTCTTCTCAACGATTTCCCCCCATTTCCCCCCGGAATTCCCTGTCTCCCCGGAAAAAAAAATCCCGCAAAAAAAACTCAGCAAAAACCTTGTTTTCTTCTCACCTACTGATCGCAAAAATTCATCCCCAATTTTCTAGTTTTTGGGCACAGTTTTTGGCACAGTTTTTGCACAATTTTTGCTCGCTTTTTTGATCGCTTTTTCTTTGCTCGACAAAAACTGATATCTCTTAGACTCATAGCTCATAGCTCAAAAGTTCTCATAGCTTTTCAAAAGCTCCAAAGATCTCATAGCTTTTCAAAAGCTTCAAAGGTTCTCATAGCTTTTTAAAAGCTTCAAAGGTTCTCATAGCTTTTCAAAAGCTCCAAAGATCTCATAGCTTTTCAAAAGCTTCAAAAGTTCTCATAGCTTATCAAAATCTAAATAAAGCTTTGGCTAAAAGCTAAAAGGAAGAAAAAGAAATGTTTAGAAAGCTTATAGCAAAATAAATTTTTGATATGAATCAAAAAAAAATACTTAATTTCAAAGCAGTGAACAGGTGCAAAATTTCCCCCTCAGCATCAAATCGAAATTCGGGAATTCGGGAGCTTATTTTTGAACAGATATTTCCTTATTTTTAGTCTTTATTCTTATAAATATTCTATAAATATTCTATAAGTTTAAAATCAAAAAAAAAAATCAACTTTTTTTCAAATGATGAAAGAAAACTCTAATTACCCCCCTTTTAGAAAGGTTTTTTTTAAAAATCAATATTGAGAATTTGAATTGGTATAAAATTCCAATAATACTAACAAATTGAGGTTAATAATTGAAGGAAAAGAAATAAAGAAACAAAGAAACGAAAATTTCAGACTTTACCACCTTAGCGCTTTGACGACACGCGATCAATGACGTCCCTCTTCATTGCTCACAATTTTCTTGTATTGTTTTTTAGCTATACTCTTGGATTCACACACACCTTTCTCCCCCCTCCCTTTTCCTCAACCAAACAATACGCATGTTGCCGATTCAGCATGCATTTTTGTAGCCACTGACACACTCTCCTTTCAACTCCCTCTTGCCTCACCACTGACGGATTGACTACCTTTTTTTTTGTCTGATGAACACGTCTTATGGCTACAATTTGCAAGCCATGATTGCGTCGAAATCTTTAGCAGAAAATCTTTTTTTTTTTTGCTAACCTGGTTTTTCTCGACTGTTAGCAAGTCGTCAATGAGTCGCTCGAGATCGGTATCCCGTTTGTGAAGGATTGAAGCCGATCGACGGGACATTCGTCGATGAGAGCCCCTCGATGTGGATGGGCCTACTGAAATTGATTCTTTATTATTAGAGAATTGTGATTACTTATGCAAAGATTTCTACTAAACCGATTGATTGTTTAGGTTTTGATTCTAAAGGGTTTTTTTTCTAATGGTTAATTGGCTAAATTTGAAGGCTAATCATATGGCTAAATTTGAAGTATTAAATGTCAAGGATGCTATAGTAAATGTCTGCAAGTAGCCAAAGTCAATATTTTTTTGGTGAGGCGTCTCTTCGACTTCACTGACCGATGGCCAAGCCGCACAACTACTCTAGTTTCTTTAAACAATCAATCATATGGTAAACAATAAATCACATTGAAGTATTAAATGTCAAGGATGCTATAGTAAATGTTTAAAAGTAGCCAAAGTCAATATTTTTTTGATTTCAAACCTTCAGGCGAGGCTTGTCGTGAGCCGAAGAGCTCATCCATGTCGAGACTTTCAAGGCTCGCTGATAAGCGGCCAGCCGTCTGGAAATCGATTAGATTAAGATAGTTTTAATATAAAAGAATAGGTTGTCTTATTTATAATATTAAATAATAAACAAACCGATAGCGAAGCGGCTTGATGAGGCGTCTCTTCGACTTCACCGGCCGATGGCCAAGTCGCACAACTACCGTACACTGGGGACACCGGAGAGCCGAATTGAGTCTAGAAATCAATGTAAGTTGTTGTTTTTTTAGATTCTGAGTCATCTAGAATCATTTTTTCAATGATGACATCTAGCTGCTTTCTCGGAATTTCCCAGAATAATCTCACTATAAGTTGGAGATTAAGTGCTGGGGATTTTTCAACCAAATGCAAAGCTCGTACTTACAAGAAATAAAAGAAATAAAAGAAATAAAAGAGAGAGAGTTCTAGAATTCTAGAATAAATAAACTGAATAAATTCGTGTTTTGAGTTTCTTATAGATATGAGAAAATGGACTGGTCTAGGATTTAAAAGTGAAGTGATTTGGGGAGGGAAAGAAATGCACCTGCACCACTTGCTCACTCACCACCGCGCACTTAATTGACGCAAGCTTTTCATGGTGTTTCCCTCTTCTGTTTTTCATCTCATCAATTATTCGCTTTCTTTTTTTTGAGCCTCTCCCTGTTGCTAAAGCTAGACGGTGATGACGACTCACTTTTAATTGGTTTAAATTGATTGTGATGTCAGCTAATGAGGCTTGGTTTTTGTTTTGTTGCTTAAATGATTTAAATGATTAAATTCTCAAAGCTACGAGAGTAAATGATCGAGATTTTCCACAGCTTTCACAAGTTTCTTGGTTTGTTAAGATGAAAAGACTTTTCTAATAGACATTGATTGTCAGAAAAAGCCATTGATGTCAGCCATTGATTGCCAGAAAGGAGTTTCTTCTGAGATTTCCCACAGCTTTCACAAGTTTCTTGGTTTGTTAAAATGAAAAGACTTTTCTAATAGCCATTGACTGTCAGAAAGGAGTTTCTTCTCAACTAGATAAATCAAATCGTTCAATTTAGTTATTTAAATTGTTTAAATGAATCAATATCATCTTAAAACATCTTTAAAGTCTATAAATTTACCTGTGAAAAGTTTGTTTGCACGTGAAGTGGCTGATGATGAGGACGAGAGTGAGAAGACGAGAGCAACATTAACCTCGAAGGGCTCCCAGCATACGAGCGCCTAAATGGAAATGTTTATTTGATTGAAATGGAAAGAAAAGTGGGCTAGTAAAGTGGGTTAGTAATGTTTGAAAGTATGGAATGAGAAATGTGATCTGTGAGATCATCAAAATGAATCGATCTATATTTGCTTTGAAATAAAAGAGAAAAAGGTCATTTACGGTAGGCAAATTTGGAAGAGCCTAGCACGGATTTTTAAAACAAAAAAGGTCAAAAAGTGGATTGAATCGTGGAACAAGGTTTGTTGGTTTAAGAAACAAAGAAGAATATTGACTATATTGAGTAGAAAATCGATCAATAAGATCAATTAACGCAATAAGCTCCAATAAAATCTAAAGCTTAACTGGTAAACTTGCCAAAAAACGTAAAGAATCAAATGAAATGAAAAGTGAATGAATGGTGATTTGAGATTGAAATTGAAGACTATATTGAGTAGGCAAAGGAGACCAGGTGAAAATGAAAACGAAAATGCTCTACGTAAAAGAGAATTACGTCTACTTCCCCCCACTCATTTACTGGGTGGTCTTTTCCAAATTTTTTTGAAAACAACACCACCACAAATTCCTTTATTATTCACCGCTTAAACTTCGAGAAAATAGGAAAATAAAGGAATCGTTTATGAGTGTAATTTTTAAGAATGATAGGCTAGAAGGCTAGAAGGCAAGAAGGCTAGGCTAGAAGGCAAGAAGGCTAGAAGGCTAGAATGATAGGCTAGAAGGCTAGAATGATAGGCTAGAAGGCTAGAAGGCTAGGCTAGAAGGCTAGAAGGCTAGGCTAGAAGGCTAGAAGGCTAGGCTAGAAGGCTAGAAGGCTAGGCTAGAAGGCTAGAATGATAGGCTAGAAGGCTAGAATGCTAGAGAGAGGCTGGGGCTAGGCTAGAAGGCTAGAAGGCTAGGCTAGAAGGCTAGAATGATAGGCTAGAAGGCTAGAATGCTAGAATGATAGGCTAGAAGTTTAAAATCATCTATTAACAAGAAATGCTGAAAAGTGGCCTTGAGATTTGGGGTTTATATATTACGACTTTTTGGAAATCTCGTCAATCTCTTTTTTTGCATGGGTCATCACGAAAGAAAAGCGCGTCAAAGGATGCAGAAAAAAAACATGGATATTAGTGGGATAAGTCTATAATCCGTGAGCTTTTCTTTCGATTGGCCCCACCTTGAAATACGAAAAAAGAGGGCTCTCAAATGAGGAAGAGAAAATGGGCGGGGTCTCGGCCGGCCTTTCACCATTTGTTCTCGTTGTTTAGTTTACAATCTTGACAACAGTTTCCCAACTGGATAAGCAGTTACGGTAATTTGAAGGAAATAAGGCGCAGCTTAGAAAGTAGCTAGTGAGAGATGGGCTTACTTGTCTTTAATATTCGTTTCAAAGGTGAAAGCCCAACTAGCCAACTGAAAGCTGAAAGTCAACTATCCTTTAGTTTACAATCTTGAGAACAGTTTCCTAACTGGATAAGTGGGTACGGTAATTTGAAGGAAATTTAGTCAACTATTCTTTAGCTGCAGTCAACTATTCTTTAGCTTCAGTCAAATATCCTTTAGCTGCAGTCAACTATTCTTTAGCTGCAGTCAAATATCCTTTAGCTGCAGTCAAATATTCTTTAGCTTCAGTCAAATATCCTTTAGCTGCAGTCAACTATCCTTTAGCTGCAGTCAAATATCCTTTAGCTGCAGTCAACTATTCTTTAGCTGCAGTCAAATATCCTTTAGCTGCAGTCAACTATCCTTTAGCTGCAGTCAAATATCCTTTAGCTGCAGTCAAATATCCTTTAGCTGCAGTCAAATATCCTTTAGCTGCAGTCAAATATCCTTTAGCTGCAGTCAAATATCCTTTAGCTGCAGTCAAATATCCTTTAGCTGCAGTCAAATATCCTTTAGCTGCAGTCAAATATTCTTTAGCTAAAATCTTATGATCTAATCATTCTAAAGATTCTAATAACTAATGTTCTAATAACATGCCTATAATAACTAATAAAAAACTAGTAAAAAAGATTTTATTTTTTTTGCAATACATCTTAACCAGTTCAACTTAAGCAGTTCAATCAGTAAAACGAGTTGAAAACTTGCGGCTTGAAGTCAAGTACTTAATGAGAATTGCTACAAGTACAAATTTGAACAAATTACATAAACAATAATATGACAAATTGTTCAAATCTTCTCTTAAACCCTTAACCTTTTCAAAGCAGATCAAGAACTATTGAAGCGGATTTAAATCTTAGACACTTTTAAATCAAAAAAAAAAAAGTCTTCAAATCCGTCTCCTCCGGATTTAGCCGATTACCCGGCCACTTCTTTAATTAGTTTCATTTTTCATTTGTTTTGTAAATGAAGAGAAACTCATGATTATCTGATTCTCATAATCGCCTTTTACGCAAAAGTTGATGTTTATTATTTGCGAGAAGAATACGTTGAATGCGCTCGATTGACTCGTGGTTTACAAAGAACGTAATCGTTTACTTATCTCTAGAAAGATTTCTCTTTTTTGTCCTTTTTTTTAATGAAAGGAAATCCTACACAAAAACACTAGCGTTAATCCGATCATGAAAAAGATTTTGATTGCAGATGATTATTACAATCCTTTTTGTCCAATTATTTGTCTAATGATTGCAGAAATTTTTTTTTAAAAAGAGATTTGTAAGGCTTTAGATTAAAGCTAGACAATTCTGTGAACTATTTGTAGTTGGATTCTTATCCAGATAAGGTTCTTATCCAGTTCTTATCCAGATTCAGGTTCTTATTCAGATAAGGTTCTTATCCAGATAAGGTTCTTATACAGATAAGGTTCTTATCCAGATTCAGGTTCTTATCCATAAGGTTCTTATCCAGATTCAGGTTCTTATCCAGTTCTGGATAAGAACCTTAGGGATTCTTCCTCTAGTTATCTAAAAAGAAATTTCATTCTTTGATTCGCAGCAGGAATGTTTTGTCTAATGAGGATGACGAAGGATTGGATAAATAAGCTAGAGAGGAGGGGAAAAGCTAAGAGAGAGGGGAAAAGCGTGTGAACGTCCTCCTCACATCACGCTCATCGCTAAATTGGCAAGCTCATTTGAGGGTTCTTCTTTTCCCCAGCAATGCGGGGGTATCCTTCTGACGTTTCTCGCGTCTTTTTGGAAGCGTTGCGCTTTCTCTTCTGTTTTTTTGCGTCTCAAAACGAAATACAGCAGAAGTGTTTATTCCGCGTCATTTCAGAGAAAAGAGGGGAAGAAAAGAGCTGAGGACCGAGAGGCCAGGGAAGAGTGAAGAGTGGTCAGGGTCATAGACACACAGCGGAGGTTTCTACTCTAGAGTTGATTCAAAAGTTGATTCTTTTAAAGATAAAGCTTTCTAAAGTTGACTCTTTTAAAGATAAAGCTTTCTAAAGTTGATTCTTTTAAAGGTAAAGCTTTTAAAATATTAGTTGAAAGAGAAACTGATCCAGTTTTTCTATTAAAAGCTTTGAAAGTTCGGATTCTGATTGTCTGATTGTTTTTTTTCTGATTTTCTGATTCTGATTGTCAAAACCCGACAAAACACTTCATTTTATGAATCTCCAAAATTTTTTTTTAATCTCAAAAATCTCAAAGCTTACTTATCTTGCAAAAGAAATTCGAAGGTTTCAATAAAAAGTTTCAATGAAAAAAATTTTCGGCTATGTTCGTCATCTCATCGTTGCGCATATATTGAGCCGGATATTGCTACTTATAGAATTTTTCTTGTAAAGAGAAAATTGGAATCTAATCGCCCAGAAAAAAAGGCTGCAGATTGGGGGAAACCCTGATGCATCATTCAAATCTAATCCAAGTGATTATAAAAGAAAACGACGATAAACAATTCAGCAAAAAAAGGTGACTGCTTTAAGCCGACTAAATGTATGACTAAAAAAGAAACTAGGAGATCGAAATCTTTATTTCTTAGCTTATATATGAGTCGCTTCACTCCACCTTCACAATAATTGAGGGATTGAAGCTGGGAAATGGGGAAAAAATGAAAGAAAAGAAGCAATTTGTGCGTGGGAGTGATATGGCCAAACTCTGGTGATTTCCAGAAGGAATCCCCGTTCATCAAGGCGCCGATTAGCCTCGCGAATCTGCCAATTATTTGTCTTTGAATGCTTTTTCTCTCGTTTACTTATCTGCAATAGTTTTTTTTGATGAGTACTAAATCTTGGAAGTTATATAGCTAAGTAAGTAAATTGAAAATAAACAAATTGCCTGATGCTAGAAGTCTAGAAGTCTAGAAGTCTAGAAGTCTAAAAGTCTAAAAGTCTAGAAAGTCTAGAAATCTAGAAACCGAGAAAGCTGGAAGTCTAGAAGTCTAGAAGTCTAGAAGTCTAGAAGTCTAGAAAGCTAGAAGTCTAGAAAGCTAGAAGTCTAGAAAGCTAGAAGTCTAGAAGCCTAGTAAGTCTAGAAATAGATAAGTTCACAAAGCCCGGGAACCGAAGTCTAGAAAGAACGACCATTAAAGGTTAGAAGCCTGGAGAGCTAGAAAGCTGAAGGCTAGAAAGCTGCTAGAAGTCTAAGTAAGTCTAGAAAGCTAGAAGTCTAGAAGTCTAGAAAGCTAGAAAGCTAGAAGTCTAGAAGTCTAGAAAGCTAGAAAGCTAGAAGTCTAGAAGTCTAGAAAGCTAGAAAGCTAGAAGTCTAGAAGTATAGAAAGCTAGCAGTCTAGAAGTTTAGAAGTCTAGAAGTCTAGAAGTCTAAAAGTCTAGAAATCTAGAAGTCTAGAAAGCTAGAAGTCTAGAAGTCTAGAAAGCTAGAAGTCTAGAAATCTAGAAAGCTAGAAGTCTAGAAAGCTAGAAGTCTAGAAGCCTAGTTCTAATTCTAGAAATATTTTCAATTTCACTAATCATTTTCCGGGTAACTTAACTTTCAAATGAACATGACCATTTAAAGGATTATAATCCCTGGGTGGTCTAGCTGCAAATCTCAAATCTCCTGAGCACTCAATTAATTGAAAGATTGGTCTTTCCCCAAAACGGTTTCTCTAATC